CGGCAGTTCCCCAGATCGCGATCGGCCTCGATACAAATAATCGGGCATGGAATGCATCGACCGGATTCTGCCAGATCTACACCCACACCCACTCTATCGTCATGCCGTGGTCCTTTGCGCTCCCCCAGGCGATTCTCACCTCGCCGGTGCTCTCGGTCGCCACGCCCATTTTCACGGGGACCGGCGTCGCGCTTCTAACGAACCGTGAGTAGACACCCACACGCCACAGTCGATGATCAAGTCATAAGTAGTGATCTGCTGGTGCCTGCAGGCGTTCGAACCAAGATTACCTACCACCAGCTCCGACAGCCGCCGTTCAACCCGCCCGCTTGGCTCTTTGCGCCCGTGTGGACGGTGTTGTACGGCATGATGGGCTACGCCGCGCATCATGCCACGCTGACCGCATCCCAATCCCTCTCGCTGGCCGTCCGTGATGCCAACGACTCGGCACAGACGCTGTACACCGCGCAGCTGGTGCTCAACAACCTCTGGATGCCCCTGTTTTTCGGGCTCGGGCGACCAGCCGTGGCGTTGGGCGATATGGCGCTCCTAGTGGGGAATGTGTCGCTGCTGCTGATGAACTGGTGGACGGCTGACCGCACGGCATTCTGGTTGATGACGCCGTACTACGCGTGGCTCGGGTACGCGGCGTACCTGAATGCGGGCGTGGGCTACTTGAATGGCTGGGTGTTGCCGAACCGAAAGGGGTCCGAGTAGTTAACGAGTGTAGTTCTAGCTCGAAGAACGCAAGGGATTCGACATCCTATACCTACATACGTCGTAGGCAACTGCAAGGACGATTCATCCTTGTCTGTGCCATTGTTTTCGGTCGGGACGTGTACGGCTTCCCATTGGTTACTCTCCTTAGTATCCATCCTGACCGCCTGCTTATTACAGACACACCGCCCACGTGTTGGCCGTTTGAGTGGTCGGCCTACTCATTGCCGGCAGAATAATTACCTGGTCCCTCCAGGAATATTCATTCCTCTAGTATCCTGTAGCGATGATGCCTAAAGGGCTTCACACTGTGACAATACCCCTCTCAGTGTACCATGTCACAGATGTCCCTAGCGGTGCTCCCCTAGCTTCAATTCACTGAGCCAAGCGAGGGCAATAATCCTTGTTATTTATAGTTGATGGGATGATGTGCTCGGATCAGGCTCGGATCCACCCGAGTGGCAAGCTCCTCCGTCTCTCCTTCTCCTTCCATCCCTTCGGTGGGCCCGGCTTCTATCTTTAATCCACCGCCTTCCATCCCTCGCGCCCAGAACCTGCCGAGAGACATGAGCTGGCCTCAACCTGAGCTACGATCCACCACGGGATCGTCGCTTCGGGCAAGCCGCATGCAGTTCAGGACGGATAGGTGATAACCGCACACGATGGCATCCACACCCCCTCACTGGTCGCTGTGGCTATCTCGGCAAATTTTTCTTTCGTGCATCTTCCACGTTCGTGCAGGATCCATGGGCTGTCGGGGTGTGCAACAAAGGCGCTCGCCACTACGACCCACTGTGAGGTGCCCACCACTATTCTCCGGTGCCCAGCGGTTGGCTGGGGCCTGGGCCACTGAACTTTTGCTTTGGTTCTTATCGATGATAACATCGTTGGATCTAGACTGCCAAAAATTCAATTCCCGCGGGACCCACGATTCCTCTGCCTCGCCTCTGCACAGCTGTTGGTCCTTTGTTTTGGTTTCTTCTCCTTTTCCCTTCTTCTTTTTTCTTCTTCTTCTTCTTCCACCTCGCATTCTTTCCAATCGCATCTTTGTCCTCTCTCCCCTTTTGCCTCGACGTGACCATACTCATGTCGGATCTCATCCGCTACGATCCGCACCCGAGTCCCGTTGACGAGCAGCCCTTCGACCTCCCCCCTCAACCCAGCAGTCGGCAGAGTCTCGAGCGCGAGTCAACTGCCGATGCCGTCCAGTATGAGGTGGGCGTGACACCCCCCAGTCCGCCATTGCAGCCGAGGAGTCGCCGTGGATCACATCGGGTGCGCTTCCACTCGATTAATGACACGATCCAACCGGGATACGGTCACCAGACACCTGCGTCGCCCGATCGAGCCACCTCGGACTCGAACCGTCCTCTCCTACCCCCCGCCGACCTGACAGAGGTCCCGCTCCCTGGAACCATCACCCCGCCCGCTGCCGCCCACTCCCCCCGTGGCTCGGCGTTTGCCGAAGCTGCCGATGCAGTACACGCCTTGTCTTCTGAGAAAGAAGAAATGGAACGAGCGACCTCTACACGAGAGCGGTTCCGGGCTGCGGGTCAGCTCCTCCGACAAAAGACCGTCCGTCTGACAGAGCGGCTTGGTCGCTCGCCAACGGACGATGGAGAGGCTCTGTATTCCTCTTTCGTCCCAGATGATATCGATGGGGGCATTCCGCTCGAGGAGCTGCAAGCACAGCGCGCTCGACAAGATGCGGACCGGCTGCGGGCGCTCGAGAACGGCGATGAACCACACCAGCCTGCCGCCACTGCCGAGGCTCATCGTCTGGTTCGCAGTATGACCAGAGCCCAAGACCAGCTACGGCAGCGCAAAGCCCGTGGTGCATATCAGCGCTCTGGCCAAACCACTCCTCAGGGTTTTCTGCAAGACTTCGCTGCCCGGCGTCGATCCAGTGGGCTCAGTGGCGGTAGCGGCATTCTGTCGCAGCTTCTCAAGCTACAGGCCACCCAGGCAGGGGGCTCCCGTCCGGATAGCTTCGCCTTGACGGATGATTCGGACAGCGAGACGCAGGTGTCTTCTGGGGCGACCACCCCGAAAAAGGGCTCCCTCTCCCCATCCATGCCCCCATCGATGCCGACCTCTGGTTCTGCCACGCCCCGAAAAGAAAAAATCAAGTGGTACAAGAAGCCGAATCATCGATCCACCTCGTCGCTCGTCAATGCATCCATGAACCTGAGCAGTGCTAGTCTGCCGGCCGCGGTCGACGTGATGCCTACCGGTAAACGGCACAAAAAGAGCAAACGCAAGACTCGGCTCGAGGACGAAATCCGTGTTACAGTGCATATCGCTGAAATCTTGGCCCGTCAGCGTTACATTATGCAGTTGTGCCGTGCCCTTATGCGTTACGGTGCACCGACCCACCGTCTCGAGGAGTACATGCAGATGACAGCCCGCGTCCTGGAGGTGTCGGGTCAATTCCTGTATCTCCCCGGTTGTATGATCATGTCCTTCGATGACCCGACGACGCGCACCGCCGAGGTCAAGCTGGTGCGGATGGTGCAGGGTGTTGACCTCGGACGACTTGGTGACACCCACAACGTCTACAAGAACGTGGTGCATGATTTGATCGGTGTCGAAGAGGCCACCCAAGAGCTGGATGAAATCATGCAACGCAAGCCGCGATTCAACAAGTGGGTGCTGGTCCTCATGTACGGACTGGCCAGTGCCGCCGTCGGCCCTTTCGCCTTCGGGGCGCGGCCCATTGATATGCCGGTCATTTTCTGTCTTGGCTCGCTGGTGGGATTTATGCAACACGTCCTGGCACCGGTTTCCGTCTTGTACTCCAATGTCTTTGAAGTCACCGCCGCCGTCCTCACATCCTTCATTGCTCGTGCCGTTGGTAGCATCCAAGTTACCCGGAATGGCGTCCCAGAGCGTCTGTTCTGTTTCTCAGCCCTGGCACAGTCCTCGATCGCCCTAATTCTTCCTGGTTTCATGGTGCTTTGTAGCAGTCTGGAACTGCAATCACATCAGATGATCGCCGGCTCTATTCGCATGGTGTACGCCATCATCTACTCGCTGTTCCTGGGCTACGGTATCACGGTTGGCACCACCATCTACGGCCTGATGGATAGTAACCCGACCTCTCAGCGAACCTGCAGCAACCAAGACGTCTATGGATCGGAGTGGACGCAGCATTTCCCGTTTGTTGCCATCTACGCTGTGTTCCTTGCGATCATCAACCAAGGCAAATGGAAACAAGTACCGGTCATGGTTGTCATTGCGATCTCGGGATATATCACGAACTATTTCAGCACCAAGAAGCTCGGCTCGTCGTCTGAGGTGGCGAATACAGTCGGCGCATTTACAATCGGAGTTTTGGGCAACCTGTACAGTCGCCTTTGGCACGGCCACGCCGCTACCGCCATCTTGCCCGGTATTTTCGTCCTCGTTCCATCCGGTCTTGCATCCAGTGGCTCCCTGATTGCCGGTCTTCAATACGCCGACGAGGTCAAAAACAACCTACACACCTCTGGCAACAGTTCCAACTCGAGCAGCCTCTCCGAATCGTCAGTGGCGAGTCTCGGATTCGGCATGATCCAGGTTGCGATCGGCATTACGGTCGGTCTGTTCATTGCCGCTCTCATCGTTTATCCATATGGAAAGAAGCGCACTGGTCTGTTCAGCTTCTAATATTTGCATCCAACATACTACCATTTACGCACATATTTGCATGCATGCGATCGAATCATTCTCTTTTCTCTCCTCGGTTTCTGGAGCGGCGTTTGTCTACATTGTTGAAGCATATGAGATGACATGCATTTGCTAGATCTAAAAGGATGGGGCGTTTGTTATTCCAGCGAAGATTATGACTGGGCGGCGTATTCCTTGTGCCGACCGCTGTCAAGTTCCTACACATACTTAATAGAAATGGATAAACAATAATGATATTTGAATCAAGTAACAACTAAGAGATTGGATTTGGTCAATTAGAAGCTGCTATAATAGCTGAATTCTTATTGGCGCGCAAGGGTCTCCCTGTGACAGATTCGCCCCCAAATTGGGCATTTGCGAATCTAATGTTGGCCCATGCCGATGTCAATTACTATCAAAGTGCTGCAGAGGTATCCAATATTACCGAAAGGAAACCGGTCTTATGTGGTGGGTCCCCAGCATACCCGAAAGGGATAGGGTTGGTGGATCCAGCGTTCAGTCTCAGGCACAGACAAAAATTCTGAGCAATGAGAAAGCTTAAACTTACGCTTATCGAAGAGCCACGCGCGGGGGATGGCAATTGAGTCAACAGTCCTTCTTACAGCCTAATCGCAATGCGCCGCCCTATTTTAACCGACTTCGTCGCCACCTACCGCGGCGGCATCGTGGAAAACCGACATGCTGTCCACGCCGCTGTTGTCGACGCCACGGGCAAGCTTCTATATACCGTCGGCGATTCATCGCGAATGACACTAGCTCGTTCCGCTGCCAAACCGGCACAGGCGCTCGCCATTATAGAAACTGGTGCATTTGACCAGTTCGATTTCGATCAACCCGACCTGGCGTTGATGTGTGCATCTAATAGCAGCGAAGAAAGACATATCGCCCGCGCACGCCAAATGTTGTCCAAGGCGGGCGTCTCCGAAAGCGATCTTCGCTGTGGCGGGCATACTCCCCTCTCAAATGCCGTCAACCGTGCCTGGATCAAGAGCGACTTCACACCGACGGCGGTGTGCAGCAACTGCTCCGGTAAGCATGCCGGCATGCTTGCTGGTGCAAAAGCGCTTGGTGCAGATACAAAAGATTATTACAAGCCCACTCATCCTGTTCAGGTGCATGTGAAGCAAGTTGTGGACGAAGTTACTGGGGTCGAGCCGGATGAGGTGGCGTGGGGCTTGGATGGATGCAATCTGCCCGCCCCTGCATTTCCGTTGCACTACCTAGCCCGCATGTATGCGAAGTTTGCAGATGCAGGGAACGAGGCGGGGAATACTGCTGCAGATTGCGATCCATCTGAAAGGATTAATTCTATGGCTCGGATTTTCAACGCCATGACAACATATCCCGAGCTCGTCGCTGGCGAAGGAAGATTCTGCACTGTACTTATGGGGGCTTTTGGGGGAACGCTTTTTGGGAAACTGGGCGCCGATGGGTGCTACGGGATTGGCATTCGGGAATGTGGGCAAACAAAGCAGCTCGGAGCACATGGCGCAATTGGAATCGCCGTGAAGATCGAGGATGGTAACGTAAGTATTCTATATTCTGCCGTCATGGAGATATTGGATCAACTGCAAATTGGAAAGGAGTTTATGTGCGGAGCTCTTGATAAGTTCCATCGGCCCCAGATTACGAATACGGTTGGTGCGGTTACGGGGCAGGTATCTCCTGAATTCAAAATCAGGGCTGTTCATTCTTAGATATACTCGGGTATTCTATACCTGGCTAGTATATCAAGGAAGTGGACGCAGAATCTGTACAGTACCCGGTGTTGTTCACCGGTCTCTTAAGTTCATAGCTTTCTCTCTTCGTTTCACGGCAGTGTTACTGAGCAGACCGGCTTGCCCAGATAATAAAACAAATAACTTGAATCGCTCGCTGAGTTTCGGGTGAACACCATGGTGTATGTCTCTCTCAACATAGCAAATGGTCCCGGTCAATATTGTGCACTTTTCCTATGCCTTTGCCTTCTCGACAGGCTCGTCGGTGGATGTAGTGTCCACGCCGCGCTCAAACTGCGCCTGGCCTTCGACCCTAAGCATAGCGCGTGCCACACGAGGAGGATCGAAGATGCTTTTCGATTGGGCGAAGATTTCATCAATTTCCTCCAACGAGCGGCCCTTAGTCTCAGGGAAGAAGAAATATACAGACGGCACGATGGCAGCGTTGATGACGGCGAAAATAATATAGTAACGGTTCTCGATGGTGGAGAATCCTACCGGCGTGATTTGCGCTAGTAGGAAGTTAAATGTCCATACGGTAGCTGTGGACACGGCGCTCACGGCAGCGCGAATTTGCAAGGGAGCCATCTCAGCTGCGTAGAGGAAGGTGAGGCCCGAATAGCCGACAGTAAAGATAAACTGGAAGATGTAAAGGAAGATCACAGCCACAACTAAAGCACCTGTGTTGTTGTGCTGGGAAGTTGTGCCGGCAAGAATAGCCATACAGATAGCCATTGCTCCAGCGCTCCACAGCATGAGAGGGCGACGACCGAGACGGTCGATCGTGTAGAAGGCCAGAAAGCCACCAAAGGGCTGCATCAGCCCCATTGCAGCGGCCAGGATGCGCGCCTTGACCGGGTCAAGGCCTAGGTACTTCTGGAAGATAGTAGTCGCATAGTAGGTGATCAGATTCACGCCGCACATTTGCTGGAACATCTGACCGGTGGCGGCAAGGTATGCGCGGTGAAAGAGTCGCTGCTCGCCCATTGTAAACATGTCGCGCCAGGAGCCCGATCCAGCTTTGGCGAGAGAGGCTTCCATATCCTGAATGCTAACATTGATCACATCCGAATCAGATTCAACGTCTAATAGTGCCGCTAGGACCTCCCGGGTTTCTTCCTGCCGACCGTGCTTGAGGAGCCAACGCGGAGATTCGGGGAGGACTGCAACAAAGACCATCGCAGTAAGCGACAGGACCACTTGGAAGACTAGAGGGAACCTCCAGGAAACCGAATTGTCTTTCACAAAGTAGAATCCAAGGTCAACCCACAGGGCGAGGGTGACGCCGACTCCGACAAAAATGCCGTCAGTCACAACATTTGACCCGCGCTTGTGTGATGGAGAGATTTCGGCCTGGGAGACGGTTAGTCGGTCAGAAGTCTATTAGCCGGATGTAGACTCGCCTGCCAGATGGGCACGGTCGCAACGTAACCTCCGGTGCCTAGACCAAGAACCAGTCGCGCTACGATAAATTGGGCGAAATCGAAGGATGTGGCCATGAGCACGGCGCCAATGATCGCCACCAAATTAGTGAAGAAAATAACCTTTCGGCGCCCCAAGAGATCGCCCAGGTAGATGCATGATAGAGCACCAAAAATACCTCCGACAGTGTAAAGCGCAATAACGGTCCCTGTTGAGATTCCGATTCGTTAGTCTAACGCGCGCGATTTTAGCCCATCCGCCACGAACCTTGGATTTGCGATCGTTCCAGCTGGTTGGCCTTGGTGCTATGAATCGTGTCCATTTGTGGGAATTGTGTATTGAAGGAATTGAGGGTCAATAGTCCCCCAGCGACGCTCATATTGTAGCCATAACAGGTGAAGGTCGGACACACGACCAGCATGACGGCCGCTCGGAGAAGGGCATTACCCCGGAAGCCCAGGTAGGGTTTGATGGCCATGATGGTGGTTGGACGACGAAACAGGGATCATGAACCCAGCACTGAAGAATACCGAATGTGGTGAGAACAACCGAAAATAATTAAGTGAGGATCGTGGTCCTATATGGGGATTTATGGCCATTGCTTAAGCGATTCTAATCTCACTCCCCACAGGGCAAGTCCAGTGCTGGTCTGGGGCGGGCATCGCCGTCTGCCGTTGATCAACCAAATTGGTGACCTCGGCACTCGGGGAGCCAGCCTATGAGATTCCGGGGCTTCCGCCAGGGGATCTGCGCCCCTGTTCTGCCCAAACCCCTAACCCCAGATGCCATGCACCCTTAGCGTGCAGATTCCATCGAGACATGTGCGCACTGGTCACTACGGCGCTGTAAAGATCCGGGGCAGTGCGAATCCGGGGACGCCCATTACGTTAGTTTTTTGGGGGAGTCGATGCGGACCCGGCCGGGAATTGTCGCCCGTGGACAACGGTTACAGCAAAATAACTTCACAGCTCTACCCATGCGTATTGCCAACGGCATTGTTGACCAATTGAAGTATTGAACTGATGCTTCTTGACACAACTACATCAAAGGGGGTCTCAGGATAGGAGAACTCCGTGTAAACCGGGCGGTTCAGACACGCCCTTCTCGTCCGCTGGACCGGAATGCAATTAATAATCATAACTGACAAAACCTTCCAGGCCGATTTAACGGATACCTTATGGCCTGATATTTGCCTAAGGCGTCGGAAAATCACCGCATGGATCTGTCCTTCTTGCTAGCTTGCTCAACTTCACCAACATCCCATCGCGTTCTCCCTACGCTCACTTCTATAATCTATTATGGCTGAATTTTTCTGATCCTGCCATGTGCTGCCCTATCCACTCAATTGCGTCTCGCTGCTTCTTGCTCGTCGACCAGACTTGATAATGGAGTTGATTTCAGGACGATGTTTCTGCGGCGAATTCAAGCCTATGCACAAATATAAACAAATCTATGCTTGTCCTAGGGATTTGTTTCTAACAATATGAAGAGCACTGCGCTGTAAATGTGTGCGCGTTGCACATGTTGATTTGGTTACATCCTAAAAAACCATCCCGCCGCCTATTTTAAACGTTAGCTCGGTTCAAACGCAAGTCAACTCAACCCAACACTTACCATCTACAACCATGTCCATTCCATTCAGATAGCTGCCCCCGAAGTCACTGCACAAAAGCACTATGGGTCCGGTCAGTTCATCCGGTGAGCCCATACGCTGCATGGGGTTGCGATCTTCCCACACGGCGCGATGACCTGCAAGTTGATCGCCTTCGTTTAGTACGGTGTCCATATACCCTGGAGATATTGAGTTGACACGGATGCCGTATCTAGTCCATTCGGCAGCGAGCGAGCTTCGCATCTGCAGTATGCCCGCCTTGGATACGTTATAAGCCATTTGCGGTTGCGGGTAATTCACCCGGTGGGCACTGATAGACGAGATGAACACGATGCGGCCCCCTGAGCCATCTGCAATCATGTGTCTTCCAGTCACAATATTAGTCCCTGTTAAAATTGTCTTATTCAATGGAGCATACCGTCCCACAGCCTGCGCCGTCAACCATGACCCAGTCATATTGACATCGGTAACCTTGCGCCACTCGTCAAATGTCATTTCTTCTGCTGACACACAAAGTGGGAGACCAGCAAAACAGCACAGTATCCGCAGCGGCCCCAGAGCGTCGCGCGCACTCTTCACAGCACGGTGTACATTCTCTTCGTTAGTTACGTTGCATTCCGAGATCACAATGCGCGCCTGCGGGAAGTCTCGGCGAAGAGCCGTGATCTGCAGCGATCCCTTGTGCAGTGCCGCAGGGAGATCTAGCAACGCGAGTCCGCTAAGTCCATGCTCTAGTAAAGCGCGTGCTGAAGCGAGAGCGAGCACTCCCGCACCCCCGGTAACTGCGACTGTTAGCAAGATTTTGAGCTGTTGAATTGGAGGCTACACTTACAAATAGCATTTCCGGATACAGTGAACCTCAGGCGTGCGTTCTCTGCTGGGGCATTGGTTTGCGGGAATGGGGCCGGTGGAGCAGTCAGTGATGCTCCCGCAATCTCTCCCAGCTTCATCCAAGGAATCCCAGCCATCTCGCTATTATTGATATGCTTGTGCTGCAGTTGTCAGAACAGTATAGAGCCGCTTTGAGTCCGTTGTGACGAGTGTGTTGCTGTTCTGGCGATGTTCCGGTTACATAAGAGAGATATGTATGGGGCGGGGACGGAGTGGGGTTGCTCGGGCTGCCCCTTTACGAAGAGTTCAACACAGTTCAAATTGAAAGATGATGGCTCCTTCTCTAGATGATACTAACTCCCGATCTTCCGGTTTTGGAATGGAAAATTTCACCGATCAATCAATATTAATAGGTTAGAAATCCCGAGGCAGCGGTCATGATCAGGTGACTGCCAGACGTGTGTTCACGATAGCTTCATTCTTCTCTGTTTTAGGCAATCCAAGCTCCAGAGTGATGCCAGCATGCTTCTTCCTGGTGATTTTAATTCTTAGTGTCGCTCAGATTTGGGCCAAAAATAACCGCTAGACCAAAAACATGGGCAACATTCTTAGTCTATACTGTCAATTTCCATCCCGACACCAGGTACTAATGACAGCAAAACATAGACCTTTCCTGAGAATGTTTGACGTTCAGCCTCGCCATCACCCCGACTCCTTATCCCGTCATCCATCATCCTGAAACTGAAATGCCTTCCCAAGTCAGGTGATCCCCGTGCGGTGAACCAAGAGTCAGGGTCAGCCCTTGGCCAGCCCGACCAGCAGAGCCAAGAACCAGACTGTCGGGTCTCAGCAGTGTGACAGCCCTGCTCGCCCCATTTAAATGGATACATCCCGCCAAATCACTGGAAACTTCTCACCTTCAAGAGCCATGGACGAAGACGAGATTGCGGTGGTAATTGCGCACTCTCCGGTCGCGAAGCATCACTAATAGTGACCGCTACGAATATCTAGGACCCCGACTTCCATGAAGTCGTAAATTCCTACGAACCGAGCGACTTTCGCTCGTGCGTCCCCCGATTCCTCAATTCCCCGAATCGCGGCTTGCTTACCTTTGTTGCACAGTGAGACATGCAGTCTGGCCTCGACCATCTATCGCGGGGTCATGGAAAATGGCAGACGGTGAGCTCTCCCAACATCAGATACAGACCAGAATCGCTTATACTCCGAACTAGATACCAGACAATGCGTCAGGGCAAATATTGGTACATACCCTCAATTGCAAGAGGTATTTGCAATGCTGACCCAATCCAGGGGCCCGTCAGACGATTTACAATTCGAGACATATGAAGCAGGGTGATTAATTCCAGCATGTCTACAATGGTCCGTACTGACCGCAACAGTCACTTGGTGGCGCTCGTCATGGACTCAGAAGCACCCAATCCGCTGTTGCAAGCGCCGGTCGAAAATCCAATGGTATCACTGGCCCTTGCCCAATCGTCGCGACGAAAGCTCGATCTAACAAAGGTTAATAAAAGCATATCCTCGATATCGGCACAGGGCGCGGAAGCTGGGCCGTGTAAGTCGATGGATTTTCGCGTCAAAGCCAGGTTGAACTAATGCACCAGTATCCCGTTCAGTGACGCAGCTGATATGTTTCCCCATGGTTGGTCTTTCTTCCCGTGGCTTGTGCTGGATACGCTGACCTCTCCCGCAGCCATTATTCGCGGTGTTGATCTCTATCCGCCACCTGTAGAGTGGGTGCCACCAAACTGTCTCTTCGAGTTAGACGACGTACTTGAGGAATGGACCTGGAAAGAGCCGTTTGATCTCATTCATATGCGGCTCATGCTAGGCGCCTTTACACCCGCCGAATGGGATTCTGTCTACAAACAATGCTACGAGTAAGACAGCTCCCCTAAAACTTCGTGTTAGAAAACTAAATAACTCCTAGTAACCTCAATCCGGGTGGTTGGCTGGAACAAATGGAAAGTGATTGTAACATCCTAACCGATGATAATTCGATTCCTGAGGATAGCATGCTGAACTCTTGGGGAGAGAATATCATCGGGTCCGCAGCAAGATCCGGCCGCCCCGTGGAAACCGTGGATACAATGCGATCCGCTATCGAGAACGCCGGATTTGTTGATATCCATGAGAAAGTGTATAAATGGCCGATCGGGATGTGGCCCAAGGACCCCGTCCTCAAGGAGGCGGGTCGTTTAAATCATCAAATGTGGAAAACCGGGCTGGAAGGATGGGCCATGTGGCTGCTCACAAAATTCGGGAACCCAGAGCCATGGACTATGGAGCAAGTTCATGTTTATGTAGCTAAGGCTCGAGCCGACATATTGAATCCCCAGCACCACGTCTACCACTACTCGTAAGTGCTAGCATACTTTGGTTGTCTGACCAAGCTGACAGTATACAGGCGAAGAATATGGGCTCGCAAACCCACGAATGAAGAAATAATTAAACCTCATACAACGATGTTTGAAAGACCGTTGTCTGAGGATCCGCTGATGTTGTCGCCAGCGCCCGCTGAAGCGTCGGTGACCAGGGACTTATCTACGCTGAAAATTAGAGACGAAGATCCCTTCTGAATTTCTTGGGCTTGATGTCGAAGTCAACTTCGGTGTGCCCGATCTTAAACCCCGAGTTGATAAATACTGCAGCGTTGTATGACCAATGGGACTCCAGTCCAGCGAGGTCCCATAAAGCCATGTTAGCTCTAGAGCATTTTAGACAACAAAATTGAATGTCTTCATGATACTACCCTATTTTTGAATCCGTGTCAGGTCGCACAGAATCTCGCGTTTCGTGCATTGTAGGGATCCCTCCCACATCCCATGCAGCATAAGCAGGGGGGAGAGGACAATATTATTCGTCTCTTACGCGGCTTCAAACCGTCTAACAGTATTCTCCTGTATTCTCTTTGAATGGCATTCTCTTCTTGGAAGCGAATTTGGATGCTTTTCCATTCCAATATATTCTAGAGACAGAGATCCGAAAACGTAATTTAAGAGGATTTAAAAACAATGGAACGAGCGCCAATGTTAATTTATCTAAGCAGCTACCATGCAATACTAAAGAAGGAAAAAAACCAAAATAGTACAGGTTCAAGCATACTAAGTAGTAGATGAAGATTGCCAAAAATGCAAAAAGATTGATTAGGCTGGGGTTCGATCCCAGGACCTTGTCGGTGTGAGCGACACGTGATAACCAACTACACCACCCAACCAATACTATCGAGAGAATTGCTTTTTTTACATTAGGAGTTCTGCTCTAAGAAGTAGAAACCAAAATGGATCAATTTCCGGGTTCCCGGAGGATAGCCAAGTCGGTCCCCAGGAGAGTCGCTTCGGGGTGTATCTCTTGGCCTTCTTGGGCACCACATCGATATATTGGAGTTTTCTAGAGCCTATCCTCTCGCTCTTGCGGCTACATAAGGTTGGAAAATATTGAAAAAGATCTTCGTAGCTGCTAGATTAGTGCCAATTGAGCCAGATCGGGTGCTTGCGAAGCTAAATATTCAGCTGGAGCGTCTCGGAACAGTTTATATTTGTTAATGATGGCTATTCTATGTACAGATAATTCCATGGTCGAGGAAGTCGTCTGTAGTCCGTTAAGCGACTCCGACAAGGGGCGAGTTGGCCATGTCGAAATTCCAACCCAAACCTCCAATCACGTAAACATCCCAATATTATCAAGAAAGGATTTCATGATATCGATCAATGATGCAATTTGCTGCTGCGGCACGATACCTTCCTGCCAAGAGATACCAATACTAAGCGTCCTCGCTGTAATCACGCTTACTTGGATCGCACTATCAACGGCAGAGATTGACTGACTGAAAACAATTCTCTGAATGCCTTCGTCGGGGGTATGGGTCTCCATGTTGAATGAGCCAAGATTGGATATCTCAAAGCTCAAGGATCGTGGTTTGCCGACCCTAGATTCTAAGAATGCCGGTATATTCTTCAGGTAGCGTCGCATGAGACCTATCCAGTTATTCTTGCCGTTGGTTTTGAGAAAGGACTGGAGACGCTGGGTTGATAGAGAAGCCTCACTCCAATTGAAAGACGGGCGGAAGTTAGGATTTGCGTTTTGCATACGAGAGTGGGTTTTGAAAGTTGATGTAACGAAAAGTCCCATCGGGTCATTGTTCCTAGCTTCACCGAGCCAGGGCCTAGTGGACACAGCGACTGCGCTTCGTAAGGTGGTATAATCAGGAGGCAGGAGTAGGAATAAACCATAGGAAACGAGCTCCTGCAGCAATGCTGTAACCGTTGTATTGTGCATTCTGCAAACTTCGATAATATCGGCTGTTCTCGAATGTAGCAATTGAAAAGACTTATACCGTGTTACCACGGGCATTGTGACATTGTTACCTGTCCAGAGACTGGGTTTTCCTCCTGATGATCGCATATGCTGATAGACCGCTTTCAGAGTATATGATATTGTCAGCGGCAGAGGATGCAAGTCATCAAAGGGAAGAGGAAGGGGACTGTATGCCGATCGCAACTTATTTCCAGCCGCTTTGATGCTCGAATATATCTCATCGTTCTGTGTCTGGTTGGTCAAGGCTGCGGCAAATCTTTTGTGAAACAGAACCCCAGATATGCCATCTCCGAGAGCATGGTGGAAAAAAAAAGTTGCAGTGAATTCAATGGAGTTTTGTCTATCAGCGATCCCAAAAACATGTAACCGCCACATTGGCGACTTTGGCGGAAAAGGAACGTTGTGCTGGTTTTCCAGGAAAGCATCTAGATCTTCAGGGTTGTTCTCGTCGATTGAGATGCAATTATCAAGGTCCATTTCCTCCATATGTATGTATAAAGGATTTGGCGAACATCCATCAAGAATGGTCACGGATAGATTAGGAGTCTGTAGAATCACTGACGCACATGCAGCGTACACGCGATTCCGAAAAGCCACGGCGTTATCACCGGATGGAGGAGAGTGCTGAACTTGATAGAAAGCAGTAATTCCAATGCTATAGAACATGGCCTTCTCATGCATAGCCAAATAGAGCTTCTCAAGGACCCCTATAAACGTGAAACCTGAATCAGTGATCCTGGATCATATGAGACCGGGACGGACATACCTGCAGGTCGCAGCGGTGAGGTCTCACCGGAACGCTGGCCCATAGTGTGCATTCGCCTCGATATTTGTCGAGACCCCTACTTACCTGCGATGGATAACCTTGGTGAGTATTAGGGTACAGTAACAATGACGACAGAAAAGCCGCGGGAGAAGCCACTGGGAACGAGGTGGTCGATGTCTTGGCATTAGATGCTGCACGTGATGAAAGCCGCGAAAAATAGAAGCGGAGCGGGCGCCAATCTTTACCAGATAGCCGGACTTTTTGTTCAATTTGGACTGTTTGCAAAAAACATTCCGATGATAGCTATGCAGGTGTTCTAAATATTCGTCATAACTATTTTAATATCAGGGTTGGCCACGTAGAAACACGTATATCCAGTCGGCTCTCAGCAGTGCGAACTACTGTGATATGAGGCTAGTGCAGATCAGGGAAAAAGCCGCATCATCGGAAATAAATTCTAAGATATTAAAGTCAATTGAGTGGGCTATCCGGAGGTCATCAGTATCGAACGCCAAGGAATGCATCCCAAAACAATTCTCCGTCCCCGCCACTGCTAGCTCGGTCATGGTTCGTCGCGTGAGGATTCTCAAATGCTGCTCTGGCGTTCTTTGTCCCAAAACTAGAATTCAGTAGTTCGAATTCGGAGGGGTCAGTAAGTTACAGCATCGACAAGTGCTTGACCTACAGAAAAACTTAAATGACAAGCCTTGTCATACCAGCCAGGCTGGTCGCTGCAGAAAATTCATTTCGGTACACTACATTTCCGTCCTCAGTTTCTTTGGTACTTCGCGTCCCTATTCAAGCGAGAGTCTGTTTTGATGAAAATATAATTGGTCGCAAAGCACAATGATTGACGCCTTGCTTTGGTGTACGGGGTCTGGCGTCTATCAGTGCTGTGAACGAAGCGTCCGCCAGATTCTATGGCCCTCTGTACAGTACCAGCTCGGACTGGCTGGCTATGAGAAGGCCGTAGGTCCAAATCATACGTCCACTCTCAATACAGTGAACAGCCTAGCCGTTGAGTGGGTATCTCAATACCTAATCACCTCGCCGTCACGAGGGTTACTTCTTTCTCAACCAAAGGTCTTGCCTCTTAGGGCAAACTACGAACTAATTCTGAAAGGTATTACTGCATGCAGGGTGGTGGAAGATGTTATTGAACCAGTCAAGAACGCGGGCACAACCACGCTGCAGTCATTGCAATATAGTCGGCTATAATGGAGTATTCGGTAGCCTTTTCCTCTATAGATGGCTTGGTCCTAATCGTATTGGGACTAGATTCATTCCAATGCTCGTATGCAACTACTGTTAGAGCCAGGGGTAACTTTACTTCGGTCGGCGACATTACCAAACATCGACAAGTCATTGGACTCCGTAGCATTCGTAGTTACGTACCATACCAGGCGGTACAGAAAATAAATAAGCCTTCCCGCTAGTCCAAACAATTAAATTACCCAATCCACCACGTGCACAAGCACGTGTTAACGGTTGGTTACAGGTACACCAACCGCTTCACACGAGGCCTTCGACAGTCTCTTCCATCTGTTCCATGTATTCCACTAAGCCCCAAGACGCTTTTCAATTGGTTTTTGGGGTATAGGATCTAGGGACCAGCACGGTCAAGCCTCACGCCTCAGGGCTTAGGGTCCAACGGCCTAGTATGGGAGTGAGCTGGGACTAGAAATTGACCTGATCATCCGCTTTTATTTCCCTTTCCTCGTTCGCATTCTATCATCTCATTAAAACCAACCATGCCTTCCATCATGAGCACTATGAGAGCTGCGACCGTGATGGCCTTTGCTGCTACTTCTCTGGCGGCTCCCCAGTCCCAGTGCAATGCCAACACTGCACCTATCCAGATTCGCCTAGCTTATGCCGGTGACACTGGCATGGCCGTCAGCTGGAATACCAATGAGCAGTTGACCACCCCTACTATTTACTTCGGTCGAAACAACGGAAAGCTCAACCGTGTCGCCTCTTCCCAAGTCTCTACCACCTACCAATCCTCCGCCACCTGGAACAACCATGTTGTCATCAAGGGTCTAGAGCCCGATACTACCTATTACTATCAGCCTCAGTGCGGTAACGAGACCTACACCTTTAAGACCTCCCGTCCTGCTGGTAAACAAGTCGAGTTCAACTTCGCCATGGTCGGTGATATGGGTACATTTGGTCCCGATGGTCTCAGTACTACCGTCGGAAAGGGTGCTTCCAACCCTCTTTTGCCCGGCCAATTGACCACCGTCCAGTCTCTGGCGGACTTCAAGAACAGCTATGAGTTCATCTGGCACGGTTCGTCGTCCCTATGCAAACAATCTCGTATTTTCATATGCTCATGTTTCTATAGTTGGTGACCTTGCCTATGCCGATGCTTGGATCAAGGAAGAGACTAGCGGATATGTTACTCCTCTTAACGAGACCGATGGCGGTGCCGAATACGACAAGATCCTCAACGACTTCTACAACGAGATTGAGGTACTTTCAAGCACTCGCCCTTACATGGTTGCCGCTGGTCAGTTTACCTTTCATCTCTAATCATTCTTGCCATTGCCCATATAACTGACCTTCATTCCAGGAAACCACGAGGCCAACTGCGATAACGGAAGCAACATGGACATCTGCCCCCCTGGCCAGCTGAACTTCACTGGTTATCGCGCCCACTGGAACATGCCCTCCGCTGAGTCTGGCGGTGTGGAGAACTTCTGGTACTCCTTCGACTACGGACCGGTGCACTTCGTTACCTTCAACACCGAGACCGACTATCCCAACGCTGCTGACGAGCCGGGTGGTGAGGGAGATGAGGACGCTGGTCCTTTCGCTCCTAGCGGCACCCAGCTTGCCTGGTTGAAGAAGGATCTCGCCTCCGTTGACCGCAAGAAGACCCCCTGGGTTGTTGCTGCTGGTCACCGCCCCTGGTATGTCAGCGCCCCTGAGTGTGTCGAGTGCCAGGCCGCTTTCGAGCCCATCCTCTATCAGTACGGTGTGGATGTCGTCCTTTCTGGCCACAAGCACTTCTACGAGCGCCATGCCGCCGTTTGGAATGGTACCGCTGAGGAGATCAATGCCAACCCCACTTACCCCTGGTACATTGTCAACGGTGCCGGTGGCCACTACGACGGCCTGGACAATCCTGCCACCCCCTATGTCCCCACCTCCCGCAAGGTCGTCTCTGTCTATGGCTGGAGCTTGTTCACCGTCCACAACAGCACCCACTTGACCACCCAGTTTGTTGCTAGCGGCAACAATACCGTTCTTGATATTGCCACTTTGGTCAAGAACCACTAGTCCTAGATGCTCTCGAGCAAAGAGCTGTATCATTATACTGACTAAAATAAATGGAGCCCCTGTTTAGTGCTGTATCTTGTTTTTATGGCTTCTGGGCAGGGTTGTGTACTTAGTTCTTTGTATATTTTCTCAATAGGAATCACAATTTTTACATTCTTGTGCATTTCGAATTTATAGGGTTGGCTACTGGAATAATAAAGAGCCGATGTTGAATTACAGGAGAGGTTAGGGGAGATCTAGCATCGCTGAATAACGCAATTGTGTGACTAGTAATGAAGGTGTGTATGTTGTGTGGCGGGAACGGAGAGCCAATGCTATGAGGTAGGACGGAGTACCTGTCCCCAAATGTCAGACCCTCAGCAGCGAGAGCGGTTGCACTCATATACTTTCCAAGGTTATGAATAGAGGGTGTATATATTTCGAGCCTACAAGCTGCCCCTGTCTACCGGAACGTAAGTGGTAAACATCTACGCAAAGGAGTCATAGAAATGCAATCCATGAGCGTACCTTTTGCATAGTGGGTCAGCAAGTTAATTTTAGATGCAAGCTTTAGAGCACTTGTATAACAAACTAAGACTATACAAAAATAAATGTAAACCTCTTTGGCTCTTTACCAGTATGGGAATACGTTAAGGCTAGATATTCTGGGCTCACGGGTAGCTCGAGTTTGAGAAGGATAACAACTGCGTCCTATGTGGCGGGCCGGTCAATTAAAGACATGCCTTCACAAGGACCGAGAAACAGTTGATCATTAGTGATAAGCGCAAATGCTGGATATTTCGGATACTGATGACCATATTCCGTGTAAATAACTACGGTCCCAAGGGGATGTAAGCCAAAATATAGTCTCATTGCTACTTTCATTTCCAGCGATGCAATGTTGGAACCTGCGTAAGATGATTTGCACCTTTGTTAGGCGGAGATAAGCTGCGACCCTGGCGTTGGTATATACCTATGGATATTTTCTCCTACTTTGCAATCGCCCTTTTTATTCATCTGGCCGAATAACTAACTATCGCGATCGATAACAATAAACCGGCTTAGAGCACGCCATCTACAGGGGCCCCATGTGATTGGTGAGATGACCGCCACTGTGGGTCCGACAGTCCCAACCTGTCGATGATATCAGCAGTCATGGATTTGACGTTTACTCTTCTTTTGGGAATCTCACCAACTATTCTTCTGCCCTATGGAGTATACACCAGGTGAGCCTGAATTTCCATCATAACCCGCCCGCCAACACTCCGATGGCCACGCGTTGTCTCCACGCCCGACCTCTAGAAGCTCATCTAAACTAACCACCGAACTAAAAAGCTTATGCGTGGCACCCCGGCCCCAACGCCTGACGCCTGAAATTAAATTATCTCCCAGTTTCCCCGTTACCTGCTGCCTCGTGGGGCCCGCCCACTTTTTTTTTTTATCTCTACGCATCTTTCTTCCTTTTCTTTCTCTCCCACTCTCTTGATTGCCAGAGCTGAGGGCCCGACCGTGAAAATGCGGTCGCTGACCCGCAAAGCAGTCTTCGCTCTAATCGGCACTCTCGTCTTCATCTTTCTCGTCTCCACGCTCAATTCAGGGTCGCGACACACCTGGTTTCCACACTCGGAGGGCTCTTCAACCCGTGATTACTGGGACTGGGACACCAGCACGAGGTTTCGCACGCCGCATGCCAAGCAGTCGCATATTGCCGATGTCGATATCTGCGATTCTTTCCCCACAGACCGGCTGGCCAGCGTCCAGGTCGTTTTGAAAATCGGCGGATCCGAAGATCCCGAGCGACTTGACGTACTCACCTCCACAGTCACCCGCTGCATCACCAACCTGCTCATTGTCTCGGATCGAGAGGCGGTGCTCAACGGCCACCGGGTCCATGATGTACTCGCCGACCTACCGCCGTCGTTCCGAGCCAAGGCGCCTGATTTCGATCAATACGAGGCCCTCCAGCGGGATGATGGCAGTTTCGAGAGGGCTGCGGGTTGGAGGCTAGATCGCTACAAGTTTCTACCAATGGTCGAATACGCGAAGCTGTCAAATCCGTCTGCGCAATGGTTTGTCTTCCTGGAATCCGACACCTACTTTTTCTGGGACAATTTATTCCGGCTGCTGGACCAGTTCGACCCTGACGTGCCTTTGTACTTCGGTTCTCCCTCACCAGGCCATCGCGCTAAACGCGGGGAGGTCTCCTGGTTCGCCTATGGAGGGGTCGGTTTTGTTCTGTCTCGCGCCGCGGTAGATAAGCTGGTGCATCGGCCAGTTGGGTCAAGCGGGGAATTCAAGCTGCCATCTTTGACGCTGCAAGATGAGCAACTGGTTACGCGTGAATGCTGTGGAGATTCCGTTCTCGGATGGACACTGTTCAAAAAAGGAATCAAGCTCTCTGGCTTATTTCCTATGTTCAATCCGCATCCCCTACACGGCATTCCTTTCGATGAATCCTTCTGGTGTCAGCCAGTAATCAGTTTGCATAAAACGTCATTGACCGATATGGCGGGATTGACGAAGTGGGAGAATAGTCGGGACCGTACAGTAAGTCTCCACTCACTGAGTGCTCTCTGCTATATGTCTAACCGTGCCTTTTAGAACCCGCTCCTCTACTCAGATCTGTTTGAATACACTCGGATGGGCGAACTGGCCGACAAGGAGGATTGGGATAACGGCGAATGGGGTGGATTTCAAGACCCATTAGAGTCACCAGCTCACAGATCCTTCGAAGCCTGCCGGTCAGCTTGCCATGACCATGACCACTGTCTGTCCTTCACATACGACTCCACAGGGCACTGTGTTTTTGTACCAACCATGCGCCTCGGCCTGAAGAAGCTGGTCTCCCCGGAGATCCGCTTGTCGGCAGGATGGGACAATGAAAAGATCAACAGCTGGACAGCTTCGCATCAGTGCCCACGGCCTCACTGGGTGAAGCCAAGTATAAAACGAATTTTTTGATTCTCAGCGGCCGGCGTATCTTTGGAGTTTGGAAATATGGCGTTTTATTCGTGACATGTTGATATTGGAACATACGGACAGATACCCCTCGCATTCGAGATATACGTTCTATCTGAGACTTCTTTTTTAAATTGTAGTAAATGTGTGGAGCATCCCGAAGTATTTACCAAACCATCTTAAGATTAAGAAATATAATATTATATGCCAGTCTGCAGAAGTCTCGAATGCAATCAAAGATGATTTGGGTACCCTTTGGGGATTTCCCCCCAGTCGAATTACATTGCGATAGAAAACAGATTCTTGTGTATAACAGAGATAAACCATACGCAACTGCTCAAATGCTCGCTAACCCCTCAGTACTAGTGGTAGTCAATGTACAGATTCCCGGGGGACTTTACCCGGTATGTATTAATATAATTCTTTTGAACAATTCGAAACCCCCATTCGCCTCATGACCCCAATTCATACGTTGGTCTCATATTCACTTTCCCCTCAGAGCTTAGTTCAGACATGGGCTTGCCGCCTAGCTGCTGAGGAACCATCTGCCGGCGGAGGACACTCCTACCATCAATCTCCGAAGATGGTTGTCCTGGAGTCGCAGCGCTCAATTCAGCTCTTGGTTGTTTCCTAGAACGCGCCCGGAAAAAAAAGATCCCAAGAACGATTACAATGATCGCACCGACAGCCACCCCGACACCAATTCCTGCTTTTGCGCCAGTCGATAGGCCACTGGATTTCGAGGATGAGGTATCCGTGGATGGTGGTAATGGTGGGCTCACTTGGTCTGATGGCGCCGTGGATGTTGTAGATGGGGCAGTTGTACTTGTGCTTGTACTTGTATTCGTACTCGTACTCGTACTCGTACTTGAATCGGATGGCGTAGAGCTAGCTATACTCGAGCTAGCGGTTTGGCTGACTTGACCACCCAGGATTCTCGGCGAAGGGAGCGAAAATGTACCGTCCGAACAACAGTCAAATTGGCCCAAGCTCTCGGTAGGGTTATGGCAGCAAAACTTGGTTAAGCCGAGATCGCAGGACCAAATATAGTCAGCGCTCGAGGATGTGCCTTTCACCGACAATTATTAAGCTTTCAGAAATTGACTTGGAGGGAGCATATTGTCACATACTCGTACTGCAGTGGGTAAAACAGTTCTTGTAGCTTGAATCCTGGCACGAGGAGGTATAATAAAGGCCGGTGTAGTTATACGTTGCCCCGTCGGGGAAGGTAGTCTGCGAGCCGTCTGCATGATTGTTTTTGTCTCGGCACAAACCATTATCCATGCATGTGTCCGCTGATGGACAGCAGAAATTCGAATTCGGGCATGAGACGTCACCATTGGCTATTGATCCATCGCGATAGAAGCAAGAAGCGGAGGCGGAGACGAAGTGCAAGACGCCGACAAGTAGATAAACCCCAAATTTAGAAATCGCAGGCATTTGAGGGCGACATTGTAGTTGGGGATTTTGGAACCTCATGAGATGCAACCTGTTGAAACAAAAACTCCGTTATGTGGTCAAGTCAAGTCCAGGGCAGGGAAAACAAGTTTGCTTTAAAGTCACCAGCTTTGGCGGGGCCTGAACTCGTGCCGGGGGGCCTGAATCACCCGGTGTGCAGCTTAAATCGGTCATTGGTACGCTCGGAAGTTTCGCTTAGCGTGCCGCTCTCGACGACTGATTCGGTTTACCCCTGCTCTACGAATGCCTTCATCCAATCATGTTTCGTCAGCAAGATTGCGATTTGCAACAACTGGTCCCTGATTCAGAAAAGCCCATGAGATTAAATTTCATTGGTTTTCACGGCTGCAGGTCGGGGACCTAGTGCATAATAATCGTCAGCCCGAACCCTCAAAAAAAGATTGACAGGAGACAGGAGACAGTGACGGGTTTGTCGATCCAGCCTTGAACAGAACCGTAGATCGCGCCCATGGGCTTGGGTTTAGGGGGATATGCTAGTTAGAGAAGATTTCCAATTGACTTAGGATGGACTCCCTGTCTTGGCTAGATAAGAAAAAGTAGAAATATCAAGGTTTGACAGTCCAAAACGTCTCCTAGGACTAAGACCATTGAACACACCACTCTACTGTAGAAATCCAGAGTGCATAGGACCTGCACGTGCAAAGTGATGCCTCAGGCCACACGTTCACCTGTCCTGCATGTTGATCGGCAGGGTTTCCCCAGATGCAGATGGACCAGCCGCCATTGCCCTTTTTACTCGTACAATACAGAGAAAATCAAATTTGAACGTTCGTTGCCCCTGGGCACTATCTACGCCGAGCAATCCTCAGCCGAACCCAATTCAATCCATCTCCAAAAAGGCATTCCTTCATCAAAGGTTGACGGGCGTCCACGTACAACCCGCGTTATTCATTTCATCAGGGAAGGAGCGGTGTATGTAGAACCGCCCTGGCTCTTGTTGGAATACATGTAGCTGTTGGAGTTAGAGTAGTAGTACGAGGCATCCCTGGTCCAGTCGTGTCAGTGCAGACAGCCAAATCAGTTATCTAGAGAGCGAACGAGTTTACAAGTTCGAGTTCGCCGCATTGGAACCGTAGTCCCGAGCGCAGTAGTGGCTCCCCTAGCGTAGGGACATAGGTCCTACTCGGAGTAGGGGAGTCAAGTAGCACTTAACAGGCTGTTGGTGCCGGACTCCTTGTAGGAGTAAGGGTTATATTGGTTGTCCTGCGGCATACTGGATGAGGGACTTATGTGGGTTGTGATGGTAAAAGAGGTTGGAAGATGAGGAAAAGGGATGGGGAAGAGCGAGAACGGAATAACCAAAACAGAAGGGCTGACAACATCAATGGGGATCTATACACAAAGCAGGCTGCCGTTGGTAGACAATAAGGTCAACGTCTACAAATTTTCCTTACAAGATATCACTATTACTACACTGGCAGAAAGGACATTGACTCAGTAGACATTGCATCTGCATATCAAAACTATGAAGCACCATGGCAAGCCCATATCCAGCGCCTATCAAGAAGCATTCAAAACCAACAACACAACTCCGTAGGCTCAGGGGCCTTGAGGGAGAGGGAGACCAAGCGGGGCTTCACACCTCTTCCACATTCTTCTCCAGTTGGAGCTTCTTGATACGCAGCTTGAGGGCAGCCACATCATCTTCCAACTCGCCCAGAGCCGCAAACAGAACAGCGAGGTCATCAATGTCGTCGTAGTTGTCCGCATCCTTGCTCTTACGAGCACTCTTGGTAGCCGACTTGGGGGTGGTGGTCTTGGATGATTTCTGAGCCTTGCTGGGAGTGGCAGGAACCTCGAAGATGACTGATTCAGCAAATGGACATGTTACTCTGGCCGAAGCAATACTTACCGAAGCAACCTTGCGCTTCTGGGACGGGGAGGTCTCAGTAGCAGCCTTCGGAGTGGTAGCACTGGCGCTGGTGCCGAGTTTCATGGCGTGGTTGAGGATGAAGCGTGGGGTGCTGCCATTTTCATCGACTGGCCGATATTAGCTGAGGCGTAAGAGCTGGGACATTTCAGAGTGACTACGTACCGAACGAGCATCTCACCTGGTGCCCATGATAGAAGCAGTTCATGCAGGCGCCTTGTGCCAGCAGCCTCTTGCCATCATCCGCAATCACACACGAGGCGAATGTTCCGCTGCCCGATGCACAAGAACGGCACCACGACGCCCTGGGAACTTCAAGACCAGTGGCCTGGCCCCAAGCAGCGCGAACCATGATGGGGGTTTTCAGCTCATGCGGCCTGCCTTTGTTGTCAGACTTTCGGTACTCCAGAGAACGGACCCAGTCTTTGTCGGGCAGCCTGAGCGCACCAGAGGCGATCTTGGACTCGATCTGAGCCAGGAGGGTATCCGAGATGGACTGCGCGTCCACTAAGTATGGCAAGGACGTAAGCGAGGCGCATTAGGAACAACAAAGCAGACTTACCATGCTCCTCGCCGTCCGTCGCACCGTTATTGGGGGGCGAGGGCGAGAGCGACTCATCCTTCACTTTCTTCTCCTTAGCCATGATGAGGGACAGGAAAGAGATACAGAAACACGGAAGATGAAGGCGAAGAAGGGTGGGGAGAAGGGTGAGTGGTGGGGGAAGAGGAAGGTGGAAGGAAAACAGAAGCAAGAGGAAGAAGAAGGCAAGAAGGAAAGGTGCGTTGTGTGGCAGGCAGCCGAGAGAGGTGAGCGAGAGGAAGATTGTCGCTTGGGAAAACACCCCAGTGACGATGTTTATGATTTCCAACAAGTAAAATTCATGCACCCAAGTAAAAGTAAAAATCCCACGGGACCTGTTCCAAAACGCCAGCCAGATATACATATGTACATGGTCGTCCACTCATAGCCAGCGAGGCTCACAATTCTATACGAACCACAAAAGGGAATATCACATCGCTACCCAGAGATGCTAGCGTCTGCCCTAGATTGGGAGTCGATCAAGCTCGGATTCATTGTCGTCGTCGTCCCGCGGCCTGACAGGCTGATAAGAGCCGCCAGAGTTGGAATGTCGGCTTCGCAGACGGCGAGAGATGGCGCAGTAAACGCCAAAGAGAAGACAGCAAACCGCGAAGATACCGATCAGGACCGCACCCCAGTTCCGAACTGAGGCGAAGATCCCGCGCGGCTTGGCCGAGGCGCGTGAAATGACATCCGTCATGCCAATCACTTCGCCGTTGATATTGACGGCGCACACGCGCAAGTATGTGTCGAGATCTGGGGTCACCAGGGGGATCTCGGTCTCAAAGGTGGTGCGAGGGACTTGGTTAACGGTTTGGAAGGTCATGTTGGATAGATTCAAGCCATCCCACTTTTCAAGACGCCACGTGGCCACCTCCGTCGCACCATTCCAGCTCACGAAGACGCTGTTGCCGGCGAACGCAGCGTCGGGGATGGTATTCGGCATGCCGACCCAGTCGCTTTTGGTCACCCGGTAGGAGACGATGCGGCCAAAGGAGAAAAATGCCGATGCACCGAAGTGCACGTCACAGACAACATCTCCCTCTATGGTAAACTCAGTGAAGGCGGCGCTGTGACCCCATCCGACAAGCACATTCCCGGTATCCAGTACCTGAAGGTTGCCCTGCGACGGCGTCATCAAGGCCTGCGGATGGTCGTATGTCGTGAGCAACTTGACTTGCCGTGCTGGAGCATCGATCTCAACCATCATACCATGGCTGACTTGCGTAGGGTCAGAGTCATCCTCAACCTCATTGTCAAACAGAGATATCGTGTTGGGGCCTCGCCAGCGCGCGTCATGTTGCCAGTGAAATTCCACTTTCGCATCTTTGGATGCATCTGAGAATTCATTTTGTGTTCCACCGAGGTTCCAAAGAACATCTCCTGTGTTTCCGTCGACGCAGGTAATGGAATGGGTATGCCGACCCGAAACCAGGTAGCGGCCCTGGTCATCCTTGTCCACGCTGTTGAGGTGGATATAATCGTAGCCAGCCGTGCGTTCGTGCCCGCGGTCTCCGAGTGGCTCGTAGCTGCTGTTCGGCGGGAAGAAACTGGACGAGCGCCACTCAAAAAGCAGTTCTCCGGTCGCGATGTCGAGTTCCTGAACAATCCCGTCGTAGAGCCACCCGTGCTCGGGTCCTCCAACGGAGGTCAGGTCGGCCGGGATCGGTTCGTAGATGATGATCAAAGCCGTCCCGTTCGGCGTGATTTGGAACTCGTGCAAGTCACCGTCCAAGTTGCCGGCAGGAGACACGACATATCGCTGCGTGTACGTCGAGTCCAGCTGGACAGTAGTTAGCAACCCGCACGAGGACTCCGGCTGCCGACCGAGTTTCTTACCATATACCATGAACCACGACCATGAGCATCCTCTTCGTCTCCTTGCCAATATGTCAAAAAATCCTCGCCTCGATATCGTTGGACCCGAAAGTCCTGAGTGGTACCCCATTGGTGCCTGGTCCACACCAATTCTCCCCGAGCATCTAAGATCATCGGTCCGGGGTACGCGACGGAATCGCCTCGCGGCGCAATGAACGTATACCGGCCATCACATTGTGCGTCTGGAGGAGAGATCTGAACGACCGGCGAGTCTTCATCAAACGAGACGTAGCTTTGTGACGGACCAAACCCGTGCACCCCCAGATCGTACCAGCTCAGATCCGTACGAAAGCGAAATCGGAGGATCTGCGGTACCACGAAGAGATATAACAGAAGGAGCCCGCCCAGGGCCGCGACGATTGCGAGAATACAGCGGTATGGAGAGCGCTTCTGAGGGCGACCGGCGCGATGCTGCGGCCGACGCCAGGAGCTTAGGCGAGCAAGGCCGGAGAAAGTCCGCCAGAACATGGGCGCATTGCGGACTGGAGAAGGAAAGGGGGGTTGCGGAAGGGAGAGTGGACGGGAGAGTGGAAGAGAGGGAAGCAGAAAGAGGGCCAATGCCGAAATTATAAACTAGCCCCATCCATCCCCCGCGAGGGCAATGCCTAATAATCTCTCTGTCTCCGCCCATCCACCGGCGTCACTCCTTACCGGCGGGGACTCTTGGCTGTACGCTGATTCGGCCGCCAGCCGGCATTCCAGACAAGGTTCGCCATCTGCCAAGGACAAAGTGGGTCGAGAGGATGCGCGTTAAAACCAAGCGAAATGGCATGCGATGCGACGGATTTACCTAAAAGCTTGTGCGTTTCTTCGCTTTGGCTCCTTCCTCTCCTTGGTCCAGGGGCAGATGCGGCGCTATCTCGTCTAGTCGGGGCAGAAAGCACCGACCGCGCGTCCTACGATAGTGTGGCGGGCGTGGCGTCGACACCGCGAGGTGGGACTTGGTTTCCCAGTTGGCCCAATCACTGCACGGCGACGCATCAGGCCAGGTGCCGGTATCCGTTGAAACTACCTTAGTGGCGTGGAGGGCATCATACAACAAGCATTACCCGACGTGAAAAGAGCTCGATCGTCACCAGATTGGGAATGCGAAACGAGAACGAGGGGCGGTTTCAGGGGAGGCGGTGGCATAACGATGGCTGTAGGTCCCCCCCTTGCCCGTGTAGTAAACACTACCTAAGACAGACAGATTGAACGCGCAATGCGACTGTGATCAAAACCGGCTGAACGATCGGGTGGCGCCCTCAGACTAGGCCTAAGCAGGGTTCAAGCTACCTCGCATTCTTGGCACAAGGGATGAATCCACTCCAGATAAGATGGCAGCAGACGGGGCACGTGATGGGAGTTAGGGTTCGTGCCGTGTATGGACATCCGACCGAGTATATACTGTTGTAGGGTCTCAGATTGCGACATCGACCGAATCACATACAGTTCCGCCCGTGAGTCCTCGCTGACAAAATATATCTCTGCGTTTGCAGCTTCCATGTCCAAGTGGCTGAGCTGGGGCAGTTCAAGTGCATGAAATGCCTGCTATCCTCGTCCCCTTCACTCTCCATCCCACCCTCCATGTCGCATCATTCCCCTCCTCCACCGTCGCTCTCTCCAATGAATCAACCACGAGGCCGTGAATAATCATGCCTGGAGGGGAAGAGATCGTCCTGCTAGTTCGGGAACACCAGACCCAATCGGGCAGGTACCAACACCACGCGCCAATAAAAGTCCGTGGAAGAAACCAGCTGCTGAAGAATAATACACCCACGCTCTCCACCGGCGGTTGTTGGGGGTTCCCGGAGACCCCTGGCCCTTTTTCAGCCTTCGGTCTGTCCCCGCTTCTTCGATCGTTCTCCACACATCTCGAGATCCTTCAGAGTCTCTGGAGCTTGATCCGCCATGGTGGACAAGGAGACGGAGGTGATCGCGCAGGATGATCTGGACATGCAGCGTCTGGGCAAGGCCCAGCAGTTTAAGGTGTGGCAGCAACCGTGTGGGGATAAACGGGTGGCGCTGACCAGAACCAGAGGAACTTCCGCTTCTACTCCATCTTGGGCTTCACCACCACGCTGATGGCCACATGGGAGTCGATTTTGCTGTGTGTTGCTCTTTGTCTCGCACGTAATGCGTTTCTTTGACATGTTGTAGCACAAGTACCTACGGCTTGATCGATGGGGGTCGGGCCGGCATGCTCTATGTGTACCTGACCTCCTTCATTGGGTTTTTCGCGGCAGTCATTTCCATGGCCGAGATTGCGTCCATGTACGCTCCTCCTGCTGCGCATACCGGCTGAAGCTAACCAGGAGACCAAGCGCCCCGACCTCTGCTGGGCAATATCACTGGGTCAGTGAATTTGCCGGTCCGCGGTTCCAACGCTTCCTGAGCTACATTACCGGTAGGAGGTCATTGTTCCGGAAATATTTTAGCATTAGCCGGCTAATCGCAAATAGGATGGCTGTCGGTGGTCGGCTGGCAGACCGCATTCGCCAGCATCTGCTTCCTCTGCGGCACATTGATCCAGGGTCTGCTCGTCTTCAACTATTCGGATCCGTCGGGCTGGGTTTATGGCTTTGAGCGGTGGCATGGCACACTCTTTACCATGGCCATCGCCATCGTGGGCACGCTGGTCAACACCTTCGGTGCCAAGTTCTTGCCACCATTGGAAGGTGTCATTTTGTTCCTCCATTTGGGGGGATTTGTCGCAGTCCTAGTTCCGATCTGGGCGATGTCTCCGTCCACCGCCTCTTCCCAGGAGGTCTGGACGCAGTTTACGAATGGGGGTAATTGGTCTAGCATGGGTCTGGCATGTCTGGTAGGCCAGCTGACTCCCATCTTCTCATGGACCGGTATGTTGTGTTCCGCAGAAAATATTTTAGCGAGCTGACAACCACCATGTTCACAGGCCCTGATGCTGCAACGCACATGTGTAAGTCCGTGCCACAAGAATTTTTCAAGTTCGCGACTGACGATTTTCCAGCCGAGGAGGTTCAAAATGCCGCTTTGATTGTTCCGTGGTGCATGGTCTCGACCGCGATCATCAACGGCGTCCTGGGATTCGTGATTTTGGTCTCATTGCTGTACAACATGGGCCCAATGAAGGCTGTCCTCACGCCCGCTAGTGGCTTCTCCTTTATCCCAGCCGTTCATCACGCCACCGGCTCCAAAGCTGCCACAAATGGCGTGGCTGCGATCATCCTCGTGATGGAGGTCTGCAGTGCCATCAGCATTCTAGCAACCTCTTCCCGGCAGACATTTGCTTTCGCGCGTGACAATGCCCTTCCTTTTTCAGCGGCGCTATCCCGCGTCAATCGGCTGGCGGGGAGTAAGATTCCCGTACTAGCCGTGCTGGTCACGACTGTCGTCACCATGCTGCTGAGCTTGATCAACATCGGATCCACTGCTGCCTTTAATGCCATTGCCTCGGTGATGGTAGCGGCTCTTTTCACCACGTATATTCTGTCAATCGGTGCTCTGATTCGCGCACGTTTCCAGTCCGGTGGTATTCCGCCATCCCGATTCTCTCTCGGGAAATTTGGGCTTCCACTCAATGTGTTGTCAGTCGGGTATCTTATCTTCGCCATCACCTTCACCTTCTTCCCGACCGCGTACAGACCGACTCCTGTGACAATGAATTGGTCGATCTTGGTGTTTGGATTTACAATGCTTTTCGCGGTTGGAACCTATTTTGTCCATGGCCGGAAGATGTACCAGGCGCCCGTCATCCACGTGCACCGGGGCTAGCTGCTCGCCATCTTGCATGCTTCGGTGTTTATTACTTTATTTTTTTTCCTCATTGCTCCTGCACAGTTAGCTGATGCTTTATATACCCACCAGTCAGTGATATTGGCTACTTAATCAAGTATATCTGACACAACATTTTTATCAAGTCTCTCGACTCCAAAGTAGCTACCCAATGCATAAATCAAATGGCAAGCCCCAGCAGCAACTTAAGTATATAATACCAATGTATATGCAACGGGTGTCCTGATTATTGAGCTATTAACTCATAGTTTGGATCAGCCCCACGGAGCTTCTTCCCCACCATTTTCTCTCCGACTTCTTCTCGCCCGCAACCGCCCTAATAATGCAAATCCCCTGCAAATAAAACGAGCTGAAGCGGACTCTGCTCACATAGCCACCATGACCGACTGGACAACTCAGCCGCAGTTGCATTCCTACACTCCATCTGACTCGCCCGATGGCCCAGCGTTCGCCTCTCCCCTCGGCACCGCCAGCTGGGGCCAGGATGGATTCTCGCACGACCCGGGGTTCTTGGCCTCGCAGGAGGAATTACGATGCATGCTTTTTACCATTGCGCAGTCGGCAGCACCCACTCGCGTGCCCAGCCCAGAGGGTCCATCCGATGCCGGTGTGCAGTCGCGGGAACGGGAGAGCGCGCTGATGCGCCCTGTGCTGTCGAATGCGCGCCGCATCGAGTACTTGAAGAACTACGTTGGACAGGTGGCTCCATGGGTAGGTACATTCGGGCACCTGTGGGATGATGTATCCCCGGAGCTAGTTGACAATGGTCACTGATTCTGTTTAGCTTGACATGTTCGACTCGCAATGTGCTTTCCGCGTCCAGATTCCTGCTCTCGCCCGCACATTCCCCGCGCTTCTCAATGCTGTTCTGGCTATCTCTGCCCGGCAAATGGAGAGAAGGGAAGGCATCCAAGACTCCTTCGATAGCATTGAGCTCTACCAAGAGGCTATTCGCTTGCTAAGCCCATTACTGCAGGTGCGCGACCCCAAGGTCGTCGCGTCCTGTGTGCTGCTATGTTGTCTTGAGATGATGTCGGCGCGTGCTCAGGATTGGCGCCGCCATCTGGAGGGATGCGCTGCGTTGTTTGATGCGTTTGGGATGCATGGGTTCAGTGGTGGCCTGCTTCAAGCTTTGTTCTGGTGCTACGCGCGCATGGGTAAAGATCGCCCTGGTGAAAATCAAAAGGCTACGCTGACGATTAGGCCTAGATGTGTGTGGTGCTCTTATTTCAGATGGGACACAAAGTACTCTTCTTCGACCGAGCAAGTGGCTCGCACCCGGCTGCCACGAGGATGATGCGTCGCGGCTATTTCAGGCCGCCCAATCCCCTGATATGCACGCCAATTATGCCGTGTATCTCTGTGCAAAGACCTGTGAGCTAGTCTCTGACCGGACGCAGTGCGTCGAGCTCGGTTCTCAGAACGGCTGCACCGGTGAAGTCTTCAATCGTCGCTGGATCCAGCTTTGGGACGATTTGCAGCAGTGGGTTGACAATCGACCGCCAGAGCTGCTTCCAGTGTACACAGCCCCGAATAAGCCATTTCCACACATCCTTTTCCTTCATTGGGCAGCCATTTCCTCAAATCAGCTGTACCATACTGCCAGCATCTTACTTCTGAATCTCATGCCCAAGTCGGTCAAGTTGCAGCCTGCACCTACTGTGTCGGCGCTCTGGCACGCACGCCGTATTTGTGGAATTTCGCTGGCTAATTCCCACCACGGCTGTTTGAACAATGCTATTCAGCCATTATGGATAGCAGGGCGTCTCTTCAGCCATGTCTCAGAACATACCATCATTGTGGACATTATCCGAAACATCGAGGCCGATACCGGGTGGGGCGCTTGCTGGCGGATTCGCGACTTAGAGCTGGCCTGGGGATACCAGGTATCTCGTTGATCTGTCGATTCTCGGCCTGTACCTCTCCCCAACCATCGTCTTGATAAAGGGTGGTCCAGAGAGACAAGGCCTAGGCTTTTTACGTTTCATCGAGAAGACACCATATTTGCCGCAATTCCTGCAAGCGCTCACTGATATCAAACCCCGTCATCGTCCGAACGCGCTCAAATGCGCGCAGGATTTCCCGCTGCTGCGACTCATGCGTCATCCGACGCGCAGCAACCAGAAATGATGCCAGCAGGCACGGATCCCAGCATTCCTGCCGGTCGTTATGCAAGGCGATGCTGCAGATGCGCTGCGCATGCCAAAGCGGTGACATCGCAGTAGGGCTGAAATCAGTGATGGGTGCAGTGCGCGGCCGGCTTTGCAGCAGTACCAGCATTGCAGTATGATAGAGCTGGCTGCCGAAAGCACCCGCTCCATTGGAGAACAGAACCACCGGAAAACTGCGCTCTGGCCCGGCTAACTGGTCATGATTCTCCAGCTCCAGCATCGGCTGGAATTCCTGCGGCCGCTCGTGGTACCAGTGTTCGAGCTCATCCATAAGCTGCATCCATGTCTGCAGTGGCGAACAACCCGGTGGGTATTCTTCGTTGTGGATGAATCGGAGTGCGCGCGCACACAACCAGAGCGGGCGGTGCGCAAAATGGAAGACCATCCCGAATGGATCGACTATTGGGTCGACATCGACCAGGCATGGGAGTGAAGGGGGAGCGGAACGTGGATATCCGTGTCATTAACTAAAGCGGCTCCAATGTCTGGATAACAGTTAGAGGCATAGCAACATTCAGTTGCCCCGGCACATACCTAATCTTGCGAGTAGCCAGTAAACCGCGGAGGCTAGATCCCTACCCACCGCCCGTAAGCAAATGGCATCAAGTAGCTCCTTATCATCCTCTCTGTGATGGGCCCACGCATTGCAGATGCTCTTGATACAATCTTTCGCCCCATCCAAAGCATTGAGAAGCGCACGGGCGGTAAAATCAAGGTGGGCATCGGGGCTGCCCTGTTTGTCTGCTGCCAGTGCCCTTAATCTTGCTTGCTCGGGGTGAAGTTGGCTGAACGAAGTTTCGGACAGACAGAGAACTGCTATCCATACAGGCTGTAGCTCCTTCGCCAACTGCAGAGCATTGATCCCGAATGACTGTCCCAAATCGCACAAATCCAACTGATGCGGTCAGTCTCTATGCCGAGCATCCAGGGGCAACAATCTTACCCATGGCGCTACTTCGTAGCGGTAGTGGCGAAGTAGCTCCAGTGCTTCCGTTGACTTGGAATCGGTCGTGTTGCCTACTTTTCTCGGGGAGAGGGTCGACGAGCGTGGACCGGAAAACGTAGACAGCGTCACCGTAGTATGAGGTGTTTCCTGTGTAGCCGGTGAGGCAACAAAGTCCGACAGACCCAGGTCGGAGCCCGTCATACGGGCATCACCCATGCCTGTGCCCAGTGCCAATAAGCCTGCGACTGCAGATTCGTCCTTGGCGCTGTACCGCCCAGGAGTTTTGGTGGTCCTGGTCTGCGAGTATGTGTTTTCTGGAGACCAAAATGTGAGCCCAGGGTCGCTGACTTGCGAATGGGCCTCGAAGCCTTTCGATTCAGGTATCACATTGCTTCGGGGCTGGTTCTCTGGCTGCACTGCGACGCTTGAGGGGTGCACGCTAGCACTGAAGCTCACTTCCGCGGGAGTCGATGTCTGCTCCGACTGGTCAGGATCTTGCGTTTCCTTCGATGGCTCCTCATTGACGAACTATGTTGAGGCAACATGTTAGCATACTCCTTGAAGCTAACCATGCTATCGATTCTTACGCGAATTGCATCGTAACTTGCGGTCGCCTCACTCCCCACCTCCGTTGGTGTGACTGTGTGGGCATTTTTCGTCAGAAATGTGAGCTGTGGGCCATACTGGCATTGAAAATTGCGAGCAATACAGTTGCGGCATCGGGGTTTGCCTTCATCGCCTGTGTCCAGAGTGTGTTAGCAAGGAAGTTACGCGGCCGGGGAGTTGAATACATTTTCGGCGACGAATACGGCAGCGCATGCACCCGGTCCGACATCGAGTGAGCCGGCGCGATGAAGCGTTCGGCGTCCGCTGGCCTACCATCGCTCTCTATCTAGGTAGGTAACGTTATGCTGTTGCGTGTTGACCAACGCTCAGTCGGGGCAACCGGGCGGAGAAACGCCGAGCCGAAACAGGAAGGCATAGCCGCAGTCACGTGCCGCTAGAACTATACGAGACAGACAGGTGTTTATGATTGAATTGGAAGAAAGTCAAATACCGATCTATCATCTACGTCTGACAACATCTCCTCCCTATCTCGAGCCCAATGCCTGCCTTTTTCGATATTCATCCACAATCCCCGCATATGCGGACGGCCCATACACTCCAGTCAACTCCCTCAGATATCCTCCCCCCAGGCGGTATGGGTTCAAGCCGAGGTCGCGCATCAACATATCATTGTACTGCCCTTTACGTTAGTCATGTACTTTTTCTTCATTCTCATTTCCGGTCGACTTGCCTGAATAGCATCCACCGCGAGGCTCGTCCCGGTCAAAGATCCAAGCACGACATCTTCAGAAATAGATTCGTTCATTTCTTTCCGCGAGACACTGTCCAGCCATTCTAGTCCTTTCGTCATGAACGAAGCTACCCACAGTGCTTGTACCTCTGCAACAACGGCAATAGTGGATGTCAAAACAATCCCGAGGGCGGCGAATGAGCGATCTCCTTCAGCAACCAGTTCAGGTGCTACCATTTGCCGGAATAGGCGATATGGAATGTATTCGTGGCCCCCCGCCCAAGATGGAGCTGCGAGATCAATCATGGCACAGCCAGTTTTAGCCAATGTCTGCCGGACTATGGCCTCCGATCGCTGGTCCAGCTCCTGCCAAAGTTTCACCCGGTTCCTTGTGATCTGGTCCAGTGGATCGAAAAGTCTCTCCGGCGACAGATGTCCATCATATTCAAGCGTTTCAGAGCTTATCAGGCTCGAGAGTCCCAATTTGAGTCGAAAACTAGGCGGTTCGAATGCGATAGGCACAATGGGTTTATACCCTGTGGCATGCACAACCAAATCAACTGGATCGATTTGGGTCCCATCTGCCAAGTGTACAATTGCATCTTTTGTTGAACCTGCTGCGTTTTCCTCTATTGTTCCCGATATAGCAGTTATAGCTGAACGATGAATATGCACTTGAGGCAATCGAATAGTATCCCAGAGGTCGGGCTGGTTAGCGATCCCGATACTTGATGCGCACGAAACAACACTTGGCACGATTAGTGACCGGTTAATCAGAGGACCAGACATTAATACTTGCCTATTCTCGGGTCGAAGCTTGTTCATTTTAGGATCTGAGCTATACCGCGCAAGCTCTTCAAGATTCCGGTCAACCGAGCGCCAGAATGACCGAATCCACCCACGTCCCAGCGGATTGCCATGAAAGATGCGGGCCAGCCACGAACCTTCCATTCGCAAGTTTATTCTCCATCCCTGTTGTGAGCGTTCAATTGATAGCCGTTTCGGAATTTCGTGACAGCATGGACTGAGATGGCTCAGTAGTCGTGTGCTCGCCGCCTTGTCGCTGGCTACCGTATCCCCATTTGGGAGAGTCGATGTCGAAGGGGCCATCCATGCCGGTCCTGTGCCCCCATCACGAATGATCCAGTGCACTTGCACTGGGTTCTTGGGCGTGAATTTTAGATGCAAATCGGGCGAATTGTGATGCAAAGTTGCGAAGAAATGCACCACATCAAAAGCTGACTTTGCCCCGCCATATATTGCAACCGACTCCAATTTCGGGTCTGAATTGTCGGGTTGCTCTGGTTTTCCGGCTGTATTTGGTAATGGTTGGTACCCCAGTTGCTCGCGAGCCCAGTTTCCCAGTTGCTTAGCGTGGATGGTAGGTGCGGTCTTTTCAACGAATTCGCCATGCGTCTGGGTGGCTGGCAGATTTGGAATCGATGTCAATCCGGTCGCCAAGATGAGCTTGTCGCAGATGACGGTAATAAGCCGGGGGGATGAAGTGGTGATGCTTATTTCGAGTTTCCATTCTTTGCTTTCGAGACGGGCAATCTTCTCTATCTAACGAGGACATGAATTTGGAGCCATTAGACCAGTCTGTGGGAGATCGTACCTTCCAGTTCAGTCGTATATGTTTCCGCAAGTCCCACTTCTTCACCCACGCGTGTAGATAGTGATTTATTTTCCAGCCTGCGATGAACTGCGGGCCATCGTGGTTTTCCTCTGGTGGGACCACGTCCGCGAGTGGTAAGTCACTGAATTCGTACAGCCCGTAGGAATTCTGACTGAGAAGATTGGGGTACAGACGCTCTTCTGCCCATGTTCCCCCAAAGTCCGATGCGGCATCGATCATTAACAGGTTGCATTTTGAGGCGTCTTTGATGGACGACTGCCTCGGAGTCGTGAAACAGGCGGGCAGCTCATCCACAATTTCGTTCACTTGATCATTCGGTTTTTCTTCATCATACGCACCCACTACCTGTAAGTAGGTCTTTCCGGCAATGAGGCCGTACAGCCCTTGGAAAATTAGTCTTGAGCTTGTCAGTTGGGAACAAGTACCTACCGGCCCCGACGACCACAACTCGATCCATATGGACGGATGATGGTTGAAGGTGTAGGGCTCGCAGACTCAAGAGATTCCATATTCATATAGATGATTGAATAAATATTGGCAAATCGATATCCGCCGCCCAACATCAAAGCCGGTTCTCCAACCTTTGCTTATTGCGGTCCTGATATTGTTCTAGTGGGGCCACATTGAAGGGCCACACGTGATCACCGAGTCCTATTGTTCCCAATCGATGTGGCATTCATCCTCACAAGTAGTGATATTCGAGTTTCGGGTTTTTCTTTGTTAGATTATGATTACCTTGCCTCCTGTGATTTCTGGAAGAAGTGTGATGTGCGGGTCCAGAGGTTCCAAGTCTCCCAATATATATCCGACCGTGTATGTACCAACTGCCAGAATTTATAACGAATGAGCTCACCAAAACGAATTGGATCTGTGAGAAATGCTTGATCACTTGAGGCTATTAAGCAGAGTGCTTGGGGTGGTGGGTGAGTTTGCCTCTGACTAGACCGATCGACAACAGCGTGACAGTATGGTACGCTCTGGACAAGGACAGGAGACTATTACGATCCTCTTTCTGTTTTAGCCGCAAGCGCTTTCATTATTTGGTTATCCTAGGGATATTCGAACTTCATAGTATGAGAGAATGGTTCTCCACCCATTACCTATTCATTGATTCTTACTACCCGATTTCAAGCAAGCTGGATACATCCCTGCGCCCTGGCCGGATTTATACTGTGAGCATTCCAATTGCCCTTCAATTGTAGATCACTCCCTGGAGCTGTCTCACTCTAGAATACCGTTGGCCTCCAACCCTAGCAATCCAAGACCTCCCTAGTCTAGACGCAAGGGATGTGTCCCGCGAGCCGGAAGAAGGATATGTAAACATTTTTTACGCAGGGATAGTTAGCTAATCCAGGTAAATATCGCAGGGAAATAAACATCGATGAGCGTTCTTCCTGCACCTGCCCTCTAGTCGTTCTGCTTTTCACTAGTTTCACCATGTGCAGTCTCAAGCAGCTGTTTCTTTTGAGCTTCATGCTCTTAGCTGTCTCTGGGAGCAAGGGTGACAACAGAACCATCGTGAGTTCTATGCCTGGCGAATCTTTATCTTGCCTCTCGAGTCTAACATTTGTCGCAGGTTGGCATTGAGACAGAACGACAGAGCCGAGCGCTGAATGTAGTGATGGATGAGTGTTTTGACGTGGAAGAGGAGTACGTTTTCTTTGCAGCATTCTTGACTTGACAAAGTAACTGACTGTGCCCAGCGAGGTCTTCACAGTATCCGTCCACAAGAAATGCCGCGTCTTCAGGTACGTTGACGTAACATTTAGCCCAACGTGTCTTTGCTAACTTCTGCTATCCAGTGGGCCCCTTTGCACCGGCCGAAACACGCTGCTCACCCCGGGAGATCACACATCAAAGTATCCCGTCCCCATTGAGTCCATTTACTGCCACTCGTCGTGAGGGAAAACCGGTGAAGGCTTTATAAAGAGCCATATACAATTGAGTCTAAAACTCTGTACCCAGACAATATGATTGATTAATCTATTTTCTTGTGGGATGTTCCCATCACTGTACACTTTCAAGTTGAAAACCATGACAACTTCCTATTCCCCAAGAATCGGGCAATCTGCCCATATCTGTCCAAATGGATCTAAAAATTCTTGGTCAATTTCCGGATATGGCTGCCCCATGAGTATGCCGCAATCCTGGCGGTCAGGCGGCGCTTCAATGGCCAACGGCGATGGCTTTTGAAGTGGAGAATGTGACAACCCAGGTGATCCGAAAAAGAAGCTTTCCATCGACGCAAGCCAGGCTGGACTGGGCGTGGGTGGGCGCTCCCAAGGAACAATGGCAGTGTCTCTGGTGACAAGGTCCGAATCGGAAATTGCCGAACAAAATGAGCTTGTTTGGGGATAGTATTGATCGGCGTATCGCCCAGAGGCCATGGAATTGTCCAGGTACTGTAGTACTTGGATATAATCGCTTAGGCGTAGATCGAAGATGCCCGCCAAAGGTTTCCGATACTGACCCCGTTCCTCGTCAGGACAGCGCTTGGTTACAGGCCAAGACTCATTCGAGGCGCATTCGGATAGTCGCACTGCACGCTGGACCATGGCGGAGACATGTTTTGTGTCGTATCGAACGCTATAGACCCGAATTATACGGGCAAAGTAGATGAGAGATCCTTCATGTCTCCGTCTATCGGCAATCGAACTAGATCGCCGAGCGTTTATGCTCAACAGAACGAAAGGAAGTACGATATGAGCAACCCTAAGACAGTCAGCGCTATTAAATGTCAAAAAGTAGTGAGGATAATCATACGCAGTGATGGGGAGATGATCAGCCATCCCGTTCATGATCAAGCACCTAATGCTGTCGGCAACATTTGATAAAGCCTCAGTCAACTCGAAATTGCATCTCTCCAATTGCCTATGCACTGACGGAGACAGAAAATCCAAAGTCCCTGTCAAGCGACAGACGTGGTTACAGAGTGCCATACGAGCGGACCTTGGAATGGTTAGCGATGATTTAATACTGAATGCAGGAACTCACCGGTAGTACATCGTCAGCAAGTGCCCATATAGAACCAGAGAGGAATGAAGTGGCCGGTCCTTTACATTCATGGCCATAGAGCAGCTTTGCTCCCACATCAGTAGACGCAATTTTGCTTGTTCGATGGCACCGAGCTTTTCACTAGTATCCCTTTGATCTCTTTGCTGGTACCGAGTGTTTGGGTAGACGATCAGGAGCACGTCGGTCGCGACGATAGCTAGCTGGCACAGTGAGACCATAACTCGACAGAGTGCAGCTTTGATGTGCGGTGGGTAGACTTCTGACTGTTGAATCTCATCCTCCAGATCGCTTTCTCCCAAGCATGGCTGGCGGAGATCAAATTCATCGGGGAGAATTTGTAGTGGGCGACGCACGGCCAGCGCCAGGGTACGATCTCTCATTATGCAGCTCCACCAAAGCCGTTTTAAAGCCAGTTTGTCTCGTCGAGTCTGTATATCTTCGCAATGATACTGATGTGCCCGTTCTGCCTTCGCGTTCTGAATGGCAGTCGACATCCATTTTGTATCGGCAGTCGAGGGCGATGAGTAGTACGTTAGCAGCAAGGATGCCTGCGCAATCACATAAGAGTCTTTTTCAATCCCGGCATCGTACAAGGCCTATCTATTGTTAGCCGTTGGGGCCTGTTCAGCCTACTTGTAGTGCCAACCTTGGCTTTTTGATAAAAGTCTTTGCGAGCCTCAAGCAGGGACTCATAGCCACATTCACGGGCAGTTTCGACAGGAACATACTGCTAACAGTAAGCTTTCATCCCCGGCATACGGAAAATCGCCTTACGCTTGCACTGGTGAAGAGCATCGCCTGAAAGAGCAAGAGGGACCATCGGCCTTGAGTTTCATGTGGGTGCTGGTATATCTCCCAGAATAAGGCTTCGTCCACGACTGGGGAGCAAGGCTGGACATAGAGGAAATAGTGCCGCACAAAACTTTCTAGTTGCGCACTACCCGGGACATGCAGACATCCTTGTGCTTCGAGTTGGCCTAGGGTTGCGGGTGCTAGCTGGCTAATGTCACCGGCACTCAGAAACCCATGGAGAGAGAATGCATCCAGGGCAGTCGGTGATGGGCTGGGACCGCTATCTGCACCCGGTAGATTTTCTTGGATTGCCGGCTCCGTTGGCGCCGGACGGCGTTTTCTCCGTGACGGGCGGAACGTGCACGCTTTGGAATCGAGCCGGCAGTTGGTACATGGGAAACCATTCGCAACGCCATCGCAACGGACCTTGCGTTCGTGGCACACTTCGCATGCGACACGGGCTCGCCTGGAGCGTCGGTTAGCATGGGCAGTGGAAAGCGACGCCATGAGGATTATCGAGCCGGGAGTTGGAGCCGCGAAGTTTCCCCTCGTTTTTGCCCCAGAATTAAAAGATCCGGGGGACCGACCGTGCGAGACCCACATCGGGTCGGAGGGTCGGAGGAGTCGGAGTATGTAGAGCGTTCTATAATATACTGGATTTGGATTGCTCTGATTATTCTCATGTCTTATAGTCTATATTTATAGTGAAACTGTGGTGTCATCCACTACCAGCACCTTGATACTCCCGTTGCGAGGGTCGGCACTGAGCTGCAACGCATCCTGCGCTTTCTCTAACGGGAAAACATGCGAGACGAGCTTCTTTAAGTCGAGAATGCCTCCGCTGAGGCAAGCAATAGCGGGAGGCCAGGTATCCCTGTAACGATTGATAAACCGCAAGTCAATCTAGCAGAGTCAGCAACGAATACTCCGCACCCATAGTCAACGAGGATGTGCTCACCTCGGCAAGGGAAATATGCATAAAAGGCAAATTATTCATGATGGTCTTGCCCACCCCAATCACCATCACCGTACCGCCTCGCCGTGCCGTGTATGCTGCCGTACACACACTGCTCTCCACGCCAGTACACTCCAGGACCGTCTCCGGCGCAACATATTCATTTTCCCCAAAAAGGGCCCGGATCGCGCGGGCATTCTCCTGCGCGTCCTTTGAGAGATCGACCTGGTAAGTGACGCAGGACGGCACCAAGTCCTTAGCAAAGGCCAACCGGCCAGGCTCTACATCCGTCACGACAACGGGGTGAGCTCCCGAAGCACGCGCCGCGGCCAACGCGATCAGACCAATAGGTCCAGCACCACAAACAACCACACCACGGCCCAGAGAAAGGCCTGCCGTCTTGATCCCATGCATCACCACCGAGAGTGGCTCCAGGAGAGCGCCCTCAGCAAAGCTCACATTGCCCGGCAGTTTGTGCAGCCACTTGGCCGGGTGCACTTTGTAGCGCTGAATGGTACCATCGTAGGGGTAAACGCCGGCGAATTGAACATCCTCACACAAATTGTAGCGGCCCTCATCGCACAGGAAACACTCCTCGCACGGAACGCCGGGCTCGACTGCAACTCGGTCGCCTGGCTCACGCCTGTCAGTGTTCGTACTCTCGGCCCTCGATGTAAGCACACACCCGGTTTCAAATGAGTAACGCCTTCGCCACACTGGAGAACCACTCCGGCCGCCTCGTGGCCGATAATGCAATCGCCTTCAAACACGAGTGAACCGATGCGCCCGGTTTTCCAGAAATGAATGTCGGATCCACAGATCCCCGTGGCTTTGATGTGCACCAAAGCCTCCCCCGCCGTGGAGCGTAGACAGGCGCCTCCTTGGATTTCAATTTATGATCGGCTGTCACTTGGAGAGACGGATTCGGAAACGCGGTCGGGATAACGGTGCGGTCGCCGGCCTTCGACTTCGAGACATCCTGCTGGCCGTTGACTGGGTCTACCAGGACAGAGGGCGCCATGACGATGTGTAGGGAAAATCGGTAGCGACCATGGGGGATTGCTCTATATTTATGGCTTGTCTCAGTCGCGGTCTGCGTTACTCGTTGTAGACTTCCGGGCCCGGAGCGGTCGCACCTGCCTGTTTGGGTACCTAGGGGTTGCGCCTACCCGATCAGGTGCCTGCTTGATCTGATGCAGTTGGCGTAGTCGCACCTGCCGTACTTAATTACTTCCTTTCCTTCCTTTCTTCCTTCCTTTCTTCCCCCCTGACCCACGGAAGCACGGAAGGAACACGCCCATAATGACCGTACAACAGCCTCGCGTCAACGGCACTTCCAAGTCTGCCCTGTCTTTGGTCCAGCAGCTGTCGAAGGACCATGACCTAGTACTCAAGACGTTTCGCCTCCTGATCGCGGATCTATGCCAGCAGTTCAATGGCGGTCATCCTGGGTGGGTGTGTCTGTCTCGAAGAGCCTCGATGGGTTGCTGATCGAGTATTTAGTGGTGCGATTGGCATGGCCGCCATCGGCGTTGCGCTGTGGAAGTATGTGATGCGCTATGCACCCCATACACCAGACTTTTTCAACCGGGATCGCTTCATTCTTTCCAATGGTCAGTACAGATGAAGAAGGAAAAAGAGACCCTTACTGACACAGACTCGACAGGCCATACCTGCCTCTTTCAGTACACCTTCCTTCACCTTACGGGCTACAAGGCCATGACATTTGACCAGCTCAAGTCATACCATTCGGACCGCGTGGACGCACTCTGCCCTGGACACCCAGAAATCGAACACGAAGGGATCGAGGTAACGACCGGACCGCTGGGACAGGGGGTTGCCAACGCCGTTGGGTTGGCGATGGCGACTAAGAACCTGGCCGCCACCTACAATCGGCCCGGATTCGACATGGTGTCTAACCACACTTGGTGCATGATTGGAGATGCTTGTTTGCAGGAGGGAGTGGGTCTCGAGGCCATTTCGCTGGCGGGCCACCTGCGCCTCAACAACCTCACCGTGGTTTACGACAATAACCAGATCACTTGCGACGGGTCCGTCGATCTCACCAACACGGAGGATGTCAATGCTAAAATGCGTGCATGCGGCTGGGATGTGATCGACGTGGAGGATGGATGCTTTGACATTGAGGGGCTTGTCCGGGCTCTGGAGCAGGCTCGCGCCTCGACGGACAAGCCGACCTTCATTAATGTTAGAACAGTCATCGGTCTACACAGCAATGTGGAGGGCACAGCTGTCGCTCACGGTGCTGCTTTCGGTCCCAAGAGTGTCGCCAATATGAAAATTGCCTATGGTTTCAACCAGGAAGAGCACTTCGTGATCGGCGATACCGTGCGCCAGTTCTTTGAGAACCTCTCTGCTCGGGGGGAGCAATGGGTGCAGAAATGGAACCAGCTGCTAAGCGACTATGTCGCTCAGTACCCTGACCTTGGGGCTGAGTTTCAGGCCCGCATTCGTGGAGAGCTGCCGGTAGACTGGCAGCAGCTCATCCCAAGCAGCTTCCCAGATAAACCAACAGCTTCACGTGCATCGTCGGGTCTCGTTTTTAATCCGATCGCAAAGGAAGTCAAGTCTTTTATGGTCGGAACCGCTGATTTGTCGCCTTCAGTGAACATGATCTGGCCGGGCAAAGTGGATTTCCAAGATGTAAGTTTCTCGATTTGATGCAGAGCATTATGGCCGGTCGATTTCCTAACATACTCTATAGCCCGACTTGCGCACGACTTGCAACATCAACGGGAACTACTCTGGAAGGTACATCCATTATGGTGTTCGGGAGCACGCTATGTGCGCCATCTCCAATGGGTTAGCCGCCTACGCACCCAACACCATTATCCCCGTGACTTCATCGTTCTTCATGTTTTACCTGTATGCAGCGCCCGCAGTGCGCATGGGAGCCCTCCAGCATCTTCAGGTTATTCACTGCGCTACCCACGACTCGATCGGTATGGGTGAGGATGGCCCAACTCACCAGCCCATTGAACTGGCTGCCTTGTATCGGGCCATGCCAAATCTGTTATATATTCGTCCTGGCGACAGTGAGGAAACGGCCGGTGCGTGGCTGGCTGCTATCAATGCAAAGAAGACACCTAGCATCATCTCGACTTCGCGGCATGCGTTACCTCAGCTTTCACAAACCCGTCAGGATGGTGTGGCCCACGGCGCTTACGTCCTGACGGAAGAAGACTCGGCAGCAGTGACGTTGATCGGCGTTGGGGCTGAGCTCTCCTTTGCAGTCGACGTGGCCCGACAACTAAAGGAGCAGAATGGTGTTACTGCCCGCGTGATTAGTTTCCCATGTCAGCGTCTCTTTGAGCAACAGTCGCTCGAGTACAAACGCGACACTTTGAGACGCCATCGCGGTATCCCTGCAGTTGTGATTGAGCCATATGCACCTAACGGGTGGGAGCGGTATGCTGATGCAGGAGTTTGTGTCAAGAGGTTCGGCCACAGTCTGCCGGGCAAGGCGGCCTACAAATTCTTCGGGTACGAAGTGGACGTGTTGACGAAGAAGGTAGGGGCCTACCTGGAGCGGTTGAGAGGGGACGAGGTGCTGCGCGGGGAATTTGTCGAGCTCTAGTTTTGATTCGATTGGATGTGATGAGCTGCGGGTGTTCATAGAGGATCTCCTTACGATATTATAGCCTGGAAGGGGACCTGGCATACTATCAACAAAATAGACCATTACTGCGTATAATTTCGATCTTTTCCATGACTTCTTTTCCAAGTCCGTGTATATGTGGGGTAGTTAGTGACTTTTATCCAATGGAATCCCTCCCCTCTTGGTGCCTGAGTGGGGCAACCCGCTACCCGATCCGGCAGTTGGAAACGCTGGATTTGATGCCTCAGGGTTTAAGCAATAAAATAGAATGAATGTTGGGCCATCATTTTCTCTTAGAGCCCCTCTACATATGTAGTTGCACTGGTAATTAAGGCTATATTAAGGCTATCTTGAGCCGCGTTTCGGGCCTCATAAGCAAGCTAATTGTTGAATAGTTAGTCGCTCTTTCCGCTGTTTTGATTCGTTTATTTCTCTCACAGGGCGGCACCGTACCCACTTTCTTGCATGCGTAGCGAGTCTAAGAACGCCAAACCATATATCTAACTTGCATAATGCATGAAGACTATCAGTTAAACAATAATGTCTTTGATCTAGTTACTTACTACGTACAAATATGTTGTAGCTCCAAACCCAGTCCTAATGAAGGCTTGGCACTTGCTTATTTACACGGACCCACCTGCTGACTAACTTTTTTTTTTTTCAAATTTTCACAAAAATTAACCATAGAGACGACGGGCACTTTTCAACAGCGATGTTAAAATTTTGTGTTGCTGCCAGCTGATCTATAAGCGAAATGTTGCTCCTACATACTAACGGATTGTTTGTTTGCCGTGTGTCGCCACCAGCCGCGTTTCTTTACGTTTCACGGCTCCGGTGGTTGCTTTAGCTAATGAGAATGCCTCGATTGCTGCAGACAAGTGGGTACCTTGCCTAATTACCCAAAAAAAAAAAAAAAAAAAAAAAAAAGCAGCAAGAAAGCGAAAACGGCCATATGAAAAAAAAATCCTCTACCAAACTTACCTGTGTAAGCACTTGGCCTCCTGCCGACCTAGTCCAGCGCTCAGTTGGTCTGAATCTCACGCCGCGGCCAGGCATGGCAATTCAAGAGAATGCTCCTGCGGGCCCGGTCTCCGAGGATGTTAAAAATCCTTGTCCAGACACCAAATCGACTGATGCGGAGCAGTATCGTGCCTCCAACTCTGCTGCTCCTGGGGAGCTGAAGCGCAAGCTGAAAAGCCGACATCTGCAAATGATCGCGATTGGTTCGTGAGCTATTCAAATAAATATTCCCAATAGCTACTAACAACATGTTCAGGTGGAACTATTGGCACCGGTAAGCTCAGCAAACGCATGCTGCGATCCGATGGTACTAACAGAACAAGGTCTTTTCATCTCCAGTGGCACAGCGATCGCCTACTCAGGGCCGGCAGGAGCTTTGATAGCCTACATTTTCGTGGGTTCCATCGTATACTCGGTCATGACCTCGCTTGGCGAAGTCGCAACCTACATCCCGGTCCCCGGTGCCTTCACATCATACGCCGCTCGATTAATCGACCCAAGCCTCGGATTTTCGATGGGCTGGATCTACTGGTTTAACTGGGCATCGACGTTTGCGGTGGAGCTGACTGCATCGGGGGCCATTATCCAGTATTGGGACCCGAGCCTGAATATTGCCATCTTTATTGGAGTCTTTTGGGTTTTTATCACTGCTCTGAACTTCCTGCCAGTCAATTTTTATGGTGAGCTGGAATTTTGGTTCTCGACCATCAAAGTGGCGACTGTCATTGGATTTATGATTTTTGCCATTGCCGTGGACTGTGGAGTTGGCAAACAAGGATATCTAGGGTTCAGCACATGGAAAAGCCCTGGGGCGTTTAATACGCATATAATCTCCAACCCGGAATCGGTGGGCAAATTTGTGGGATTCTGGGCCGTACTTGTCCAGGCCGGTTTTAGCTACCAAGGCACCGAGCTGGTCGGAGTGGCGGCTGGTGAAACCGAGGACCCTCAGCGCACTGTTCCATCCGCCATCCGCAAGACTTTCGTCCGCATCCTTCTATTCTTTGTGTTGACCATCTTCTTCATTGGACTTGTTGTCCCCTATGACAATAAACACCTGACAACCGACACATCCAATGCCTCGTCATCGCCAATGGTCATTGCAGCCAACCTAGCGGGGGTGAAAGTGCTGCCGGGCCTGATCAACGCAGTCCTTTTGACAGTAGTTCTGTCAGCAGCTAACTCAAATGTGTACAGTGGCAGTCGAATCTTGACCGGACTGGCACGTGAAGGATTTGCTCCGCCATGCTTTGCTTTTGTGACGCAGAAAGGGGTGCCTTATTGGAGCGTCTCGCTCACTGCAGCCTTTGGCCTCCTTGGGTTCATGAACGTCTCCACCTCGGCTGGCCAGGTTTTCAATTGGCTAGTGAATCTTTCCAGTGTGGCAGGATTTGTGACATGGTCTTCGATAAACGCTTGCCATATCGCATTCATGCGCGCCTTGGCCAAACAGGGGATCTCTCGCGATACTCTTCCCTACAAAGCATTATTCCAGCCATATCTGGCTTGGTACGGGCTCTTTTTCAACATCCTCATTGCTTTGACGCAGGGATTCACCTCCTTCATCCCTAGTTTCCGGGTTTCTGATTTTTTCTTTGCATACATCTGTCCAATTGTGTTTGTTGTACTCTACATCGCGCACAAGGTGATCATGAGGACTCATTTCGTTTCCGCCTCCGAGGCCGATCTTCAGACTGGTCGCTTGCATTACGAGAAGGATCTAACACCACCCAAGGCGTTGTATCTAAGAATTTGGGGTTGGGTGACAAAATAATATTCCTCGACACTGTGTCTATTCTATGAGGCAGGTACATTTTCGTTGTCAATAATTCTCAAGATTGGCCAAACCCCAGTGGCCTGTCAACGCATATCAGTATGTGAGAATTCTGCAGTATAAACGAATATATGACATGATATATGTATTTTCAACCGTTTGGCACAAAAGATGCTGTGTACTCCTATGCCAATATGCCAAGGGCTGAGAGAATTCCACGCTTCATCAATTTCCCATCAAAGAAGCATTTACACCCACTTGAATTGTCGTGCGACAACACATATTCCGCCCAGGAGAGCCGTCACGCCTGTACACACGACAAGCGTGCCATATCCGCTACCATATGCTCCCCATGCGTGACCCTTCCAGACATCGGCTTTGAGAAGGGCTTCACTCAGGGGGCCACTGGCCACATTACCGATCCCCCGACCGGTTTCCATGAATGGGAAAATGACGGTCGCACTCGCAGACGGGTTTGCGCGCTGGATCTCCTGTGAAACACCGGACCATGTGGAAGAGAAGCCGCCGGCCAGTAAGCCGTAGGCAACGCAGAACACATACAATGGCGGGATAGAAGTGGCGAACCCCCAGGCAAAGAAGACAGACACGACAGTTCCGACAGTTGAAATCATGAGGCAGGTGGTAATATGATATCGATCAGAGAGGAAACCCACGAAGACACAGCCGAAAACCGAGGCGAGGTTAACAAGGGTCACTGTCAAGGAAGACAAAAAGTCATTGGCTCCCAAACTGCGCGCGTATGTTGGAAGATATATCGTAGGCAAGAAAAATCCCAGAGCCTCCAGAGTGTTCCCAAGCTGATATATTATGTAGACTTTGTTGTAGAGGAAACGGAAATCGAGTCGATGGTGGCATGCAGTCTCGGTAATTGACAGGCGTGGCCTGTGGAAATAGAGGAAAGGCAGAGCGAGAACAAAGAGTACTACCGCTGATACACGGAGTGTTGTTTCGATGCCATAATTATGCAAAAGCCATTGTAAGCCCAGAGGGAAAATAATGCCCGACAACCCAGAACCAGCCTGATAATATTTGTTAGCTGCACATTCGAGTCATCTGGGTGTATCTTCAATCTGCCACGTACCCAAACAATTCCAAATGCAAGGCCTTTTCTCTTGTCAAACCACTCTGCCATGAATAGAATTGATGGTGTATAGCACAAACAGCCACCAGTTCCAAATGCAATACCTTGTGACAAGATCAGATGGGTGACGTTTGTGGAGTATGAGCTTAGGGCTAGCGAGAGACACATTATAACCACACCCATTGTCGATACCCACCGTGCTATCCAGGGAACGAGAATCATTATCACTATTGCTAGTGGAGCAATCAAGTATGCGATTCCCTATCGGATTCGTAAGTCAGCGTTCAAGTTGAGTTTCGGGGCACTCGAACTCACCATCGCACAGGTTCCAATGACAGCAATATTTTCTGACCCTTGAAATGGTTCATGCGTGCTATAATAATCTTGGAAAATTCCGAAAGCAAAAGCGTACCCTGTAGTAATATTAGTCTCTGCTATCTCCTGTCTGGTGGTTTTTGTCTTCAACATACCCCACACAATGGCTTCAAGTACTGCTGAGGCCGTTAAAAAGAGCCATGCGTGAATTCCTCCATCTATAGGCGGTAAGTCGAATTGTTGAGGGTTGATTTTGTTGTCCGATTGTTGGTCGGAGGGTGTAGAGCACTGGGCCTCGAGGCTGCGACTGGCGATGCTGGGGAGATATTCTTTGTGATCCATGATACCCAGCTGGGGACTCCAGAAAATTCAAGAATCAGGTAATAAAAACCAGTCAAATAGAGTATTGTATGATACTTGAGATAAATCAAACATCACAAGAGACGGAAACTGGGTTTGTCTGGACTGGCGAAGTCGAGTCGGAAAGGAAAACAGCATGTACTTGACTAGGAGCTAACAGGATGACGAAACGAATTTTCCTGCATGAAATGTCAATCAAGATGGGCGGTCCACTGAGCCGTCACAAGGGCACAGACTTGGCATCCTAGTGGGTTCGTCCCCAGTAATGTGATACTCAAACCCCTAGATCTGCCATCAAGCCAGTTATCCCGTCACGAGTCAGGCAGTTGTATGTAGTGCTGCATTCATCAGCATAGTCTGCTCCACGGCCCGTGCTTTTAGCCGCGTGGTTAATGAAGAACAGCATGCTCGTGAAGCTGCACAGCTGCCGATAGCGCATCCACGAGTCGCGTTGCTGGACCTGTCTGAAGGTGGAGACCAGAAATAGATATTTTGCTCCGGCACGACTTGGCAGTGGCTAGTGACCAGTTTGGAGGCCAACTTGGCCTCTGGCCGGCCAAGCAGCCGCGCAACACGCTTGACTCTCTGGACTCAAGGGGGCAATGGAATGTTGATCATGGTCACTGCATTTCCGGGCTGGTAGTTTCGGAGAGTTCCCCGCCTGATAAGGGGCATCCAAATGGATCCTATTGGCAAAGATACAAGAAAAGTTAGTAATTTTTGAAAAGAGGATTCCCTTGCGTGGGAAGCTTGGGCGTTATGTATGTTGATCTACCGGGAGTTGGCAAATGTCCGAGGCCCACCAGCCCAAGCGGGGGAATCCACAATACAGAAGTCCCATCACTTCCCAGAAAACCAAAATCAAGGCTCGACCTGAAGTTATTGGCATTGGAGTTCTACGACGTGTCTATTTGCAAAATCATGTTATGTACAACCCCGTTTCGGTATCTTGGTCAAGCTGGAGAGCTACTTCTATGTATTATACATTAGTCATTAGCATTCCTGGGGGCGGAGTTGCTTCCACATCGCCCTTCGAGCTTTGTCCAGAGCGCCATTTGCATTTTCTCTTGTGTCACAAAAATCCAAGCTCCTCCGATCAACAATCGTCGATGATTTAAGTCCCCGCCTAAGAAAGACCTTCCGATGCAAAGTCTTAAACGAATCCTTCTTCTTGCAATGCTTGTAGCACTATTCGGGAGACGGCTTCGTATTCCTTCCATCTGTATCTTGTCTCGTCCAACCTTGATTCACGAGCTGCACTAAGCGCAAGGAATTGCTATCTCGAAGTTTAGATTGTATGCCTGAGGCATCAGTCTCTTCGTCGAAGCTTCAAACTCAATTGTCCCGGTCCAAGATAGTGATAGTATCTATTCAAGAAATGACATATGGTCAATGTGAGTCCAAGTGCCATGTGTTTGTGTTATCCGACATGGAGCGAGGATGTTTCAATGGTTTATACATACGATATATATATGCTGCTTAGGAACAACTTTGGTCGATCCCGCGAAGATCCATCCGAAGCCTTTTCTGAAGTAGTATCCCATGTTTTAATATAAGAAAGGGGGAAGTGTTTCGCACCAGGGCTTATACTATCTAACTCCAAACCTCAAGACAGACCCGACCAGGACTTGAAAGAAATTTGAAGGCGCGGTGTCAGAAATGAGCAGTGAGCAGAGGTAGAATAGAGCGGGTAGACCGCTAGCTCCACCGCTATTGTTGAAAAAAGAAGTCCATATCAGATCTTAATCCTCGATTGAACCTCCAAACAAGAGATCTCTGTTCATGAAGTCGTACAATAATTAAGATAACCTTCATGCTACATGCTACAGTATTACCACGTAGACGAGGCCAGCCATTCGGCCATGGCAAGGGGTTGGTCAGCCCCCCAATTTAGGTTCCCAGTGGGGACGACTTAGCCGTCGTTCATGCACGAACCGCCCCCCACCAATCGCGCCATACACGGTCAATCGACCTCCCCTTTCGTCGACTGGCATAACTCTCCGACCGATTCACTACTGTGGGTTAGAATGGACGGATAATGGAATCTCTCCGGGTCCAACGCAGGCGATTTGGCACTCCAAGGCGCCGGTTACTCGCGGCGGCTGCGGTGTTTATTGTGTTTATCCTTCTGCTGCAGCTACTGCTCGCCACCGCGTCATGGCAGGGGTGGCCTGTGTCCTCCCTCAACCCCTTCAGGTCCGGCACTCTTATTTGCCTCGTCGTTTGTGTTCTAACCCATGAGCAGACATTCTTACTCATTTCCGATCGAATTTGCAGGACAATATCCGCATGGCCTCCGACGGGTCATCAACAACCCCTATCCTGATTACAATTCCGCGTCATGGAACTCGACATGGCGGGGTTCACATCGAGCGTGCCTCGGGCCCCATGGTCGCCTGCTGGACCGGCACGATGCGGACACGATGATGAGCGGGTATCATTGGAATGCGTCGGACTTCCCGGCCCCGATCTTCGGTTCGTACGAGAGCTGGGGCCTCGATCGCGATCTCTGTGCGGATTCGGTCTCGCGGTACGGCGCATACGGATATAAGCACAGGACCGACAATGGCTGGCCCGGCTCCTATGGAACCAATCATGCGGCCGAGCTGGAATGGGACGACGTGAACTGGGCCAATCTACAACATGACTGCCTGCTGCGCAACGGAGACCGGTTCCGAACCACCAGGCCCCGGGAGAAGCAAATATGGACCCTTCACAAGCGGTGGGATACGACCGTGCATGATGAGCTTGATCTCAGCGACCCCGAGCCGGGGATTCAGCCGCGGACAGCTGTGATCATGCGCACTTGGCTGAGCAAGCGATACATGGAGGACGACCTACATTACATTCGGGCGATGATCATGGAGCTGGCTCTCCATTCCGGCGGGGAATATGACGTCGTAGTTTTGGTAGATTGCAAAGGCGCCGAATTGCCGAACCCCATGGACACCGTTGCCATGGACAAGTTCAAGGCAGAACACCTACCCAGAGAACTGCGCGAGCTCGCCCTCTTTTTCAACACGAAGATATTAAAGGAATGGTATCCCGAAATCGAGGCTCATGAGTATGTTGATCAACCAACTCCGACACCAGGATTCGGCTTCTAACAGCTTGACCAGCGCGGTTCTGCAGTATTTCCAGCCAGTCCAGCTTTTTTCGCGACTTCATCCACAATACGAATACGTGTGGCAGTTTGAGATGGACGCTCGTTACACTGGTCACTTCTATCGGCTAGTGACCCAAGCCACCGACTTCGCGAGGCGCCAGCCCCGAAAGCACCTCTGGGAGCGAAACTCATACTTCTATATCCCAGCGATTCATGGAACATGGGAAGAGTTTGCCGCGAAAGTAGACCGGGATATGGTAAGACGCGACAGCATTTGGGGTCCTCAGCCCGCAGAAGGCATTGATCTTGGAGGACACAGCCCTGTGCCTCCAGTGGCAAGTCCAGATGATGACGAAAGTGCCTGGGGTGTTGGCGAAGAAGCCGACCTAATCACTTGGCTCCCACATTTTGACCCTGCCGGGGTGAATTGGCCGTGGGGCCAAAAAATATACCATTTCCAACAGCAGAAGCATACACCGCGACGCGCGACCATTGTCGCCATGTCACGACTCTCTAACCGGCTTCTACGTGTCATGCACAAGGACCAGGCATACAAGGGCTTGGGTCTCGCGTCGGAAATGACGCCTATCTCTTGGGCCATGTATTATGGCCTCAAAGCTGTACAGGTTCCACAGCCTGTCTATCATGAGCGGGCATGGGATGCGGCAGAGCTGGATCGTCGCGCTAATTCTGGCGAACCGGGGGAGATTAATGGGGACCTCAACAGTATCTGGGGTTGTGATTCATGCCATGATATCCTTCTGTATACATCTTTTATGTTTCGCTCCTACTTTGCTGAGAGGCTCTATCGTGCCTGGCTGGGGTACGACGGCGCAGAAGAGGTGAGAGATCCATGGTCATTAATGATTTTCGGACTATACTAAAAAAGCATATAGTGGGAAAAGACAAATCGCCCTCTTTGTCTTCCGCCCATTTTCATTCACCCGGTCAAGAACACTGAGCGATAGAACCAGTCTCGAGACAGTACCTTGTCTCTGTGGCCAGTTTATCGCCGAGATCAGATCCAGGACCTGTTCACCAGACTTGTCACATGTATCCATGCTTAGCGTACATGGGACTGGACTAATTCAAAATGCATTTGCAGAATATGATCATTCTCAGCTGATAAAGTGTTGGTTTTAAAGATATACCACCGTTATGCACAGGTTGTCTAGAAAGATATTGCTACAATTGTCGTTTGATCTATGTGATATATGGTCTAAGTTAATCTGAACTAATTCAGGATTGTTCCGTCATCCCATGTCCAATAAGCCATCTTCCTAGGAATATGTGGTGTTACAGTAGGTACCTACCGAATACTGCAAGTCCTATTTGACCATCTTGTGGTAATCTGACCAAGTTAGTGTCACATAGGCTAAGAGTTACACTGTTCAACTGTATGAGCATGCATTATGCGCAACCCTTTGAATAGGGGTCGGAAATCGAGCTGATCTGGTCCCGGTCCCACCGCCAGGACCGGTCCGCCTCGAACCCGGCAGTAATGTCTTATCCTAACTGCCGACAGCGATCTGTTTATGTTTTCCTTTCAACATTCATCATTCTCTGCTAAGACGGCCAGATCCCTTACAGCCTGCTGAACATGGACTTAAATCCGTCGGTGACGAATAACACTCGTGTACCTGCGCATAAGAGATGCCCGGGAGCACGTACGTTCTATTTCAGGTTCCTCTGACAGTTTGTCTTCCAATGTCTGATTAAACCGAGGTCCACGGCAGCCTTGCAGGGCAGCGCATTTTTTATACGAGCCCGAGTACTCGGCTTGCCGATCGAACAACCGACTGTCGGCGGTGTATCCGGCAAAAACGGATATACATGCTCCACTCGGTGGGCCAGCGAAGTCAGCAATCATTAAGCTGCATCTTTTATCACAAGCCGCTGACATAGCATATACAAAGCAACTATGATTTAATATTCTAAAAAGAAGAGTGTGTTTTTATGTCTTTAAACCGGCAGCGTCGCTTCCAGTCGGCGTCTTAAAGAGATTGCGGCAACTTGGTGACATCGTGGCCCATTATGAAGATGGAAAAAGATGTGGAAGCATTGCGCCCCCAGCGCATTCCTTATTGGCAGATTATGACTGACCAGAGTGTGGTAATTATTAGAATTGGACAGGTGAAATCGGTAGTAATGCTAATATCTTCTCAAGGTCACACCGGAAATCATAGGCTATCCGTATGCGGGGTCAGGGACAGAAGAAAGCCCCTATATAGTCGAATGGATTCCTAAAGATCCGCGCAACCCGATGAACTTCCCTACACGGCAGAAATGGGTGTATACTGTGTCAGTTGCTTTCGCCACCATGGCTGTCTCATTGGCGTCCTCCGCGTACGCGGGGGGAATTGGTGAGGTGCTGGCGGATCTGGATGTGAGCCAGGAGGTTGCAACGTTGGGTGTATCCTTGTTTGTGCTCGGATTTGCAGTCGGCCCCTTGCTATGGGCGCCACTCAGCGAGCTCATCGGCCGCCAGCTTGTGTTTCTGGTTACTTTTTTCTCACTCTCTGCATTTTGCGCAGGCGCAGCGGCGTCACAAAATATCTGGACCTTGATTATTCTCCGATTTCTTGCAGCATCCTTTGGTTCCTCGCCTCTTACAAATGCTGGCGGTGTCATTGCTGACATCTTCCCTGCGGACCAGCGCGGTTTGGCGACCAGCCTTTTCGCCGGTGCACCATTTCTGGGTCCATCTCTTGGTCCTGTTATTGGCGGCTTCCTCGGTGAGAATGCTGGCTGGCGATGGGTGCAGGGCTTTCTTGCCGTATTCACGGGACTGATCTGGATGGCCGAAGGCCTCATTATTCCTGAGACATATGCACCACTGCTGTTAAGAAAGCGTGCTGAGCGCCTTTCGGCTATCACAGGCAAAGTCTACCGCAGTAAGCTGGAAGCTGAGCGTGGCAAGGTGCCCGTTAGTGACATGTTTAGGGCCGCGCTTGGTCGGCCCTGGATTTTGTTATTTGCCGAGCCCATCGTCCTATTACTTTCGCTTTACATGGCCATTATCTACGGAACGCTCTATATGCTCTTCGATGCGTTCCCTATTATCTTTCAAGATATCCGTGGCTGGAGTGAGGGAATTGCCAGCTTACCGTTCCTGGCTGTGATGATCGGAATGATGATAGCTGTCGGGATCAACATGTATGACAACAAGCGTTATGTGCGTATCCACAAGCAGCATAATGGATTCGCACCACCAGAAGCACGCCTTCCGCCGACTATGTGGGGCGGACTTGCCATCCCAATTGGGTTATTCTGGTTTGCATGGACCAACTATCCGTCTAACCCGTGGATTGTCAGCGTCCTGGCGACAGCGCCTTTTGGATTTGGCATGGTTCTAGTGTTCTTAGGAATCATGAACTATCTGATCGACGCTTACACTATCTATGCGGCATCAGTTCTCGCCGCTAATTCGATTATTCGATCATGCTTCGGTGCCGTATTCCCGCTTTTCACGACGTACATGTACCAAAATCTTGGGATACATTGGGCATCGTGCATTCCAGCGTTCCTTGCCGTTGCTTGTGTGCCATTTCCCTTCTTCTTTTATCGATATGGCCATGTTGTACGCCGTAAATGCAAGTACGCTGCTGAGGCAGACGACTTCATACGCTCGCTTGCCCAGAAGGCCCGCGACCCTAACTTTGATGACGACAAGGAGGCTGAATCTGAAGCTGAGGTGCTTGCCAATCAAGGAGCTGTCCCAGACACTCTTAACACTGCAGACGAGGATGCATTTAGTTCTCGTTCATCCCTGGAACGCACTGAGACGGCCTATGATGCCAATCCTTTCGATATTGATCACGTCAACACGCGCAACTCGGCAATCACGCAGCGGTCGCGTTCAACCAAAGGTCGCCGGCATGGTTTTTTTGGCCTGGGACGGAAGTGACCTTTAATTGTTTACCGCACAAGCCATAATAAAGTCTTGTGGTATCGAGGATGCACCGTCGCATTTCCTGGATTTGTTACAATATATAGTCAATCCTTTCAAGAGAGACGGCCTGCTATAGACCGAGCAAAAAGCAATGAAATACCAACAAAACGACTACATATTTGCAAGAACTATTGGCAAGATTGCCCAAAGAGATGCCATGTTCACAGGGGGTCACAATCAACCAATGTTTAATAGCCGGTCGCATTGGGTAGCTTTTCCGGTGCATCATGACGGAAAGTGTTTGTGATCAAATTGCTGAATGAGGGAGACCACTCTACGCGTGGAGTCAGGGTCTCCAGATCCCAAAGCTCGGAAACAAACTTGAGGATGGAGGTATGGGTGAACTCATTCTTCCCCGAACTGGGCTTGTTCTGAATCACGCCCTTCTCCACCCAGGGAGAAATCAACATAGTGGGCACGCGAATGCCCAGGCGATCAAAGTGGAAGGTGTAGTTCTTGCCATCGGGAGCTTGTTCAACGTAGGGCAGGTTGTCGCCGGGAGGCACTCCAGTCGGCGGAGGAACATGGTCAGCAAAACCTCCGTGTTCGTCCCACGTCACCTGACCTGGGGTTAGTATAGAAGGGAAAAAAGGTGCTGAGACTGGGTCTACTGCTCACAATTAACAGAGTGTCTTTCCACTGCGGCGAGTTGCGGATGGCATCGTAGATTCCCTTCATGAAGTTCTCGCCCATGTTGATCGGGGATTTGGGGTGCATAGACATGTAGTCACAGCATTCCGGGTTGATCCAAGTAAATTGCGGTAGCTTGCCGGCTTTGGCATCTTCGTAGAAACGGTCAATAGGCAAGACATTCGTCTTTCCCTTGCCAGACTTATGGGTCCACTCGTAGAACAATGAGTCCGGCAGGAAGCTCGAGCTCCCCAAGTTTGTGGTGTTTTGGTAGTTGATCCAGCTGATGTTGTTCTCGGACAACTGCTGGAAGATTGACTTCTGGGGCAGCTTGGAATCATAGAAATCCTCGTCGTTGGTACCGTGTCCGTGAGAAGTACCTGAAGTCAAATACGCACGGTTGGGGTCTGTCGGCCCGGGAATCGAGGCGAACCAGCGGTCGAACAGCACATAGTTCTCCGCCATGGCATTGGTGACGGGGACCATGTCGGGCTGGTAGTAGTTTATCACCTCGGCAGCCTCCATCATTTTGCCCTCCAGGTCGTAGTAGGCACTCTGTTCGGTGACAAAGCCGCTCATAGAGGAGTGGGCATCAGGAGTAGGATGGTATGTACCAAAGACCTGCATGTTCCCACCCGTGATGCTATGGTCGGGGTCATCTTTCGCAATGTTTTTGGCGATTCCAGCCGCACAGACTGCATGGGAGTTCGCTAGAGACACATTGGCCGGATTGCAGTAAGATCTATTAACTAGACCGTCAATGTTGGGGTTGTAGGTTAAGCCACCGGCAAGAGTGTCGAAGGAGCGGTTCTCTTGCACCAGCACGACCACGTTCTTGATGTTGCTCATGCCGGAGTGCGCAGCCGCACCGAGCCCGAAGGCAAGCAAGGTGAATGGGAGGGTCATGATGGCTGGGATGTGCAAAGAGAGGACGTGTCGGACGACTAACATTATTATCTCTATCCCCTCAATAATAATCCCTCTCCGTCGGGGTCACATCGCGGTGGAGTCGCATCCACAACATCCGCGCAATGGGAACATTAATATGTACGCAAATCTGCCTTGTTCGGAGCAAGCCCTGTCGATCATTAACTACTGTGGGGTCGGAGAACTGAACTTCCAGCGGTCGCGAGGCTGCGATTGGAGTGCTCGCTCTCCCCTGTCCCTGATTGACTTCCAGACATGCCGTTATCGGGCGTTAGGGCAGAGCCGCCGGCCTCAGCCATAACTAAAAAAAGCAATCGATCACACGAGCATTATTATTATTGAAGTTCCGACAATCTCGCGCCTGGAGAAAGGGTTCCCGCCCCCAAAGGATGGACCTAAGGCTGCCGTCTAGAAAACTGGGCCCGGTGAAACAAGCGATGATTGCAATAAACTAAACGATCGGAATAGCCCGACCGTGCATTAGACAAAGTGGGAAGACAAAACTGGGCCCTTGTGCCTAAACAAGTAATGCTTGCGTAGGCCACGCTCACGCCGATCCTATCGCGTGAGTTTTCGGAGGACTGGCAGCTCATCGGGACTGGCCTTGGCAAATGCCATGGCCCCGGTTCGTCGCTTGCTAGACCTCGATCCACGTAACTGTAGGAGTAGTGGGAAGATGGCATCAACCTAGCCGCGACTATGGAGGCAAAGTGCTCATGGACTTACAAATTTAAGGGAACTATGACGCGAGAGTTGGTGGATAATATTACTGAAGGGGTTTCAATGACTACGTACGGAGAGATGTGGCTACTCTGCGATTAGTTATTACTGCTTGTTGTCTTGTTAGTAATTTGCTATTTCATGCAGGTGTGCTACACGGCACAATGCACTGATTTCCGGGGTATCGGAAGAGTCGAGTTGGCATTAGGAGGACTTTCAATGTATGGAATCGACATTCGTTCTGTTGCAACAATTACTATCGGAATACCGTCTCTTGCTGGCCTCACGACGAGGATATTCCTCGAATAACGTATCGATGATAGCTCTTAATCTCAAATACAGGCTGATTGATGCTAATGGTTTGCCCTTTCAGTATAAGTCCATCTGTTCTTTTGCTGAACGTGCACCATGAGCTATTGCTGTTAAATTTTGGCTTTAGCCGGCTCCGTAGCCTCCATTTCCTTCTTCTTTGGTCCCGCAAATCCGAAGATGTACGCCGCTATTTTGCGCATTTGGATCTCTTCTGCGCCCTCGGTAATGCGATATCGCCGAAAGTGCCGGTAGCTGGTTTGCAAGTTAGCGAGTGTATCATGAAGTACGCTTAATTGCCCTTCCAGTCATACATGTGTTCGAAGGGATAGTGCCGAGAGTATCCATCTCCTCCGTGGATCTAGTCCGTTGATTATTGTCAGTCTAGGTGACATAGTGTACCCATATAGGCCACGAACCTGGATGGCACGATCTGCTGCCTGACAGCACAACCGATTCGCCCAGAAATTGCACATGGCTACTTTGTCGCTCAGGCGCTGTTCAATCTCCACCCATGGCGGGTGTTTCACGTCTGGCGAACGACATTCTGCAACGATTCGATCCATTTCCCAACTGGTCCTCAGGATTAGTAGTCGCAACATCTCTACCTGAGTCATCAATTCCACGACCGGGAATTGGATGGCCTGGTTATCGGCCAGCGTTCGGCCTTCACCCCAGATCTTCCGTGTCCGTGCTCGTTCGATGCTGCGATCTAGACAGTATCGGGCCGCACCACAGGAGCTCGCTGCTTGCCGAATTCGATTTTCGTGGACAAAAGTCTGTGCAATTGCTAGTCCTTGATCTATAGAGCCCAAAATGGCCGATTCTGGTACCCAGACGTGGTCTAGGTTCACCGTGGCGTGATCTGTTGGCATGTTCAATGTCCACTCATAGCTCGCGATTTGCACCCCTGGTGTGTTCCGAGGCACAAAAAATGCCGTGATACCACGCGTTGAGCCAGGGCGGCCAGATGTCCGTGCAAAGACGAGGAAGTGCGTGCAATTATGCGCGCCCGTTTGCCACTTCTTCGCTCCGCTAATCTCGAATCCGCCGCGCTCGGAACGGGCCATGGTAGACATAAATGTGGCATCACTCCCATGATCGGGCTCAGTCAGACCGAAGGTTGTTCGGAACTCCCCGCGCAGCCGGGCGGGAATCAGAGTCCGTCGCTGCTCCTCGCTTCCAAAATGATGGAGCATCAGGAGATCTGGAAAATTGCCGACGACACTGTGCTCATTCTGCAGGTCATTGGCGAGACCCAGCCCGCCTCCATACACCGGGTGAGACGACAAGTGATAACGAATCGCAGCCATCCACACATTTGTGTCTGGATGCTCTTGTCCACCGTACTCTTTGGGAAGAGCGAAACGGTAGAATCCCGCTTCATCGGCGAGGTTGCGGCCTTGTTCTGCGATGTCGTCAGCCTTACACCTGGCGTCCCTCTGATGGCCACGAACTCAGCAGCTCCTCCCACTCCTGACGAGGGTTACCATCATGGTCCCAGTCCGTGCGGGCATGTTCTCGGCGATGGTCGAAGAACCGATTATTGTCACCGGAATGTTGAAGCGGCAAGATAGTCGATTGGATGAAGGAGTCGAGTGACGCTAAATGCGACGTGAGCTCTGGAGGCAGATCGAAGTTCATGATGGAAATCTGGTCTCTCTGGCGATGCCCTGTGCTGCTGTTGTGTTTTTGTACACCATTTCCCCGCGTTCGGACCTCGGCTGGGCGGGATTGGAATAGATCACTCGACGTTGGAATAAGGAGCCGCCAAGAAGAACCCCTCTGTACGCAGAGGAGCAATACTGGACGGTCTCTGCTAATGCGAACTTGATCGAAGCAGAAAATAGTAGGAAATAAAAATAGGGGGTCAAATCACCAGTTTCACCGGCCACAACTATGGCGGTGCGATAATGAATCACGCCCCGCATAACCGACCAGTCGGTTTGTGTGACTGTACTCGATGTGTTTCGAAATCCCCAGTCTGTAATGCCCACGGTGTCCCATGATCCCCCAGTGAGCAGGGCCTCAATCAGAATCTGACGCGACAAGAAAAAAATTTGTTAGAGTTCTCCTTACGCTATTTCACTTACGGATTAATTCCTATACCCTCTTCGCCGCGTCCGTCTTAGCCGCCAATGCAGTGCTTCGGTCGCCATTTAAAGCAGCTTTCCCACTGTTCACAACATATATGTACCGTGGGTTAGGTATCCATTTGGCTTCATCTTTCCCTGCATTTTGACAGTGGTGTGAATGCCGTTCCCCTTTCTGTTTTATCAGTACGGAAAGTTGATCCGAGAACGCTGCGAGTATGCTGCGCAGTCTGAAGCATAGATGCAGCAGCTTCAACAAAATACAAGGGAGCGGCTAAATCTAAATGAGTGCGGATAAGAAATATAGTACAGAAAGATTAGGGATCTTTCATGGTCTCTTCCTCGACGCTTATCCTGGGCACGATACCGAGAGATTATTTAGTTCACAGTTGAGTTGTAGATACTAAAATATATCTGTGGTTTACACCATCAGAATACCCTCACAAGTATCGTCGTTGTCTGTTATATACAATTATGAATCGAGTTGAGATTATCGACGCCCGGAAAGGAAGCGAAAACGAGCGCATGATGATAAAATGTTAGCAGGCCGAATCCCAGCCCTAGCCAGCGTGCACTTGCGAGGAAGACAAACTCGACTGGTGGAACTGGGCATTGCATTCAATGTGTTGTTAAGTGCTAGAGTAGGGTGAAGACTGTGGTATATCTGGTTGTTTTCCCCAACAACAACTAATGGACCAGTCTTTCCCTACCATGCGCATCGTCGTGGACTGAAATGTCGAGGGTGAGATAGCTAGCCACCGGTGATTGCATGTCTGGGTTAAGTCCATGGCCTGTTTTAAACCAGACCGTTAGCCAGCAAGAGTTAGCTTTATTTACAATCTCCCATCTTCTCCTCGGGTGTGCCCCATCCAGTTTAACACAGTGGCGGGTCTCACACCCAACCCATTCACCCGGCGCATTTACAGCCGGGACCAACTGCAAGTCATATAACTAAATTCCCCGAAACCTACAATGAAGCTTGTAATCGGCCCCAGATCCCTGTATCAGTCCCAAACAACCGGGCGTGTCCCTAGCAGTCCCCATTTGGGCACCGCGCTGTTGATCTCCTTTCTCCATATACCTGATACGTGGGTAGAAGCGAAACCAATGCTTGCTGCAGTCGGGTGGCCAAGCTTTTAGACTTCCGAAAGCTGGCTGGTGAAGGGTGCACATACATTATTTGAAATGCTTGATGCTCTGCCGACAGAGACTAAGCTTTGATTTGCTGTATTCATTTTTACCTGTCTCCACTGAACTTGATTTTCGTTCTGCAGACTATCGTTCCCGGATTCTCTATTGCTTCTGTAATAGTTGAAGACTCCGGTGCAATGTAAGACACGTCGTACAACGAGGGCTTGTTGTTGAACTGCACCCACTCAACTAGTTCGGTTCGGCCGTGTAACTTTCCTACTAATTTTGACGCACGTCAGTCCAGGGTCCTCGAAATAAACCTTTGAAGTAGAGACTATGGCATTTGGACCGCAAGCGATGCAGCCATATGCTTTGCATTGAACACCGTACAGTGGCTTGAATACAAGTGTCGACTAAGATGCCTGTTTCAAATCGGAAACAACTTAGCATTGCTTATTTTTAGTTGCTCACATATTTATGCATAGAATAGCAGATAAAAAAGTGCGCAATCCAAGCAGATAGGTAGTCTTAGACCGCTGTCCTGGCAACCCGTTTCCAATAGGCCGGCTATGTTCTTGAAACTGGGACCCGGTCCACTATGATAGTAGCTGGCATTTGAATCCTCCATCAAATCACTTTTTTGTTGCGCGGGAACACAGGTTTTTACAAATGGAATGTCAATAGTGACATGGAGGTACATATTGTTCTCTCAGAAAGATACGCCCCAGCTAGCCCTCTTGATTCACAGCTCTGATACTCTTTTTCTGAAACCAGCAATGCACCCAGCTGCGAACTACCGCCATTCACGACGATCAGCTTGTGATCGCTGCCGCGGGTTTAAATTGCGCTGCGAGCGGGATCACTTAAATGGCATGTCATGCGAACGGTGTATAAAGGCTCAAGTAAGATGCGCGACGAGCGTGAATCAGCCATTGCCAATTTTCCTGCCATCTACCCATAGTGCCGACTCTATACAACCAGCCATAGACGGCCACCGTCTGGATAACGACCAGGCTACTTTCCCTCTTCTGCACCGTTCATCAAGCTCGAAAGTAACAAAACCTGCATTCGCTGCAGCACATCGACGACCGGAAATGCAAGAATCGGGCTGCTGGAGAGACACAAATGAACCGACTTTTTCTCCTGTGGTACCTTTGCCTACCAGTGAAGAGCAGTTATTTTTCCAGCAAATGCTTCCACAATGTGCTCTACCATTGTCCTATGAGCCTTTTCGAGACCAACAGGCCCTGTGGCATCCCGAGCAATGTCATCAACTAGTGTGTTACTTCCATTGCATGTTTTGAATGTTAATTAAAAATTGGCTAATCTCGATTCTTTTAGCCATCCGCAAACTATTGTCTTAGAGACATGCGATATCGGCAAGAAGACGAGTCAGGGATTTCCACAATCCACGAGCTTGATACTCACCTAAACGTTGGAAATAACAAACTTATTGCTGACTCAACGTCCATACTACCTGCTCAAGGCATCGGTGGAACCTTTACTCCTGGGGAAAGTGTTTTGTATTCCTCGTGGGACAGTGACATTGGTTCCAAGACAGAGTCAGAAATATTATCTACAACAACAGGAATAAATGGTAGTACTGACTCTACTTTGGATATTCGAAACGAAATGCTGAAGTTGAGCGTGGAGCTTACTGAAGATTTGAATATTTTGGAAACTGGCTCGATGCTCCTAGAATCATCATCACTCGTGCAAACGCAGCTCGACCCATCAGCGGGAAACTTAAGCCTGCCTATCTTTCGCATGCTCAGCCACTCTACACGATTTTTGTATTTGCTTTCACGCTTAACCGGCACGTCGGACATCTCTTTCGGGCCGACACCTCCGGAGTCAGGCTATGACGGCTGGGATTCTCTCAATCAGACACCCAATTCAACTGACCAGTCGACAAGTCTACGTGATGACTATGAGGATAGCACAGAGCGAGTAGTCGCAACAGCATCGTCGTATGACTCAGGATACCGGACAGCGACTGGATCACCACAGGAGCCAACTAAGACCACTTTCATGTGGGACATAACGACTACTTTAAGCATCCTGACCAGTTATGTATCTCTTCTTCGAGTTTATCGTGCTGTTTTTACCCGACTCTGTCAACTTATCCTCATCATCCCTCCGTCAAATGTCGGAGCATTTCTCATGCTCCCGAGCCTACAACTCGGACAATTTCACATGGACCAAAATTTGTCTGTCCAAATTCAAGTCATAACGGAGCTCAGTTCCGACATGTTGAGCAAGGTTGAACGTGCTCTCGGACTGGTTTCAGATTCGGGTCGAGAGCAAGATGCAGACTCTGTTCACACAGTGCCCATATTGGAGGATGCCTTCTTGATTTCGATACGTGATCTTATTTTGGGTCAGGAAAATTCATCCTACAAGATGTCGTTGAGGGACACAATGAACCGTCTATGTCAACTAGTGAAGGAACCTGCTGGGGCTTAAGCATATTATTGGCCAACCTTATTATCCGTAAAGAGGGATCAAATGATACCGTGCTTCATTATTATTTTCCCTTGTTTTCAAGATTTTTCCATTAGTATCTATGAAACCTAAGAGTGTGATCGTTGTTTTGGCGACACTGATGTAAAGCCACTCTTCTGGTAGTAGCCATAATTCTAACAACTTTCGAAAATATCTTTTGGTATTCTAGATGGTATAAACACATCTCACTTCCTTGTTAGATCAAAGGACACCCATGCAGAAATACTGAACGTAATTTTTTTTGTGGATTATTTATTCGTCCAGGAGAGCCCATTTCAGCTGGGCTGGCAAGGTCATGTGGTTTATAAATTCCGGAACTGAAACATTTTCAGAATTGTAGTATGAACCAAGCTCGCTTACTATGATCGGACTCGGAGTCCGAAAAAAATAAGAGTGCATGACCTTCCCGTCATCCAAGGGGTTCGCAGTTATACGACCTAAAAGGGACCTGGGGCCTTCGGAAAGATAGAAATACGCACAGGCTAGTTTCTGTACATAATTGCTTGAGTTGATTTTCAACTCAGACCTTAACCTAATGGCTGCCCCAAATTCAGCATACATACACGATTTGACAGGGACTTGGGCTCTGGTATGTTTTATCCTCTGCTTATCATATAATTGAGACTGAAAACGACAAATAGAACAGAAAGTTGTCCGATGATCCAGACAAAGTGTTTGCTTTGGTATGCAACAACATATGCTTTAAGACAATAGGTTACTGAGCACAAACAGCAAGGGGTTCCCTGGCTTGTTCGTCAAGCCCTACGCTACGGCAGCTTAACTTTGACAATGTCCCAGTCGGAGAATACGAGCGAAGCTACGGATGGGGTATCTGGAGATACAACGACGGTTATACATGTCAAGCAAACTGTTCATCCAGGAGGTTTCGATAGCGAAGGTGATTATCCAGTCGACGGCAAGCCCCATGATGCCTCGCTTCCAATTTTCGGAGATGTCAGCATGCAATTCCGATACAGCGATGCTGCGGAAATTGCAGATAACACCCTTCGTGGAAGCTATCAAGAATCCGGAGACTCACGCATAATTGATGAATTTGCTCTCAATGCGGCCAAAGGCTGGGAGGCTCGGGTGATTTGGGGCTTCGAGCTGATCGACGGCAAACGTCGTCTTACCAGAAACACCAGAACGACCAAGGATGGGGACACTGTTGATGCTAGATTCGTTTATGATTACCTGAGGTAGCCAGGGTAAATCTGCCTTGGCTCGCTAGAAGCTTACACAAATTTGAACATCCCATTATTTCCTCTTGGCTTACCTGATGGTAAGCTTTATGTATCAGAGCAGCAATCGATCGATTCATAGGTCGTGGTTTAAGTGGATGAACTATCATATATATAGCTTGTTACCGACCTACATGTCTTAATTTTCGTACTCTGCCAGCTTTACAATGAGCTTCCGCCCAGAGACCTTCCCTTTCCGAAGGAGCTCCAGTCCCGTCAAAATCCCATCGAAGCGGCCGGGGATAATTTCAAATGGACAAGGCTTCAGTCTTCCATCTTCAACTAGCTGCTGCACGGTAAGGTACCATGTCCGAGCCCATTCCCCAATCTTGGGATTTGGTGGAATACCGTAAGGTTTCGGGAGATCGACACCGCGGCCAGCGATGGCGCCTCCCATAACGAGCTCATGTTTAACTGTTCTGCGGGTGCAAAGTTGTTCCTGATACTGCTCCAATGCACAGTATCGCCCTCCAGTCCGAGAAATTGCAGAGTGACAAAGTCTCAAGGTCTTATTCTCAGCAAAAGGGTCCAGGGCGAAGCGTAGAGTATTCTTGGTAGCCGCGCGGATGTCATCGGCGCACTTGGGTGAATTATAGTCAAAGACCAAATCTGCACCATAACATCTAACCAGATCGAAATTGTGAGGTGAACAGGTGGTGATGACTCGGTGTCCGCAACTTGGTGATCAGTCAGTTTGGTATCCAGCCATAGAAATTCAAATGATGGCTTACAGTTTCGCCATTTGAATGGCAAGAAGTCCAATAGTACTGCTTCCACCGTAGATCAAAACATCTTCCGCTTTAGCCACAGGTTTGTCTAAACTTCCCGGAAGCTCCAGAGACCAGAACAATGCGACTCCAAGTGTTGCGATGGCCGTACCCGAAATGGCAGGGGCAGTGGCGATGGACATCCCCTTTGGAATGTGAAATGAAAAGTCGGGTTCCGCCTTTATGTATTCACAGTAAGCGCCCGACTCTGGGTCTGCCTGGTTTGAGCCTTGAACAGCCCCGAAAACGTGGTCACCGAGACGGAATCGTCCAAGTTTGGTTGCTTCCGTACCCAGAGCGACAACTATCCCGGCAAAGTCGCAACCGTCCCAGAGACCAGGTGTGGGGAATCGAGCTGGCATTTTATAGTCACAGGGATTCAAAGCCACGGCGATAGTTTTCACCAGCATTTGATGTGTTCCAATCTCGGGAATCTTTACTCCGGGGGTGACTTGGATGCTACCACCTTCATATTGTATGATTGCGATTTGATGGTCGGGAAGCTGAAAGTGAGGCTTCATTGTGAGATGTCGATATCATTTAATGAGACGACAGAGTCTCAAGGTTCAGTGAAATAAATTGGACAGGACTTGCTGTTCCTCAAGACTCGGACTTTTAAGAAACGGCATGCGACGCCGCGCTAGAAAAATTTGCGCCACGAATTTGAATTTCACCTAATGCTAATAGCCATTTCAAGTAATTTTACCCAGCGTGACTCGTTTCAGACTTGAATAAGATGAGATGTCAACTCCGTCCGATTGAAAAGCTACAGTGCAGACAACAGGACGGAGTGGAAATCAGCATAGAGATGACAATGCGATCGCCACTTTTGCCAGTTTACAATTCAATCAAGTCCTGAACAAAACAAATATTGAACAGCTCAAGCGAGAAATTAGTGTTTCTCGTGAGCCACGGTCAAAAACATCTTGTTAGAGACATATGAACGAAATATTCAATCCAGGATGCACAGAAGAGATGGCCAAAACGAGACCCTGTCACAATTCTTTCGTCCGGGCTTGAAGCCATGTATAAAGTCGTATCCTGGAACCTTTATAATACTCCATTCACTGTCACTATGAAATTGTAGCAAATTTAATGATCTATCTAAGACTACAGATCCCATCCGTCAAAGTCGCAGAGATGGAGGTAAACTCGTCGCTGTCCGTCTCAGCTTGGGCTGGCTTTCATGTTCAGGACTAGGGCCATCCTCTGATGTATATTGAGGCCTCATAATCAATAAAATCCCGTGACTTTGAAGGAAAGACATTGAAAACGATCAGAATATTCCATGTGAACTTAATTTAGCTCGAACTGTCAAATTGAAGCCCAATATTCTGGCTGATCATATTTACATGGACAAACGCTTACCATATTAAGTCCGCTTCAGACATTATCTGCAGTGGGTAATAGTTCAAGGTGTTAGTAGGTACAACAAAATATGGATTTGTGTTAGATTTCATTGACAATAGTTCCCACATTCTTGATTTCATGGCTTTTGCAGAGAGAGGGCACACTCAAGTTCTTCATCCAGTCCCTTCGCTGTATTTGATCAACCGCGGCAGCAAGACCTGTCCATCCGATACCCTGCGTAAATATACCCCAAGTAGTGCATTCATTCCCGCCTTCTCAGCGCGCTCAGCCCAACTGTTAACAGGAATCACTTCAAATGCACCACCTGTCCCGAGCTCCATCAACGACTGCACTTCTTCCTGACCAATTTGCATCTCTCCAGACACGTAGATATACTTGACGTCTCCTGAAAGTGGTTGAATTGCTGTAGACGAATCCACCGACTTTATTATCTGGCTCGCCGCCGACTGTACCGATATGAAGTCGAACATGCCAGACCAAGATCGGGAGTCCGGTATAGCCTTTGTTTCATGGATGTACCGCATGAGATTGCTCATCAAGTCGAGTTCCGGAGCTTCTGGGCCTGTTACGCTAGATGGGCGATGAATCCAAACTGGAAGGCCGAACTGGCGGCTGACGCGTTCTAGATACACCTCACTGACCCATTTGGCAGCGATATACCCATCATCGGGTACTTGAGGTGGAGGATACTGAGCTACCGATATTTCACCGAAGCTGTCCTTGTGCGCAAGGCGTGCGACGCTTGCTGATGAAATGAAGTGGAATGGAACACGTCGCGGCAAGGCCAGCTTGACGAGCTCCTTGGTTGAGGCAACATTGATAAGTTTGAGTGTATGGTAGCTCTTCATGAAAGAGACATCGGCACCGTTGTGAATGATTATGTCGGCGTGGGAAAATACAGATATTGCATCAGGATCGTTAAGACCAAGCTGTGATGCTCCCAAATCTCCTTGATGCACAATCACTTTGTCATCAGAGAATATCTCTGGTAATTGAGACCGATCCTTTCGAACAGCAATGCAGTGTATCAACATAATTCGGTCGTCGTCGATAAGTTGTTGAAGGATCTCTTTGCCGAGGAAGCCAGTGGAACCGGTAAGTACAACGATATTAATACCCAGCGGAGGAGTAGCCGCAGCACCAAAGCTCAGCGTGGTTTGATCCACGTCAGATGAAATCTGTACCTCGTCTTCCCAGTCCACTGTCAGATTAGAGATGGGGGACGACAGGTTTCCTATTCGCGCGGCCATGGCGTGGAGGGCGCTTGCATCAAACAATTGGTACAATGGCACAGAAACTCCGAGTCTGTCTTTGATCAAGCCCTGTAAATTAACCAATGCCAGTGATGAACCCCCGACATGAAAGAAATCTGATGTCGCGCCGATGGAAAAGTGCTTGACAAGACCTTGCGGTAGCACTTCCTGCCACAGGTGACGCAGTGAAGTCTCTGACGGCGTAAGCTCTGTATCATGCGCCTGCTGGTGCGTAGCCTGGGGTATAGGGAGTCCATTGATCGCCAATCGATCAATCTTCCCAGAAGGGGTCAGCGGTATGTGGTCAACTCGAATAAGTGCTGCTGGTCGCATGTATTGTGGCATAGGTAATTCTGCCAGAAGATTTTTCAGGAACTGAGTCGGTTGAGAAGGTGGGTTGTCATCGCAGAGGACCACAAATGCGACCTGGAACTTTTTGCTTTGCTCCAGGTCTGGCTGAGTGCGAACTGAAACAACAGCCTGAACAATCTTCCCACCCGCAGCACGCACAATCGTGGTCTCGATATCTTCCAGGTCCATTCGAATACCACCAAACTTGACTTGGGTGTCACCTTCAATGCGACCCATGATAATCAAGCTGCCATCTTTGCAAAGTTTCCCACGGTCCCCGGTTCGATGAACTGTTGTCCACCCATGATCACGGAAGAATGTACTGGCATGTCGGTCTTGCAAGAAGCGAGCCTTTGTGTCGATTTCGTTGAGGTAACCTTGGCTGACACAAGGGCCACCAATTACCACTTCACCAGGTATCCCAATGGGAACAGGATTAAATCTACCGTCAATAATGTAGACGGAGTAATTGGGTGAGGTGGAGAGAGGCAAGTTGTTCATGGCCGAAGTTGCATCAAGCTGGGTATATGGAACTTCGGCGCTGCTGCATGCCAGCGTGGCTTCCGTTGGGCCGTAAGCATTAATTAACCGCAGGTCTGGTTTGTCGAGCAGCTGGAATTGTTGAATCAGCCCATTCGACAAAGCTTCTCCCCCAGAAATGGTTGTTCTCAGCTGAGAATATCTCAAGACCAGGCGTCCATGCTGAAGCCACCCGAGGTATTCTGCTGGCGTCCCAACCGTAACAGTCACATTTTCAGATGCGATCAAATCGGAAATTGCAACAGGGTCACTGCGAGTCAAGTTGGACGCAATAAGAAGAGTCCCTGCGGTACACAGGGAAATAAATATTTGGGCTAGAGACATATCAAAAGAATAGGATGACTGTTGCAGTATCGTTTCCTCTCCTTCGGCAAGTCTCCATTCACCAATTGCACCTTGAATCTTATGTACCCAGGCCAAGTGCTGGATCCTGATTGCTTTTGGAGTGCCCGTGGACCCACTGGTGTACATAATGACAGCGGTCCCCTCAGGCTCAGCAATGACAGGCACGGGACTTACGGCCGCACCACGGAGAATTGAAACATCAATCGGGTCTGCCTCTGACTTGAGAAGTGAAAATTCCGAACTTGTAGAGGAATCGACCAGGATAACTCGTAGGCGTGAGTCGTTGGTGATCACTGTCAACCGATTCATACCCACTTTTTTGTCCAGTGGAATATATGCTCCACCAACTCGAAGAATTGCTAGCAAGGAGCAAATCCAGTCTATATTTGGGGATTGGAAGATCCCTACTGGCGTTCCTGGTCCGACCCCATTGTCGAGAAGTTCATTTGCAATAATTGTCACCCGATTTTGCATCTGAGAATACGTGAGGACATGGTTCTGTTGATCTTTCAAGGCCGCGCGGCTTCCATAAAGGCGAGCAATTTCATCGACACGGTGAACGATAGTTGCTGGCCATTGATTTTTCATTTCCATACCTGTCCATATTTAGCATAATCTACTGCCCGAGAAGAAAGCGTGGTTGACTTGCCTCTCCCAAGCGACACGGCCAATTCCACATCTTCTTTTGAGTATAAAGAAGGCCAGCTCACTCGGGTTGCTGGATTCTCAACAAAAGATCGCAGAAGGGTGCAATAACTCCGAACAAGAATATCTGCATGCTCCATCTCATACAGATCTTTCCGTACAGAAAGACATAGACTGGTCTCCCCGTTGCTAACGTCGACAACGTCCAAGCTGAGGTCATACGCTGTCTCGCCAGCACCTAACAATTCGCCTTCAGCACGACATCCACAGAACATTCTGGATTCCTGGATCTTTCGTCGATAATTGAAAAATATTTGAAACAAAGGACTGTAGGAGGCTGATCTCGTGACGTATAACACGTTTAAAATGACGTCGAATGGCACACGCGAGTGTGCGAAAGCATTCTGTGCCACGTAGCGGATATCCTTCAATGCTTCCCCAAATGACTGATTTGGCTTTCGCATAAACTGGACAGGAAGAATATTGAGGAAAAATCCAATGCTATTGAGCACATCGCTGTCGGTCCGGTTAGCATCCCCGACTCCAATACAGACACTGTCTATATCAAGATATCCGAGAACCAAAATCTTCCAAATGGCAAGGTAAAAGTGGAATGGTGTCGTTTTGAATACCCGACAGCATTGGTCAACCTTTGCGCAAAGGCTTTCCTCAAGCCGGATCAGCGCAGTATGCGATCTGAACTGTGAGACGCTGGGACGAACTTGAAGCCGAGAAAATGGGAGAAGAGGGATTGGGGGCGGCAGTTCAACAAATTGTCGGCGCCAAAAGTCCAAATCATCAGCCCACACACCAGTCTCATACTCATATAACTGTCGAAGAGTAAAGTCTGGGTACTGTAGCACAGTTGAGGATAGAGGGAAACCTTGGTAGGCCTTTTCAACATCAGACCAGAAATTCTCAAAACTAACCCCGTCCATGTTAATGTGGTGACATCCGAAGATTATCCAATGCTGCTCTGGCGACAAGGAAAGAAGTTGGACGCGAAGAATATCTCCTTGTTCAAGGTCGAACACATGGGCCTTCATCTGCCTTGCAGCTTTGTCGACCTCGTTTTCGTCGATAATTTTGCCGTGTTCCAGACGCAAAATTGAGGTGGCCCAAATACCTTGCATATTCCGCTTCTCTCCATCAGTGAAGAAGAATGTTCTGAGCGCCTCGTGATGCTCACCCACCGATTCAAGGGCCTTGGCGAAAGCATCAATCTGGAGACGCCCAGTTAACCGAATTGTCGTTGTGCTGTTAAATGCAGATTTGTCTTCCACGAAGAAATTCAGGAACCAGAAGCGCGACTGACCAAATGACATGAGAAGCTTTTTTTGAACAATACGATTGGGGACCACCGGACCATAATCATCTGTGTATATGGATGATGCCGGGTCCTCAGTCTCCTCTGAATTGGAGTCTCCTGCTCGCAGAGAAGCAGTGGAACTACCGCTGTAAGCATTGGCCGAGTCCAAGTGTCGTAGCTTCAGAGACTCCATCATCTCCACAGTCAAGGAGCCTGCTTCATCCGCTGACGTTTCATTTGCGGACTCTGGGCCTTCATTATAGACATCCAAAGCGTTTAAATCGTCCAATTGGGAATTTTCAAAGGACCTTGCACCATCACCGACGTTGGGGATCAGGGCATCGGAGAGAAGCTCTGCGGCCGAGGCAAGTAATTCTCGGATTGATACAGCGTTAAAGATTTTCAGCACGGGCATGTCCACTGCCAGTTCCTTCAAGAACCAGGAGCGAAGATCAACTGCAACCAAAGAGTCGATGCCTAACTCGTCAGGGCTCATATCCAACATCGGCTTGTCGGGATCGGCTTGCAACGCGGTTTGGAGCTTTAGCACGAAGCCGTCTGCGATAATCAGCTGACAAGAATATTCATCCTGTCGAGAGCAGTCTTACCTTCTAGAATTCTGATGACTTCCTGACAAGAGACAGCTTCCAAAAGCTGAGCCTTGATGATGATGCCAGCCTTTCCCTTCTTGCCCCCCGCAAGTAGATTACTTGATCTGAATACCAGGTGTTGGAACATAGGGTTGGACACCCAGCTTTTGGACTCATCGTCATCAATTCTCAGTCCACTGCACAGCTCTGCAGCGCCCGATGGGTCTGTGCAAGACAGGACTCCTTCGGCGAAAACTTCATGGAAGTCTTGCTCAGACATCCAGGAATGGCCGACCCGGTAAAGGTAATTCTGCTGGCTCATGTTGAGCTCCCTAGTAACGTAGCCATTACCTACAACGGCACCGATATTGATCGCATAAGCTGCCAAGCCGCGCTTTTTCCGTTGAGCAGCCAGACTGGCCATGAACATGTTAGCTGCATTGTATGCGACTTGGCCAGGGTTACCCGTCGCTGCAGCCATGGACGAGAAGAAGATCATAAATTCGAGGGTGTTTTCCGAGAACAGTTCATCAAGCAAAATGCTGCCATCCACTTTGGGTCGAAGCACTCTCTCAAGCCGGGCGAGATCAAGGTCGGGGAACATTGTGTCTTGGAGTACCATAGCACCCTGGGCAACACCTGCAATTGGAGGCATTGTCCCACAAATATGGCGGTGTGTAGCACGTACAGAACCTCGATCTGTAATATCACTTTTTCAAATGGTTGGTCAGTAATTGCAGATGGGTTAGTGAAGAATGAACACGCGTACCTGGAGAAAACCCGGATTGTGCAACCCCTGGCAGCCATTTGGCGCAGCCACACTTCGTCAACCTTTGGGTTTCGGCTTGAAAGTGCAATGTATCGTGCACCTTGGCGTGCCATCCATTGGCACAGCGACAGACCAAGTCCGCCGGTCAATCCAACAAGCCAATATGTCTTGTCGCTTGAAAATCGGACCTGCACACTGGCGGGCTGAACTTGGGCCGGAAGCTTGCTATCACCCCATTCGACGATAAACTGTGAAGTTGGGGGGTTAACATTCTGTATGAGCTCATGCAAGTAAAGCCTTCCAAATCGGAGCAGATTGACGGGCGCGGGTTCATTTTGGATTCTCATCCAAGTCGCCTGGATCTGGGCAGCAACTTTGCTAGTGGCACCATAAGATTCTGAGGACGAAATTTCACTTGTGAGCGACTGTTCAGTTTGCACGTCACAATTGACCGGTAAACACTGCTTAATGATCGACATGGACTCTTGATCGCCGCCGATATTTACAAAACGAGCAATATCGAGAGGTAAATTCTCCAAAATCTCACGTTTTGTGGCACATGGATGAATGTAAACCCATGGCCACATGCAGGCATCATCTGCCGTTGTCAGAAACACGAGCTGGATGCCTTTCTCGGAGGCGCGTTGAGTCAGAATGGATGCAAACGAGAAGTCCGGATCCAGAACCACCAGCGACTTTCCTGGGGGTACTTGATCAAGCATGGCCGTAGCGAGGAAATGAATATACAGGCTAATTGTTGACTGAATTCCATATTCCACTGATGGTCCGCAACGAACAACCCAGGTAGGTGGGACATGGACGAGAGAGTTCAGAGATTCTGATGCCCCTATGACATGCTCGCCTGTTTGAGGATTGGTCCCAAAGACAAGAAACACACTGGCGTCATCCGTAATCTTGACAGCACGTAGAAGGGAGTGTGTCACAGTAATTTCTGTGCGGTCTGGATACGACACTGTATTCCGGATGTTGTTTTCGTCAATCCGGTATCCTGTTCTGGACCATCGAATAGAGACCAACGAGGTGTCACGATTAATTTCCTTTACTATAGAACGCCTGGAGGAATTATACCTGTCGTTTCTTGTCTGGTTCAGGCGGAATCGTGGAACCAGGAAGTTTCCATCCCTGAAGTCAAGCTCTGGTTCATCGTACCACAAAAGCCTGCCTCTCTCACCATTCTGATTCCAGGTGCCGGCAATCTCAAGCAGCAAAAGTTTCTGAGCTATGAGTCGTCCATTAGCCTCTATCAGTGAATGAAAGTTGAGGCGCTGGATGTGGAGGTGATCCATTTCTGAGACCAGCGTTCTCTGGACACCAGTAAACATGTTGGCATATGGGTTGTCGCCCTGTGCACCATATGTGACCCAAATGATGTTTTTGCTCTGTTTAAACAGCTCTTTGAAGGAATTCACCTTCTCCGATGACATGCTCTTGAACATTGGTTCATCCAATTCGATTAAACTAACCACAGTTCCCATAAAAGGCAAATCGGAAGAAATGAGGTCGATCAGCGAGGGGACATCGCGGATGTGGTTATAATGACGAGCTACTGCTGCTTTGATGTCCTCGACAATGACAGATGTTTGACTGGTCTTGCCCCCAATAATGGTCAATGATTCCAAACCCAGAGCCCGGTGCTCCAGCGCCAATGGTTCTCGCACAAAATGGACTCGATTGTCGACAGCTTGAGTAGCAATCACCGAAAATGGTATCGGTGATTTTGGATGCTGTGGAGATATCGCATCAATTCCGGAGAAACCGGCCTTTCTCATCAATCCCTCCCATGTTTCAATTGAGACTAATGGTGAATTCTGACGGCCTTCATCATAGCCCATCCACCAGCCAGGGAGTCCCCCAAGGACGAGACCAAAATGCATAACATCCGGGTTGGTCAGTTCAAGTAAGAGTAGATATCCGCCGGGTTTGAGAAGGCGGCGAACATTGGACAATGCGGCTTCAAGCTGTTTGGTTGCATGGAGCGCCAGTGATGCTATTATCAGATCGAATGATTCCTCTGCATAGCCTTGCTCGATGACATCCTTCTCAATGTCCAGCACTCTGAAGGTCATTTTGGATAAACGGTCGCTGAATCTCTCCTGGGCGTCGTCGAAGAGTGCATTTGAAATGTCAGTATATGTGTACGAAGAGAAAGCAGTGTTCATTTCTTTCAGAATGAGATCGGTTGTGGCGCCGGCGCCGGCCCCTGAAATATCGGTCAGTATAGATGCGTATTTGGTGTTTAGGTTCAACTAACCGATCTCCAGGACGCTCATGTGCGGGTATCGATAGCTGATTTGACCAGCCATTCTAGCCATTTCCTTGAGATAATGATGGATCCCAAGTGTGTTGGCGTAAAATTCATTCAGCATGTTCTCCTCTGTTAATACGTCCATAATGTTCTTCTCTCCGCGGATAACTGAAGGAAAGTTCTCGCCAACTGCATGAATAATTTTGACGTCAATAGAGTCGGGATAGCTATTACGGTCAGGTCTCAGATCGCAATATTTTGAGGAGTGGCCAGGTTCGTACCGGCTCAAAATCCGATCGGCATCCTCCTTTGTATCATTCGCCCATTGAGATTTAGCAAAAGGATGCTGTCCTGACTTAACCAAGGACAGGCAATGTTTGACATTTGAAAGCATATGAACGTGGTGCCATGTAGCCCCAGAACGTTCTGTTGGTGTGATAGAGAGGTCAAGGTTCTTCAAATGGAAGTGTGCTAATCGTTCCAAGTCCAGGGCCAGTGTGAAGTTTTCTTGGAACCAGTCCCTATCTGAATCAAAGGCACTTACTTTCGGGATTTCATTTCCCCATGTAATCTCCGTAAAAAGCTGGACATCGCTGGCAGCCGTGGGAGGGGTGAGTGGCGTGGTATGAAGGCCTTGAAGCTGAAGAATGGTGGCCCCGTCCGCAGAAAAGAGGTTCACATCACCCGATAACTCGGAGAATTTTGCAGATCCTACTATGGAGTGAAATGGAAGACTTGCTCCGGGGCCCCCGAATTCCACCCAGCCAGAGGGGTTAATGCGCACACAATCAATCTTGGTTGGCAGGTAAATAGTGCGCAATCTTCCGTCACCAGGAAAGCAATATGCTAGCATGATGGATTGGATTGCACCATCCAGTGACGCTGGGTGAATGAGCAACGGACGTTCGCTTTGGTCTCCAGTCGGGACAGCGACCAACCCGGTGGCTTCATCCATTTTTCTGCTCAAGTCTGAGAGCGCTTGAAAAGGACCTGTATAACTGAACCCGATATTTGAGACTGACTGGTAGAATCGGTCGGATTCTAGGTCCAAAAAGCGATCATAGGTGCCCTTCCGAGGAGGGAGCACATCTTGCCTTGGTTTGCCAAAAACAATCTGTATTTGCGCAGACGCATGAAGTGCTAGAGAAGAAAATGTCCTGTTTGCAGCGGAATAGCATGAGAATGTTGCTTTGACACGGTCGCTTCTGCGCTCGATGATCTTGAGGTCAAAAATGGTCTCAACTCCAGTATTCTCCTCGAGTACCAAAGCTTGCCGAATGATCACATCGTGGAAATCCATCAATTGGACTGTTTCCAGGGCGTATTGTCGCAGAATACATTCAACCGCTGCAGAAATGTAACCTGCTGCGGGGAAGACCATCTGTCCCTGAACTTGATGGTCTGCGAGCCATGGAATCTCCCGAGGATTGAGGTAGTTGCGCCAACGCAGTTGATCTATCGTCCCATCAGAACATCTGATGCCCAGCAGGTGGTGAAATTCCTCTTGTGTTGCTCGGAATGTAGTTGATAAACGAGACTCGTGCCAGTAGACGCGGTCGTGGTCCCAACAATAGGAAGGAAGTCCCTTCATCAGCTTAGGGGGATCACCAACGCCACCCGCTCTTCGGTCAAAGCTTGAAAAGTCCACTGCGTTCTCTCCAAGCGTCGCCCACAATGATCCAAGAGAAGAGGTAAATACCTCACGGTCGTTCTTATTCCGACTCAAAGTTCCCGAGTAAGGTATTGTGTTGCCGGAGATCTCTTGAACTGTTTCCTTTACAGGTCCCTGTAGCGCCGGGTGGGGTCCAATCTCCAACGCCATATCAAAAGGACCAGCTGCGCCAACAGCGTAAGAAATTGCCTGGGAGAACAGCACTGGGTTCACCATGTTGTTGCTCCAGTATGTGTCTACGAGGTTATCCCTGACATTTTCAATGTCATCCACATAGACACTGGATATCCAGGTGGCGCTGTCACTGGGACGAGATTGAATGTGCACGCCGCACTTCCGAACAGCCTCGACGTAAGGGTCACTACAAGGCATCATGTGGTGAGAGTGGTATGCTTTGTCCACTTTGAGCCGTCGATTGAATTTCTTCTCGTCCTGGAAGATCTCTATCGCCTCGTCGATAGCGTCTGCATCTCCGGAAAGCGTGACACTGGTCGAAGAGTTGCTACAAGCAACGCAGATCCGTTTATCGAGGGTCGGCATTTCACAGAGCTCTTTCGCATCTTCAAAAGATGTGCCAGCAACCATCATGGCACCCTGGACGCCATTGTGAGCGCCAGAATACTGCAATGACCAGCCACGATAGTATGCAATTCGGATAGCATCCTCGGCACTGATATAGTTTGCAGCAAAAGCTGCAGCAATCTCCCCCGATGAATGGCCTACAACAGTGTGAAATTGGATGTTCGCCGCTCGGAGGAGTTCCACTAGCACAATTTGAATCGCAGTGCACAAGGGCTGAGAAAATTCACCTTTGCCGATTTGAGACGAGGCGGCATCCTTGAGAAGCTCCTCCTTTAGAGACCAAGAGGGGCGATGCTCTTTTGGAAGCTGTTGCAAAGACTTTTCCAAACGCGATACACAATCAACAGCCATGGGAGAGCTGACCAGCAGCTCTGCACCCATTCGAGCCCATTGTGCACCCTGTCCGGTAAAAATACCGAGCAGCTTCAACTTGTGAACACTCGAGATTTGGGCGCCAGTCGAGATTTCAGACGATGATTGCGTGGCTTTGTCAAGCCTTGCTTCCAAATCCTCCACGCTCGACGCTGAGACAGAAAACCGAACAGGCAGTGTTGACCGGCGACAGGTCAGCGTCCATGACAGATCTCGCAGATTCACACCCTGATTCATCTTAAGGTATTCCGAGTAGGATGACAGGGTTGAAAGAAGTGATTTTTCGGAGGCTGCAGAGAAGTTAAACGGCAACATATTCACAGCCTCGGGGCATGGCATAGCATTCAACGACATATTCGAGTCGAATGTCTCCAGAATCGCGTGGGCATTGGCTCCACCAAATCCAAAGCTGTTCACACTGGCACGGCGAGGTACTCCGCTTGGAAGTTCAGGCCAATCCTGAGCGGATTTGAGGATTTCGAGGTCGTTGTAGAACGGCCGGACAGTCGGGCTCAGCTCGTTCAACAGGAGATTGGGTGGGATTATTCCGCATTGCAATGCCAATGATGCCTTTAGAACAGCCGCGAGGCCAGCCGTGCCTTCAGTATGGCCGATAACGGTCTTGATTGAGCCAACATATAAGGGCAATTCCTGTCCTGACCGTCGGTAGTAGTTTGCGGACGGGCCAAAAAATGCTGTGCTGATCGCTTCTGCCTCAACGGGGTCACCCGCCGGCGTCCCTGTTACCGTCAGCAAATTTATGACCGATATTTGGGGAGTTATTGTGTTCCCTTATCACTCACCGGTTCCATGAGCTTCGAAATACTGTGGGCGGTCACTGGGCTTCGACAGATCGAGGCCCGCTCTGGCATATGTCGTTCGAATAAGATCCGCTTGGGCCACAGGATTCGGCATAGTGATTCCTTTTGTGCGTCCGTCCTGGTTTGTGCCGGTCTCTCTGATAAGACATTCGATGTGATCGCCATCTGCTAGCGCTGCACTCAATGTCTTGAGAATGACGGCCGCAATCCCGTCACCGCGTGCATAGCCATCCGCGTCCTTGTCCCACATGCGGGAGCGGCCATTGGGCGAAAGCATCTTCAGTTTGCTCTCCGCGACGTATTGCTCAGGGCCTAGTAGGAGGTTTGTTCCTGCTGCCACTGCCACGCTGCTTTCACCACTTCGTAAGCTCTGGACTGCCTGGTGTAGTGCAATCAAACTGGATGAACAGGCTGTGTCGATGGTCATAGAGGGCCCATGCCAGTCAAAGAAATAGGAGATCCGATTTGAGAGAATACTCCTTGCTGTTCCTGACGCAAAGTACGTAGGTAGACTTTGGACATCTCGTCCAAGAAGGTCCGCATAGTCGTTCGTCATCAAGCCAACATAAACTCCCGTGTCGGAGCCTTGTAAGCGCTCCATTGGGATGCCAGCCGATTCCAGGCATTCATAGACAGTTTCCAGTAACAGGCGCTGTTGGGGATCAATCGAATTCGCCTCAACTGGTTTGGTCCCAAAGAACTGCGCGTCAAACAAGCGGTGATCCTCAGTCAGCACATAGGAGTGGCGGACATTGGTGGTACCATGGTGGAGACCGTCCGGGTGATAGAATGCCTTGGTATTAAAGCGACTTTCAGGGATTTCAGTCAAGACATCTCGCGGGTCCTTGAGCAAGTCCCACAGTTTGGAGGGTGAGGTCGCATCACCGGGAAACCGACACGCGCTTCCCACGATGGCGATGGGCTCAGTTGCAGCCATCATGGATACTTTGAAGTTTCACGTGGCTCGGTGCAACCAACAAAAGAGGTTGGGTATGTAAAGAAATCTAAAGGGTATCAATTCTAGAGAACCGCACGAGAAAATGCTCTGCAATTTTAGCTGCGACATTGCGAGATACATATCAAGATACCCGTCAAGTCCTCTGTTTGCGATCGTTCGGACCTTGAGGTTCCTGTCAGCTAGCCATTGCGCTCAGTTCAAGCCGACTCCGATGGGCTGCGCCTGGCAGATGGCGCGAAACCAGACGAATCACAATGTAAGCTGTCAGTCAAACCAGAAATCCGCCATGTGAGCGAAAATGGTTCCTGCTTTGCTTGCCACAACATCTGCCGTTTTTTGCGGTCCAGATCGATTGCCACGAGACTCATTCAGGGGTCATAGGCTGAGGTGGTTCTTGTTAGAACTAGTTCAGTTCCCGAGGACCGACTCCGACTCCGAAAGCAGTTTGTCGAGTGTATGAGGTCCCAGCTCTAGGACATTTGGGGAATACAAACTTGACAGGCCAATTTGGAATAGACAACGTCCTTGTTCGCCATTAGTCCGCGGCTCGGTTAGCCTGGTTCCATCGCTCCCTTCTGCATTTCTAGAAGGTCCATGGAGCTTAAGCGTTCTCCGCCGCCCTGCGTATACATGATCACATTGTTGTCCGGCCCTAATGATGGCCGCCTGCTTGGGGGTGGCGCACGGCCCGCGAAGCGTGTCAACCAGCAAAATAAGCAACGCGCGCCCCTGTCTACGGCAGCCGATTCCCCTGGCGATAAATAAGCACGCCAGTCACAATGAAGCGTCTAGCGGCGTTTATGGGTGCGTTCGCTTAAGCAGCCTCACTTGGCAATAAACCCTGATCCTGGTCTCCGATTCGTCTGCAGGTTTTGGTTCGGACGGCCCTACGGGATTATTTGGGCGGACAAGGGTGTTGTTGAAGGTGCGTTTTGTCACGGGGGTCTTTTTCCCTCGAGTCTTGAAAATTTATGGATTACCTCTAAGGCAAGGTGCATAGCGCAAGGGTTCTCCCATGGTTGACGGAATCCACGAGATCTCATCAAGCATATGCCGTTTGGTCGAACAGCAGCGTTTCTAATCGAATGGACCTATGCAACACGTCCAGCCCCAGTTGTTGCACAACCAAAAGAAAGCGGTAGGACAATGGGATTCGAGAGACTACTAAGATGGGAAAAATGCACCACTTGCCGTGTTAATGCCAACCTCGTCGGTAAATTCATTTGCCGGTAACTAGCTGCTCAATAGATATACACAAATTCATCATTCTGTCGGTCGGTAAGATCCAGGAACGCGTTATCGCCTACATTGGCGGTCTCGTGCCCAGTCTCATCATCCTTCATATTGCCCTCCTCGATTTCATGATAATGGTTTTGCATGGAATGGTCCACCATCACTGCTTTCTTGCCATTTCGGACCCGGCGGCGGGCCTGCTGTTGATTCAAAAAGACCAGGTTAGCCCATTGGATGAGCACGATCGCAGCTAGCGCGCAGAAGATGCCCAGGCAAGCGCGCAGGCCCGGGTGGTACGTAGGCGCGTCCTTCTTGCTAAACAGTAACGGGCCAACAATATTTCCTGCCGAGGAGGCGGCATTGTACAAACTCATGGCAACAGATGTCTTCGTGCTTCCAGCCGTGTTTCCAACGATCCACGTCACGATCAGCGGGTTACCTCCGAAGAGGAACGCAAGCAGGTAATAACCCGCCAGCAGGGCACCCTGCACTGATTTGGTCCGGGCAACCGCATACAAGATGGCCAGGCCGGCCACCACAGGCAGCATAAAAGCGGCCAGAATGACTCCCTTCAACCGAGCAACCTGTGCCAGATAACTCGCTAGCAAGATGACGATGAACTGTAATGCCCCAAATGGCATGTTCAATAAACTGGTAGTGTACGCGTCGTAGCCCAACCCGTCCAGGATAAGCGGGCCGAAGGTATTCGTGACGCTGGCACCGATGTTAAGCAGCATCGCCATCCCAATCCAAAGATAGGTCTTGAGTTCTAATCCCGCCTCCAAGACATGCCTGGCCTTGAATTCGCGGTTTCCGGTCCCGGTCTGGTTGGCGCGCAGACGCTCCCGGGCCTGGCTTTTCTCCTCTTCCGTGAAGAACCGGGCCGACATGATATCATTATCCAGGCGCCAATAGACAAATGGGGCAGACACAACGGTCACCAAGCCTACAAAAAGAAAGATGCTATAGTTGCGTGAGATTACCTCCCACCATTTAGGGACAAAGCACGTACATTTGCCAGGGTTTCAACAGGTCGGATTGGATGTGTCCCAGGCCGTAGGATAGGGCGGCCGCGATTATCGTTGCCAGTCCATTAGTGCTGTACCAGGCGGCGATGCGCAGAGGTTGTTCTGCACGGCGGTACCACTGGCTGGTGATGATGCTAAATAGAGGCAAGCATCCGGCCTCGAACAGCCCTAGGAAGAAACGTGCGGCCATCAGGGAGCCAAAGTTGTGGCACGCGGCCATGCACGTCTGGGCAATGCCCCATCCAAGGCACAGCACGGGCATCAAGATCTTGTGCGGTACCTTGACGATCAGAAACGAGGAGAAGGGCTGCCAGGCCAGCTGGGCGATGGGGGCGATGGACCCGACCAACGAGTACTGGTTGCCCGTGAGCCCCGTGTCCTCCTGCAGGCCAAAGGTTGCACCGTAGCCCAGCACGGACTTGTCCAGAATTTGCAGGAAATAGACCCAAATCAACACGACCAGAATGGTCTGATCGGTCTTGCGCCGAATGCGCTTGCTGTCCTCGTCTGTCAAGGGAACCCGCTGGATGCCCGGGTCGACGGGCACATCTTTGGGCAGATTCGGGGCATCGTCGTGGGCAACGTCTGGTTTGGACATGGCGGGCGTCCGGGTGGAAGAAAGAAGGGAGCCGCGGGAAGCACAGCAGGTTTAATGTAGGGATCACAGACGACCCCCACGGATCCCCCACGGCTCCTGTCCCCGCATTTCCCCCACGAATCTAGCCGGACCGGGTTTGGTGCACCCCGGGCGCATTCCAGATCCCGTAATTACAGTGTCCATCATCGTCAGAAGCCACAGCCGAGGGAAACCGAGACCGATTATGGGCGTGGGGGAAGGAAATAAGGTTGGGGACTAGACGGTCCTTACTAAACCGAAGTGAAAGGGTGTGTAAAAGGGGGTGGAACGGCTAGTATTGGTAGTCACGGTTGGCAGTATCGCTGACCAAGACGAAAACAAGCTAACTATGTATCCAGGACATATCTATAGGCCCTTGGGGCCTCCCAGAGCTGGTGGTAGGTTAGTTAACCCGGGGTAAGCTAAAAGATATATATCTAGACCTATCAACCGCCCACCAGTCTCAAGTCTTCTGCGGATCATGCCCCCGGTTTTTAATTGACCGATAACTCTTGCTATTTGGGGTCCTGCTTGGGGTTCTCCTCCTGTGCCAAATGACATTGCAATAGCACACAACCCGACGCATATTGTCGATGTCTTTATCCTTGTAGCTGGATGTGGCGCGACTGGGGTTATGCCCAAGAATGTCCACGATCTTCCGGTCACTACAATCCCGTCAGTTATGGTCAAAGACGGGACTAGTACTGCACTCCGATTCACCTTTCATGGCCGATCGCAAAGCCTTGAACTCGGCCCCAGAATTGATCATTTTAGCTGCCAGTTGCGTATTTTGTTGATCCCCCTCATGGACCGACAGTCCGTAGCCGATCGATCCGACACCCCGATGCGGGGCGAAAGAGTTGTGATCGAGAAACCAAGACACCTATATCAAGGCCCTAGCCCCTCGTGTCTTTGCTTTTCCAGGTCACAAGCTGTCGTTACGACTTCTTATAAAGACGCCCCGAGTTATTTCAATTCGCTCATTGCACATACTGCAACCATGGCGCCCGGACTGGTCGATACGGATGCCCCGCACCCTTCGTCGACTGGAGTCAAGCGGTCCATCTTCCCAGACGGCCTCAAGACCACGGGACAACAGCCCCCCGTGTATTCTCAAGTTCGTCCGTACTCCGAATTTCCCAAGGTGCAGACGGGACCTACTGTGTGGAAAGCCGAAGACTATCGCAACAACCCCGAGCTCTGGACCCATGAATTCAGCGCCGAGGAGATTGCAGAAATCAGTGCAGCGGCCGATACTTTTATCGCTGACGGCACGCCTCTGACTGGGATCACCAAGGTATGATTGCTGGACTCTCTTTGCTACCCTGTGGTGGGGGATCGAAACACTAAATGAGAGTCCCGCAGAGTAACTTCCCACTTCCCAAATTGTCGATCCGGCTGGAAGAGCTGCGGAAAGACCTGCTGGACGGTAAAGGCTTCTGGTTGTTCCGTGGTCTTCCCGTCGCGGAATGGGACCTTCAAAAAAGCGCCACTGCATACATGGGCCTGGGTACCTATCTCGGGTACTTTGTAAGCCAAAATGGAAAGGGTCATGTTCTCGGTCATGTCAAAGATTTGGGAGAGGACCCGACCAAAACTGACAGAGTGCGGATCTACCGTACAAATGCTCGGTATGTAGGGACATGACTATAGCAGGAACATTGATGCTGACCAGCGACCAGGCAATACTTCCACACAGATGGGTCGGACATTGTTGGCCTTCTCTGCATTGCGAAGTCCATGTCGGGAGGCGAATCAGATATTGCGTCCACACACCACCTTTTCAACGTGCTGCAGGAGAGACATCCTGACGTCGTTCAAACATTGTGCGAGCCCAACTGGTACTTCGATCGCAAGGGCGAGGTGAGCGAGGGCGAAGAAGGCTGGATTCGAGGCAGTATTTTCTATCTGGAAAATGATCGAAGCTCGAACCCTCGTGTCTATGCACGATTTGACCCCATGAACGTGACGTCGCTTGCACGCTTCAACTCCGGGCCCAATGCATCCATTCCGCCATTGTCGGAGAAGCAGAAGTATGCCATGGAGGTTTTCGAAAAGACCTGCGGTGAACTGGCCCTCCATATGATCCTTGCACCTGGAGACATCCAGTTCCTGAGCAACTCTCAAGTGTTCCATGCCCGAACGGCGTACACGGATCATCCCCCGGGTGCCGTAGATGAGAATGGCCGGCCGGCCCGACGCCGACATCTGATGAGACTCTGGCTGTCTGCGCCAGAATCCGAAGGTGGTTGGAAGCTGCCATATCGTGACAGTCTGGAGAAGAAGCGCGGTGGCATCCAGGTCAATGACACGCCGCCTGTGTGTCCTTTGGACGCCGAGTAACGGTTCCAATAATTTCATAATCAATGTACGAGTTAAATATGACCATTTTGCTAGGCGAATTTTATTGAACAAACAGTACCATCGTAACACTTGGATATAATCTAGAATTTCACCCCAGCATGGCGAAATGGTTCTGTACCCAAAATGTCATGACCATGCCTTGACCCCATGGAAAACCATTGTCGGGCCTCGTTAAATGCAATGTAGTTAATCCTGCTGCGCAAATGGGAATACCGGTAGCCATGGCTCCGCCTGGGTGATCTGGTATCCTCCCGCCCACGGAAGCAGACCAGCTGCCTCGATGCCCGATCCAACGGCAGTTTCAGCCGGTTGCCACGCCCATCCCAGATCCGACATGAAGAGTGTCTGAAGCTCTTCAAGACTTGCTTGGCCAAATTCAGGTTCATTCGAGATGCTTTGCCCACATCCGCCTTCGATGGAACCTTCGCGTGGATGATCCGGATCAGCAGTAGACTCCGGGAGCACACTGTTGGGCGCAGATGAAGTGCCGGCCTTTTCAGGCGCATGTCGCTCGGGGATAGACTTGCGCGCCATCCGAAATATCGATAACGGATTGAGCACGTAGTCTGGGGCACTTTGAACCGGGGTGCCGGGGAGGCTTTCGCTAGATTCAACACTCAGCAAGGGCTCAGATATTTCTCAACCTGACATGGTGTTTGTTCTCGTACCTTGGATCATCTCCCTCTTGGGTCGGATATGGATCATCGGGGACGATATTCTGTGTGATCGCTTCGGATTCAATCCTGGATCTGTTGAGCATAGTTTCTGCTGCTGAACACTACCGTGACAAACATGCAGGTGTTAGAAACATTTTTCCACAACCCCAAAGTTAAATAAAGAAGAAATTAGAAAGAACGCAACGTGAGAACATACCAGCGAGTCCGCTATACCGCTTATGTTTCCCATCACCTTTAGAGCTGTTATGTTGCTTTGCAGTAGTGGAACTGTTTGTCTCATTATTAGTCTGGTACTCTCGATGCGAGGGTCCAGGATTTGAGTCAAGTGGTAGACCATGATCCGACAACTATCATAAGCAATGGTTGGCAGCCACGAATCCGCCAGCATCCGGGAGTCGTGACGCATAGTCTCGCCAATGATTGACGCCAGCGTTCTCGCTGCGTCAAAGAGAACTTGTTGCAAATGACGTAGAAATCCCTGTTGTTCTGGTGGGAAATCAAAAGCAGCCCGAAGTTTGTAAAGAGCGGGGGGCTCCTAGGCGATACAGATCGCATATTGTTTGGTAATGGGCGCAATGTAGCACGCAGAGAGCTCCCAGCTGAGAGGAGTCTTTTCGAATATAGATTGCATCCGGCATAAATTGTAGACTGGCTGGAAGAGACTCGTACCACGCGCGGCAATCCGCATCCAGCTTCGCGAATTCCGAGTCCGGGTCCCACGGAACCTTGGCGTCGCCGAGATGTTTGATGTACCTGGATAATAGTCCTTAATATTGCAGTTCATCAAGTAACATCGAAAGGAGCATGACATACCTCAAAACTCGTTTGCGAATGGATATGTGCCGAATAAAATAGGCCATGATGCCCATGTTAGGCAGAATGGTGTCCGTGTCCAGTTCCCCAGGAATGAATTTCAACCAATTTCCAGGCTCTAATGTTTCCGTAAGGCATGGCCGTTGCTGGAGAAAATTTCGTTCGTTGCAGGGCAGCTGGATTTTCATATCTCGTTCTTCTACCAGTGTGAGCTGGTCAACCCCGCTCCCCACGAGAGCGTCCATCACGTAGCAACTCCACATCAATCGTCGTCGAGACTCTTTGTCTGTAGCAGATGGACCGGTTTCAGCATCTTGACAGAGCAGATCTGTATTATATTCCAAGTTGATTTGAAGGGCCTGCGTCATGCGAGTGATGAGTCCACTCAGCATGAATGCGTTGGCAAAGTTGCCCATGCGGACTGCATAGTCATGAAGCAGAACCGCAGCCTAGCAATGATTTAGACAACGCCCTTGCTTAAAGTTATATGAGGCGTACTAACCATGAGGTTCTCGATGGTGACTGTGTCTATAGCCTCAAGGATCAGTCGCTGCGAGATCTTGGCCCATTCGCCCCCTGCGAGCAAGACAAACTTTGACGGGAGACGGGCCACCGTTTCACTGTAGGCAAGTGCATAGAACCTGTTGCAAATATTGTCAGCAACTGTACCCTTTCCACCAAGTCACTCATGGTCTTACTGAGCACCTAGGGCACAGATAATGTGCAACAAGGCGTGGGTCTGATATTTGATGGAGAGCTCCCCGTCTAAGCGCTGGAGGAAGGATGGTTTATGAATGAAAGCAAAGCAGCGTAGAGGATGAATATTATTGAAATATTCCTCCACCAAAAGCCCGATTTTCCACGAACTGGGCAGATGTCGAGCAGTCAGCCTGTTCTGTGTTAGCAGAATGTCATACCGACAACTCCATGAGTCGTACCACTCAAGCGATGGCAATGATGATTGAATGCTATTCACTGCAAGGAGTTCGCGGGGAGATGGATCGCGCGATCCCTGAGGGTGTTGGTCAACAGGCTGCGATGCCGCAATCGAGACTGGGGCGCTCGGTGAAGCTCCCTGGACTGAAGTGAGTATAGCGGGAGACTCGTTGGCCTTTTCGATTTTCTCAATCCGCTGGACCCAGGTGGGCTGCGAGGACTCGGCGTAGTTGCACGCTAGCCCCTTGTCCTGACAGCGATGGCACGTTGGCCGTTCGCCAGAACATTTTGTTTTTGACGAGCGACAAGCCGTACAAGAACGATAGGTTCGTTTCCGTTTCGACTTGTCGATCCGGTCCGTCACGTCCCCCAGTACTCGCGCCGTCGGCGAGGTCGGGTAGCCCGAGCAAACCAAGCGCAGTCTGACACAATTTCCACACTCGCCCGGTCGTTCATCGCACTTAACCTGCGGGAACAAATCTCAACCTTTAGGACTCCGGATCTGGCCGGGAGAAGGGACTAGAATCTTACTTTACGGGCACGACATGTGCGACAGCCTGTCACCGCATGTTAGTCTGGGGATGGGCCGGCTGCGACCCAGTGAGCCACTCACCGAATCGCGAGCGGGATGGTTTTGGATTATCCGGGCCCATGCCAATCGGAGTGTTCTGGGATTAATTCGATGAGATGGTGTGGCCTTGGAAGCATGGACGAGGAGGGAGAGATGTTGTAGACCCGGGTGGTCGGCAGCACGAGCGGGCGGTCGGCCAGCGTTCGTCGATGGCGGGATCCATGGACTGGATGACGGAATCACTGGAGCGGAGACGAAAATGTGGGGGGTTCAAGGGGTCATAGTGGGATCAACTGAGTTATTATTAGGAGTAAGTAGTCCAGGTACGATCCGCTTAGGGTGTACTCTGGATCCACTGTATGGCGAGATGTCAATGGGAATCACCCTCCCCACCCTCCTCGGTCGGTACTCCCGTAGGTACCTGCCGATGCATGATCGTACATCCTCCAGAGAGGGACTCCCACGCCAGGACAGAGCCTCATCACGTGGAATCCAAATATCTTCCCCCAACAGGACCGGACTGAACTGGCCGTCCTTCTTCTACTTCTTCCATGGGCAACACCACAGCTCCAATTTGCCGTCGCTACTTCGCCCGTGTGGGAATCTGGCGAGCGCTGACTGAGGCGGCGGGTTCGACGGTGGATGCCGTCGCTTTGGTGTCTACCTGCCCGCTGTCGTCTTGTTGACATCCTCGACTTCACGGCTGGTTTCGTCAATCTGCCCCATCAGCACCTCGTCTTTTGCTCATCCCGGCCGCTCGTTTCACTGCTTGTCTTGACACCCCAACGACTGATTTCGAGAATACCACCACCATGCCTCGAAAAGATTTCCGAAATGACCTCAACCAAGCCACGGCTCCTCACCTTTTCCCTCACCTAGGCCGTGTTCGAGCCGGCGATGATGATGAGTCCATCCTTTTCACGTTCACATCTTCCCACATGCAAGTCGACTTTCAAGTCATTGTATCCGGTAAGCCAATCCCCGGGGCTGAGCGCCGCAGATATCTGACCAGGACTGAACAGACTCCCACGATTACCCGCGCGACCACAGCTATTTCGTCTTTTCGACATCCGATAATGTCAGCGAATCGGTGATGGACTCCTTGACCCGCGCGGACTTTACGGGCTCGTCGGTCCAGCATATGCTGCGCCGTATTGACGACATCGTTGACCATCTGATCCACAATCGCGATCCGCAGGATATTGCGATGCCAGATGATCCCGACCGCCAGGATGGCATTGAGGAAGCCTTAGAGGAGGACGACGAATATGAGTCCGACGCTGATTTCGACCCCGACTTTTCCCTTCTGGTCCGAGACAAGACGGAAGTGCGAACCACACTACGCCGAGATCTCCAGGCAGCAAAAGCCGCTGGATTCAGAGTGGGATGCCTGGATGATATCACCGGCTGCGTGATCGTCTCCGTGTCTTGCCGCATTGCTCACCTCGAACTCTCGGAGGAGGTCATGCAGACCTGGGATGTGCACACCTCCGAATATCTGGTCATGCTCATCCGTTATCCGTCGCGATACATGAATCTGAAAAGAATCCTCGACGACGGAGCCAATGCCAAGAGTTATCTTGTTCAAATCCATGTCGGGCTTTGCAACTCCTACAAACCATCGCTCGAGCATGCGAGGAAGGCCTTTCAGGCCACAACGACCACCGGCCACGAAGGGCCGCAAACAAACAGCAAAGAGGTAAGCCATGGCATGCGGAGCCTTTTCATTGGCGGAGCGCTCAAGAGTCTTCTCAACGATCGATTTCTGGAGATTGTGCGGCTTCGTCTGAAATATGGCTATTCATGGACTGGGGCCGAAGTATCTTTCCAACGGAGTCAAGGCAAGATCCTCGATGACACAGACACGGCATCGGATGCAGACTATGAGGAAGAAACGTGGGCCGCTTCCGCTCCCACCTTCCTCGCCGCTGACCATATGGTAAATGCCGATCCTGATGGCTCAACGCTCTCACTACCACTGCTCGCAATGCAGTTCGCACTCCGTCACTTTGTCAAGTGCACAGAGTTCTGCCTTGTTTGCCATTGCAAAACAAGAGATAATTTTGAAGCCCTCAAACCCTATGTCTGCTCAAATGGTCTCTGTCTCTACCAGTACATGACACTGGGCATGGGACCAAATCTAGAGCATGAGGTTCGCTCTCAACCCTACGTCGTTGATATGCTTGTCAGTTTGACCTACGCTAGAGCTTCATCGGGCAAACTTGGAGATTTCCCGACTGGGCTAGGGCTTCGTGTTCCCGTGTCGGACTGCATCAGAACCCAGGCCTCAGACCCCAATCTCACCACGCAAAACCAATCGCCACCTGCCGGTCAATACACTGCTCGCTTTGATGCCGCTCAACAGGAGCTTCTTCCGGATAAAAAGGTTCCTCTCAAAATCGGCGATTGGATTGCTATGATCTTTCCAGGAGCGAAAACCGAAGGTGATTCCTCAGCCGTTTGGCATGGTCGGGTTGAGCGCCTTGGTGAATCCTCCCGTCACATCTATCTATCAACCCCCATTTCATCCGGAGTACAGTTGTCGCCCAAGGATCCCTCGCACCGGTCAGCTGGGGAGTCTGTGTTCTTCTTCGTCTACGACCAGAATTTTGATGACTTGAGCCCTCGCGAAAAGCAAAAGACAATCCAGATCGTTCTTGACACCCTTCCTGATGTCGACCAGATGAAAACCTTCCTCGGTCCCGACAGCAATGGTCGGCTCCTCTCGTCATGGACAGGGGTGATCTCCCCGGCCGCATTGGGCCTCTTGCGTTGGATCGTCTCATCCAACCGGTCGTACATCATGCAGGACAATGACCGTCCTGAGCATCTCGTGTCGGGAATGGGTGGGTTTGTTCAGTTTCGACTTGCCCAAGGTGCCCCAGACAAGGAGCAACGCTTCATCCATGCTGTCGATACAGTTTCTCTAAAGGCAAACCCCCAATATCCGACCCTTTTCGCGTGGCATGGCAGTCCCCTGTTCAACTGGCACAGCATCTTGCGTGAGGGACTGAATTTCGACACGATTGCGAACGGTCGAGCTTTCGGCGACGGCGTTTACCTATCCCGAGATTTCAATACTTCAAATGGTTATTGTCAGCGGCATGGCCCGGACGGCATGTGGCCTGGGAGCAAACTGAAGATCTATGCGGTCATCTCACTTAACGAGGTGGTCAACGCTCCTCAGAAATTCAGATGTACCAACCCCCATTACGTGGTGAATTGTCTGGACTGGATCCAGCCCAGATACCTCTTTGTTAAATGTAGAGCCGAATCCGGCCTTCAAACTGTGTCACAGGTGGCACCCTCCCAAATCTATGTGCAGGACCCAAAGTACCAGGCGATGGATCCAGGCCACAAGGCAGTTGTTATCCCTCTTTCCATCCTGGGCAAACGAGGCCAGCCCAGCCATCTTACGCGACACACAAAGAATGCGAAGACGAAAAGAAGCTCACCGGATCGCGCAGGAAGAAAAAGGCTGAGGCCGTCTTCGTCAAGCCAGTCCGCTGTGCTGAATCTGGAAGGTAGGCTGGACGATGATGCTAGCGTCGCAACCGCATCTGATGACGAGCGCATTCTCCTTTCCGAACTCGAGGACTGCATAACAGATAGCGATACGAGGAGTGGTTTGAAGGTTGATGTCCACCCTGCACATGATCATGATATCAGGACCGACTTTGTTCCAGGGACACTCAGGGGCGAATCTTTGTCGCTTCTTTCCGTGCCCGAATATGCCACCTCTTCGGCCACCAAGGTTCTGCAACAGCATGTCCGGGCCACTTTGAAGGTCCAAAAGCTAGAGCCTCTCCATGAACTCGGATGGTACGTCGACCCCAATTTGATCTCCACGGTGTATCAATGGATAGTGGAACTACACTCATTTGATCCCGCTCTCCCCTTGGCAAAGGACCTGAAAATCCTGGGCTTAAAAAGCATTGTCCTGGAACTTCGATTCCCTCCGCAATTCCCGATGGCCCCTCCATTTGCCCGGGTGATCCGCCCACGCTTTCGAGAATTTGCTGCGGGAGGCGGTGGGCATGTTACGGCTGGGGGAGCCATGTGTATGGAGCTACTGACTGATTCTGGCTGGCTGCCAACGGCCTCCATTGAAAGTGTACTACTGCAGGTGCGCATGGCAATGACCAATCTGGAACCCTTCCCGGCACGCTTAGCTCCAGGTCCGCCGCAGGATTACAAGGTCGGTGAAGCTATTGAGGCCTATCAAAGAGCGTGCTTGAGACATGGTTGGCGGGTTCCTGAGGGGATCCAGCGACTTTCTTGGGGTTGAGTTCTGACTGGAGGAGGATCCACATGGATTTCGAAGTAGTCTCTCTGCGTTAGAAACTCCAACGTTACTTACCACCGCGTGCTTAGTAACCGTAGCAAAATCAAATCCAATTGCTTTTCTGTGTCGCTTTAAGAAAACTGTAGGAAGTTCTTGATGGTGGAACGACGGCCGAGAGCGATCCCGAGAATTGCATCTTGATGTCATTCTCACGTACCCGGGGGAACGCCCGGCCGCCAAGGTCCTCTCTCATTTAGTTTTGAAAAGAGAAATAAAATCTAATCCGCAGTCGAACAAAGGAATCCAAACGTCATTTCATAGTTCTATGGTGCCCAAGAAGCATTTCTAGATATCATTCATCATCAAAAGGTTGCCGAAAGGCATCTTCATACGGCTCAGGCAAGCCCTCTTCGCACATGGTGAACCTGATCAGATCGACTGACCCGCCGAGGCAGCCTGGACATCCTCCTCCGAGCTCATGATCTGCACCTTGATGGCACCCGTGCGTGGGTTGGCAGCCGTCTCGAAGGCCTTGAGCGCATCCTCCAGGGTGTAGCGGTGGGTGACGAGCTTGCGCAGCTCGATGACACCGTTCTGCACGAGGCGGATGGCGCGCGGCCAGGTGTTGGAGTAGCGGTACTGGTACTGCAGATCGATCTCTTGGGTGCTCAGCCGCATGAAAGGAATGGTCATCTCGTTCTTGCCCACGCCAATCACGAACACCTTGCCGCCGAACTTGACACTCCAGATGGCGGCGTTGACGCTGCTCTCCACACCGGTGCACTCGATGGCGAGCTTTGGGCGCAGCGCGTCCGGGCCAGAGCCCTTGCCATCATTTAGGGCGTCGATGATGCCCGCCGCACAATCCTCGGCTGACTGTCCGATCGTCACCTTGTATGTGCGCACCTCCGGCACGAGCGACTTGGCGAACGCCAGCCGACCGTCGTCAATATCTGTGATCACGATGGGGCATGCGCCGGCCGCCCGGGCGCTGAGCAGACTGATCAGACCGATCGGACCAGCGCCGGTGATCAGCAACGGGTCCCCGAGGCGCAAGCCACTGCGCTCCACGGCCGCCAGGGTCACGCTGAGCGGCTCCAGGAGAGCACCGTCCTCGTAGCTCATGTTGCCGATCTTGTGGCACCAGATGGCCGGGTGGTTGACGTAGCGGCGCAACAGGCCATCGACGGGCGGGGTGGACAGGAACGCCACGTTCTCACATCCATTGTAGCGGCCCGTCAGGCAGGGTTCGCAGGCATTGCAGATGATATTGGGCTCGATGGCGACGCGGTCGCCCACCTGGAGCGTCTTGACGTCGTCCGCGACCGCAATGACCTGACCGGCGGATTCGTGGCCGAGAACGTGGTCGCCGGTGACAATCATAGGGCCGATGCAGCCCGCATGCCAGAAATGCACATCGGACCTGAAATCGTGGTGATGCGACGTCAGTTTTGGCGGGGTCCTTTCCGGGGGAGGAATGCTTACCCGCAGATGCCCGTGCTGCGCACCTCCACCGTGACCTCGCCGGGTTTCAGACCGCGGCCGGCCTGCACATCCTCGACCTTGGGAGTCGACTCGGCGATCCACAGGTCATGGTTGGGGTTGGTGTAGACACCAATGTTGGTCTTGGTGACGGTGGTTGCGGAAGCCATTGCTGAGAGAGGGAGTGAAGGACGGAGAAGGAGGGAGGGAGGGGAGGAAGGGGGAAGAAAGGGAGGAAGAAGGAAGAAGAGAGAAGAGAGACTGGTGGGTTTTAACTACAGTGTAGGTAGGTCCTCTGGTCACCCGATCCCCAGATTTATCCGGGTTCCAACTGCCCGCGCGGCGCCCAACAGGGAAGGCGTGCCCGCCGGGCCGAGTCCGAGACGGTCGGCTCTCGGTTAAATTCCGTGTCAATCATCAGGATTTTAACCACCACCATATTAACAGAAGCAAAAGACCAACAGGATGATAATATGCTAGATGGATGGCAATGATGGATGATGATGATTGAGGGACCGATCACAATAATCTTCTAGACTCCTTCCATCGCCCCAAAGCGGCAATTCTCCGGTGGACAAACGCCACACGCGATTCTCGTCAAGCATCAGGATGCAAGGTCCGGTTGGGGTGGTTTGCATATAGCACGCACAGTGCAGCAGGACTCCATACAATCATATACTCTGTGTCTTCCAACTACACCTCAGGTCCTTCTTCTTGTCCTCGTGGGGCAGCGCCTCACCAGTGGGGCCACGGGTTGCTTGTCCCCCTTGCGAATACATAATTAAGCATGTAAACCCTAACCAAGTCCGTCAAACTATGGAACCTCGTCACCGGCGGTTGAACATGCTCCCAATGTCCTTACTGCAATCATATGCATTGCCTTTCCTTCGGATGCTTCCTCTCTCACTAGGCGTAGCACCACATTCCGGCTGAAAAAAAAACCCCACATTCGAACCCACCTTGTCCCCGCAAGAGAGGAATATACATACAGACGGTGGGAACCCCTCACCCGGCCTCCAAGATTCTGCGGCTACGACTCGATCAATCGTTGCCTTTTTGCACCCTCCCGAATCTCCCGATCCAAAATGGTTGCCAAGTTACACAGCGCACCGCCCTTCCGGGCGGAGCATATGGGTTCGTTGTTGCGTCCAGACAGTTTGCTAGAGGTGCGCGCCAAGATCCGCGACACCGGCGTGTCAGCCGAGGCGGCCGGTCTGCCGGCAGTTGAGAAAGAGGCGGTTAGGGACGTGGTCAAGATGCAGCGGGACCTTGGTTTCAAGGCGGTTTCCTCCGGAGAGTACAACCGCACGCGTTTCTGGGGGCTGATGTGGGACGAGTTCCAGGGTAGGTGCTTCGAGGAGATCCCGACCCAAGACATCGACTGACCCAACAACGCAGGAACCATCCGTTTGCAAGACGCAGAGGCTTCGATGTTCAGACTGTACCACCCGGATGTCGTGAGTCTGATTGAGAAGGACCGGAAAGTGATGCCCGGAGACTCGGTTATTGCCGGCTCCAAACTGTCGCACAGCACAAGCGAGTCACTGTCGAATCTGCACGAGCTCCAGTTGGTCCAGCAGTCGCTGCCCGAGAGCGAATGGGGTAACATCAAATTGACCATGATCACCCCGGCCTGGTTCCACATGCGTTACAAGCAGGGAAAGGCATACACGCCAGACGCCTATGCCAACGATGCGGAGTACTTCAAGGACGTTGCCAAGGTGTACAAGGCGGAGTTACAGTCCCTGTACAAAGCCGGGCTGAGAAACGTCCAGTTCGACGATCCGGGCATGGCGTACTTTTGCTCCAAATCATTCCGCCAGGGCTGGGAGGAGGACAAGGACAATACTGGTACGGTGGAGGACCTGCTGGACGCGTACATTCAGCTGTACAACGACTGCCTCAGCGGCCTTCCGGAGGACATGCACACCGGCATCCACCTGTGCCGAGGCAACTTCATCGGTGGGAGACATTTTGCCGAAGGCTCGTACGACATCATTGCGAAGAAGCTGTTTGAGAACCTCAACGTCAACACGTTCTATCTGGAGTACGACACCGAGCGGGCCGGTGGATTTGAGCCTCTCAAATTCCTGCCGAAGAATAAGAACGTCGTCGTCGGTGCGATCAGCACGAAGCTCCGGGAGCTCGAGGACAAGGAGGCGACCAAGGAACGGATCTACAAGGCCGCCGATTTTGTTGCGGCAGGGAGCGGTGAGACTCGCGAGGAGGCCCTCAAAAGAGTCTGCCTCAGTCCCCAATGTGGATTCAGCACGCACGAGACGGGGTATCCCCTGAGTGTGGAGGATGAGAAGCAGAAGCTGGGTCTGATTAGGCAAATTGCCGATGAAATTTGGGGAGAGCCTTGAAGCGGTGGTGTCAGTGAAGGGGCAATCCTGCAATCATTTCCTGGATTTTCAACAGTGACTGGCAATTGATTCGTGGGACACGGGTCATGTATTCAACAGACGTACCTAATTAGCGAGCAGGTCCAAGTAATGGGCCGATGGAACGAGTATTCCAAGGAGCTCTAAGATGAAGCCTACATTGATAAGCCTACCTGGGCAAGAGTCCGATGGAGCAATAAAAGGACCGTCAGTTATTCAATTCTAGCATCGGTGCTGTTCTCAGCCATGATCGGTTACTCTGCTACCCCGACATCGGCGGATCGTTCATCCCACGTTCGCTTCTCATTCACTACCCCACATCCGGCCACACCCACCCAACCGGAACTCCTTCCCGGTCACCACCCGGTCCGCTCCAAGGGTTTTCGACGCCGAACACATCTAGTGTACTAGCACGAGTTCTTACCCCCAAACAACACCACATCACTGTTACAATGACAACCCTTCAACACAGCAAGCTGGCCTTCATCGGGGGAGGCAATATGGCTTCGGCCATCATCCAAGGCCTTCTGAAGCAGGGAATCACGGGTGGAAACGTCACGGTCTCGGAGCCGTGGGATGTCAACCGCGAAAAGATCGCGGCCCTGGGAGTTTGCACCACAACTTCGAATGTTGAAGCTGGAGGAGAAGCGGATATTGTGATCCTTGCAGTCAAGCCTCAAGTGACCCAGAGTGTGTGCGAGGAGCTGGCGGCTGCCTGGTCTCAAAGATCGACATTACCTATTGTGGTCAGCATCGCCGCGGGCATTACCCTGAAAAGCTTGCAAGAATGGACCAAGACGAGCGATGGGAGAACTGCCCATACCATTCGCGTGATGCCGAATACCCCGGCGCTGGTCGGTGAAGGTGCTTCCGGTCTCTTTGCAAGCACGGATGTGACAGACGCTGAAAAGAAACTGGTGAATGCACTTCTCGGCAGTGTTAGCAAAGCCACTGAGTGGGTGGACAGAGAAGAATTATTGGATGTAGTGACTGGCCTGTCTGGTGAGTGTTCGGATCTAAAGATACGCGATGGTTGGCATGTCGAGATTAACAGAAAGTAGGATCCGGACCCGCCTACTTTTTCGCCATGGTTGAACATCTAGTTGCCAGTGCCGAAGCCCTGGGACTTCCAAAAGAGCAGGCTACTCGACTAGCTACACAAACATGCCTTGGAGCGGGCAAGATGCTCGTTGAGTCGTCCGATGACCCCGCCCAGCTGCGCAAGAATGTGACCAGTCCGAATGGAACCACCTATGCTGCGCTACAGACATTTGAATCGCTAGGTTTCAAACAAATAGTGGACAAGTCCGTTCAAGCTGCCACTCACCGAGCTGCTGAGTTAGGAGGTACTCCAAGAAAATCTTGAAGAGTCCCAGTTGAGACGAAGGGAATACTACAGTGGAATTCAAGGAGAGAAGGCAAAGGAAGATTCGTGGACTTGCTGGGATTAGGTTACCTTGCAACATAAATCGACAACAGCCTCCGTTGAGAGGCAGATTACTAGCAGCGCCACATTTAGTAGACCAAGGCGGGCATTGAGAGGTTTATAAAATTTATCTAGATCATGTATTTTCAATCTATCGTGAATACAGTGAATCAGGTTACCCGCATTCTAAACTCCTCAATCTCTCGATGCTGCCTAACATTCAACACTTGGCCAGATGTTAGGCCAAGACCTGTAGTGATTTATGTTGGACACATTCTGAAATTGGGAAATCGTATCAAAGGGGGCTTCAGAAACTTTTATTGAATTTCGGTGCAGCTGCTCCTTTTTGAAACCCGCAAGGATTGAAATCTACTTTTCGAAGTCTTCGTGGGAACTATCGCCTTGTCCAGAATGCGAATACCCAAGCACATGACAGAATGTCGCTTGATTTGGGACACCGGAAGAAACAGGTGATTTGAGTGACCGCAGCTAATTGATCAAAGCTCGATGACTAGAGAACACCCCATAATCGCCCATGGATACTATCCGGATGATGGGCGAGGCATTTTGGACCAAGAAAGAGAAGTCCAATAGTCTCTAAAATGGCGGCGCTATTATGATACCCAGTAGAATGCATTGACAATATATAGCGAATGATGATGTACACAGATACCAGAAACCAGCCAAAGGAACCAGGTAGAGATGCCATGGTAAGGTAATTGACCCTCCTCCAAATGCACCGGTAAGTGCTCAAACCCATAGCTGCCCCGACGCCAGAACCCGAGAGGAGATGCGCGTTGTCAGTATGAACAGGCGACCCAGAAATGAAAAGTTAGTCAATATCCAGGAGCCCAGCCCACGGTGATATGAATACAGCAACGCTCTCCACAAACATCAGCAATGTCCAAAGGCTACGCACAATCAGCGTGACCGTATGCTTCCAACTCCCAGCCTAAGCATGTGACTCGTGGAGCAAGCAGAACAGAGCAATCTCGGTTCAGCGGGCTTGAAGTGTAGGCAATGACCACTAATGATATATTTGACCCATGCTAGTCATGTGTGGATCAAACATAGTCTAGTATGGGACTGCCGCATGGAATGTACAATTCCAGAACACTCCCTTAAGACTCCGCCCAGTCCTGCATTTTGACATTCATCCCTGGGTGTTCGTGAATCGGTTGCTGAAGAGCAGCAGCTCGCACAACCGACTGGGACGGTTGAGGGGGACCGGTCCCGGAACGACGTCTGCGTTCTCGCTCCAGGGGTCCTGGCAACTCGTTTGAGTTGTTGCCTCGGGTGCGGAATTTGAGATTGATACCACTCAGCCAATTACCATCCTCTTCTTCCCCCAGCCAGTAGTTATGACCGATGCCAATCATCACCCGCCCCAGCTTGCCCTTCCATCCCTGGCCATCCGGGCTATACGGCGAGAAGGGCTCGCGGTCGATGTCAGCCACGCTTGCGACCGAGACATTGCGGCTGTGCGTCGGAAGCTGAGTATGACGGGGGATAGCAACCCAGAGGCGCAAGGTCTGGCGCGCAAAAGCAAGCATCACAAAGACGAAATAAAGGCGAGCCGCCCACAGAAGAGAAATAAAGATGATACTTTGGAAACTCTCGGGCTGAAGGACAGCATTGCTGATACTGTCGGCACTGCGCGGGGGATGGGCGACGAATTGATTACCCTCCTCCGTGTGTTGGATTTCAACGTAGGCCGCATCGTATTTGGGGCTCGTGAAACCGGCAGTCTGGGCGATCGTCTCGCTCCCGGGACCAGAAGTCTGGCCGTTGTCGTAGTTTTGAGACACCACCAAAAACCAGGTCACGCCAAAGGCAGCCGTGTACGCAGCGTTGATGAGGCTATCGATCAGGTAGAGCCATGCCAGCGCGAGACATTGAAGAGGCGACTGTTTGCGGATGTGCGGGAAAAGCAGGGTTGCGAGACCGAGGGCGATGAGGGAGTAAAGATACATGGACAACTGCACTGGCGACAGGTGGTAGCCCGTCAGCAGGGCGAGCAGGCCATAGAGGCCGCTGATCTTGTTGAGCAGTAGCGATAGGGTAATGAGAGAGGCGCCAGTCTCTAGGCTCATCACGTAGAGGAAGGTCTGCGGGTCACGCGAGTCAGCTTTGGGGGAAGGGAACGGGGAGAGAAGACTATGGACTCACCTCTGGCCGCGGGATGCGGAAGAAACGGTTTGAGAGCCCCATGCTGGAGGAGCAGTCTGAGAAGAGACAGATGGGAAGAAGGACAGATGAGGTTCAAAGGTCTGAAAAGGATGGCCGGGGGGCCCAATTAATCCGGGTGATCCGCCAGATCAGGTGACCATCATCCGCTTATGTAAATTTCGGCCTCAGGCAGAACACCGCTACAAAGTTCCTATATATAGACTGGAAACGACATGGATCACATCAAGATGAAGGGTACGACTTTTCGTCCTGTGATTACGGCTACATTAGATCCGAGTCCGGCCTGGGCATCGGGAAGCGTCTCAGTCATCGACTACCACGCGGCTGGTCATATGTTTATGGGGTATCGGTCGGTGTGTAACTTTAAAGAGTACAATGGAGATGGGAAGGTTGTGTAGGTCGGTCAATTTGGCTATATTGGTCACGCGCAATCCTACCATCTCTTCAAATATCATTAGAAGGCAATGCCACACTGGAGGCCCACTGTCGGTCTCACTGGTCTCCGGATTAACACGGACATGTCGATATATATATAAGTTGGAACGCCGCGATGGAGTGCGGCAACTGGCCAATTTATAGCGTCGCCGATATCAATTCCACTTACTGAGGAGGCCACCTTCCTCACTAATACTCCCCACGTTTTGAGACACTTGGACCTAGGTGATGTAAAAGCCCACCACGTGATGGTTGAGGCTCAGCAGGCTGAGATCCTCTGAGCCACATCATAACTGTGCAACGCTCCCACCGCGGGTACTGAACCTTTCTTCATGGGCCACCCGTTATTCTAATCGGTATCGAAGTCTGGATATGTATATCTCCAGATCCCGTTGTCCATCTATCGCTGGTGTGGATGACGTGATCATTTGATCCCCAGTCGGCCGAGAATCTCTCCCCGCAAAACACAAGTTTCGCTGCCCATTAGCCCGAGGTCAATTTTTCTTTTCTTCCCACCCATTCCCCCGTTATTACGATTATTCCTTCTCTTTCCCTCATCCCATCCTGCATGCGATAGCCACCTGCATCCCTTTCCTTCACACCACCATGAGCCAAGACAAGCTCACGGGGACCGCGGTCGCCCAGCACAACTCCAAGGACTCGTGCTGGGTGATTGTGCATGGCAAAGCTTACGACGTCACCGAGTTCCTTCCTGGTATGACTCTCTTCTCGCTCTTCCTCTATTCCCCCAATCTTCATCTTCTAACGACACCCAGAGCATCCCGGCGGCCAGAAGATCATTCTCAAGTACGCCGGCAAGGATGCGACCGAAGAGTTCGATCCCATCCACCCACCGGACACACTCGACAAATATCTAGACCAGTCAAAGCATCTGGGTGAAGTGGACATGACGACCGTGGAACGGGAAGAGAAAACCTTTGACCCTGAGGAGGCAGCGCGGCTGGAACGCATCCAGCGGATGCCTCCGCTCGCGGCATGCTACAACCTGATGGATTTTGAGGCGGTGGCGCGCCAGGTAATGAAGAAGACGGCGTGGGCGTACTACTCCAGTGGAGCGGACGATGAGATTGTGCGTGCCCTTGTTTCCCCGAGGGCTCGGGTAGAGCTAACGGACGTTTTTCAGACCATGCGAGATAATCACGCCGCGTTCCACAAAATCTGGTTTCGGCCGCGCGTGCTGGTGGATGTCGAGAATGTGGACATGACAACAACCATGCTGGGAAGTAAAGTTTCGATTCCATTCTACGTCACCGCGACTGCGCTCGGCAAGCTTGGCCACCCGGAGGGAGAAGTGGTTCTGACGAAAGCTGCGAACCAGCATCAAGTGGTGCAGATGATCCCAACACTTGCATCCTGCTCTTTCGACGAGATTGTCGATGCCCGGAAAGGCGACCAGGTGCAATGGCTGCAACTCTACGTGAACAAGGATCGTGAGATCACGCGACGAATCGTGCAGCACGCCGAGAAGCGCGGGTGCAAGGGCTTGTTTATCACGGTAGATGCGCCGCAGCTCGGTCGCCGGGAGAAGGACATGCGGTCCAAATTTTCCGATCCTGGGTCCAACGTACAGAGCGGCGAGAGCGGGGTCGACCGGTCGCAGGGAGCGGCGCGCGCCATCTCGTCGTTCATTGACCCTTCCCTGTCGTGGAAGGACATCCCCTGGTTCCGGAGCATCACGAACATGCCAATCGTGCTCAAGGGGGTGCAGTGTGTCGAGGATGTGCTGCGCGCCGTCGAGGCCGGTGTGGACGGTGTGGTTCTCTCGAACCACGGCGGCCGGCAGCTCGATACTGCACGGTCAGGCATTGAGGTGCTGGCAGAGGTGATGCCGGCACTGCGTGAGCGCGGCTGGGAGAAGCGGCTGGAGGTTTTTGTGGATGGTGGTGTGCGCCGTGCGACTGATATCCTCAAGGCACTATGCTTGGGCGCCACGGGCGTCGGCATCGGTCGCCCTTTCCTGTACGCCATGTCTGCCTATGGCCTAGACGGCGTCGATCGCGCCATGCAGCTGCTCAAGGATGAGATGGAGATGAACATGCGTCTGATTGGCGCCACTCGCATCGATGACCTGAGCCCGAGTATGCTCGATACTCGTAGCCTGTCGGGTGGCCATGCTGGCTCCCTGCCCGTCGATACGCTTGGCCTAGGTGCCTACGACCCGCTAGAGGCTCCACGCTTCAACGAGAAGCCAAAGCTATAACCCTATTTCTTTAATACTATCAAGTTGGAGAGATATGCTTTGTCTCCGTCTTGCAAAGATATATATCAAAGCTTTGATGCCAATGTATCATATCATACCTATACTACTGTATATCGTCAGAAATTGCAGCCCATGAAGAGCATGTAATGACCGATCCAACCACCGCTGCAAAATCAACCCTTATTTACTAACGTATGAGGCAGATGGTGGGTATCCAGTCACGAGTTGGCCTTGACGCAGTGCTGTTCTATGCCAATCAAAAGGTAAGTGTCCACAGGTTCGTGCAAGCAGACTAGAACTGTAAAGCTCAATCATGCTGTGCCTGGAAATACTCAATTGTGGCTTTGGCCACCCTTAGCTCAGCCTCCTCGCCTGAAGCGCATCCTTGGACAGCAACAATCTCTTGCCCGTTGAGGATGGACGTGCAAGTATACGTGGCACCGTTTGAAGACGCTATCCTTTTTTTCTTGAAGACAAGGCTTCCAGCACCCTTAATCATATTCTGGGCGAGATTGCGTGGATGGATGACATTGACTTTGTCTGCGATGAGCCGACGCAAGTAAGGCAGCAGGCCGATGCGTTCGACAAAGGCTTCGCATATGTCAAGATTTCCCCCCGAGTCGATGAAAATTGCACCCAGCACGCTTTCGAAGATGTCAGAGAAGAACTTATCGGCATGTAGACGGGTAAAAAGTTCCCATGGGTAGTCCGGTGCGACTTGCAACGCTCTCCATATTTCTTCACGTAGAAGCTGGTGCCGTCCTAGACAAGCTTCCATGGAGACCTTGATGGTAGGGCCATTGAATCGGAGGAAACGCCAGAGAGAAATCTGGTCGTCGTGTAACGTGGTGTTGATATCGTCGGCCTCATTGGGAACTGCGAAATCCATACAGAGAAAAGCAAGGAGATTCGAATTAACAACGGCGTGCTTGATGAGAGTCATTTGACCCTCGGGGATCTGGGTCGGGTGTGCAGACATTGTAGACACGACAATCATATCCAGAACTGCATCGCCGAGGAATTCGATTCGCTGGTAGGATTGGGTGACAATGTCATGTTCGCAAGAGGGATGAACAAGAGCTTCAGTCAGGATAGCCGAATTGTTGAAGTGGTAGCCGATTAAACGGGCCAAACAGTGATGATCCACTGGCTTGCTGACACCTTTGCCACAAGCAGAATCGCGAATGCATGTATCGTTGTGAGATCGAAGATCGACTTCGGGAAGAAAACGGTGGAGACAAGCTTGCGCTTTAAGGATTCCCCCGTCTTTGTATGCAGCGCCAATAAGAGCCTCCACCACGTCTGCGAGAACTTTGGCTGATAGGGGTCGCTTGGCCACCGAGACTAGCGCATTAGAGTGATGGGATATCAGCGGCGCGTTCCACCTGCGAGGCGTAAATCTGCGAGTCAAGATAAAACGATCTAGACCGGCGCAGAGCGCAGCCTGGGCAAGGCGGTTGTTCTCGATAAAGCTGTCGCGGTTGCTCGAGAGGCATCCTTCATTCCAATCCGGATTCTGATAGAATAGCTGGCAAGAGACGGTAAATTTCAAGACAGAATCCCCGAAGAATTCATACTTCTGGTAATCTGTGCTAGCCTGGGCGATTGGTGCGGTGATCGCGGTAAGAATATGGTCCAAATCGTTGATCCTGATCGACTTGAGGATGGTTTCGTTGAGTTTCTGGGCCACATATCTGGCTTCTACACGGTCAAGGATCGCTGATATAAAAAGTCCGAATATTGCTTTCGTGGCTGGGAGCTTGTCAATGGTGCAGGCGGCCGCAGGTATTACATGCACCTTGGGGTTGCCTACTTCCCCTTCCTCGACGACAGTAGCCACGCTTCGGGGCTGGAGGAGGTTGCGCCGCCGGGGAAATGCCTGACACTCTATTTCGATATCGGTTCGTGTCTCATCTGGTGTGACCCATTTCTTGAACAAGCGGGGCTCGCTATACTTTGAGTGATCGCGAATGATGCCCATCAAGAGAGGCGATTCATTCCGGCAAAAGACATTTACTGCCTGTTCATTACCGCGATAGCGATCAAGCCAGCTCTGTAGTATTTCCAGTGGAATATCTGGAGCAAAGAGGGCCACAAAATCTCGTTCTGGTCCACGTTGACGTGAGGAAGGGGCTTGAAGATATAGAGCCGTGATCTCTCTCAGGTGATCGATCATTTCCGCTGTGACCCCTGAAATTGGCTGTGGAGGAGTCAAAGTAAGGTGAAGTGTGTGGTCCCTGTCCCAGTAAAGCGGCATTGACTCTGGTATGACAGTTGACTTCGGCAAGATCATCATCATGGCCAGATCTTCAATAGGATTCCCATCTCTGGAGACTGTGAGGTAAGAGCAGTGGAGATCTGGCGATGACCAGTCTTCTGCTAAGTCTGCCCATGGGTCATATTGTTCTGAAGATTCCACCAGAGAGGGAAAACCGCCTTCTCTAGTAAACCTCAGCTCCGGTTTCTTGGACGGCGATTGAGGACTATCATGCATCGTCCCCAATTGACAGAGAGAATTGTATGCTAGAAGAGCTAGTTCCTGCTTGGCTGCCTGTTCTGTGCGCCACCAGCCTCCGCCTTGGATTTGACGGACCTCTGAAGGCACCCAATTTGGCAGAAGAAGGGTGCCTTTGAGAAGACCACCCGAATCTTTTTTAAAGGAATAGACTGGCTCATTTTCAGCCCCAGATTTTCCATGCTGTGTCATGCAAAAATGATGCAGGTATTGTATTGCTTCATCGGCCGTCAGGGATGCACTAGGAAACTCATGTCAGCCTTGACGACGAATATTTTATTCCACAGGTTTCCACACTCGCTAGACTGCAATTGAGTCTCATAGCTCGGGTGTGTGTTGACACTTTCGCCCGAAAGCTCACCCTCCCGTTCTGTATGGCTTTCTCTGTTATCGCCGCTAACCTCTACCATGATCATCCATGCTCTTCTAGTCGGGTACAAACACGGATATGTTATATTCAGCTGTAATGACGTCGTGTGGCACAGTAGAAACTTTCAGATGGTTAGGAGCCTCCTTCCCCTGAAAGATAGGGTCGGAAATTCTTTTCGAGGGATTGTCGAAGCAGCTGTTGGTGAACGTTCCCTTAAATTGTGGGTAGGCGGGAAAGCTGATCCCTCGGTGACAAGCGAGCAGTCCTGCAGCTACTGGAACCAAATCTCACCGCTTACCAGAGTGAAGGTCCCTGCCCAGCGGATACTCCGTCCGCATACCTTTTTGGTTTAGTTACCATTTGCAAGGATGACCACGTAGCTTTGCCGTCTCGCGGTTACAGCAAATTAATTACGGAATTCCGGAGCTATTGTCAAGCAAGGAATTACTATTGGCCAACAACCCATAGAAGCTTATGCCATAACCTACGGTCTGAATGAGGAAATCAAGCCGAGGTGGTGAATTAAGGGTACACGTTCGCTTGATGTGTCCACCGAGGAGTATGGGAGCATGAAATTGTACCGTTTGACACCTTAAAAGATTCCATGAACGCATCTGAGGCCTGACGGGCTGACGCGATAATTCATTTGAGCCCGCAGTTATTCTGGGACTCTTCTTGTCGCACCCAGTGTCCACTCTTGCCGCCTTGCTTTTCTAGCAAGCGTACCCCGCTGATCACCATGCCTTTATCTACGGCCTTGAGCATGTCGTAGACCGTCAACGCAGCACCCATGGTTGCCGTCATAGCCTCCATTTCGACTCCAGTTCGACCGAGACAGCTGACTGTCGCGGCAATCTGCATCATGCCGTGGTCATCGGCTGTCTGTGAGTCCGGTCCCACAAGCTCGACAGAGACTTCAATCCCTGTAATGCCGATGCTGGGATGGCAGAGCGGAACGAAATCCGGAGTTCGTTTAGC